CAGCCTTCTACTTGAGCACCAAATACTTAAATATATTTTTTTTCAAATTTGGGGAAAGCGGACAAGGTATCCAAAATCTCACACAATAAATTTGAAATCTCCAACATTTACAGTATTCAAGCGACGCTTGCAAAACGAAGTCAAATTATATTTATATTATAGATACATCCAATGCGAAAAGATATACGCTGCATATACTAAATGTTTTAAAAGTAAGACACAGGTTCACCTGTGATAAAAGAGTGGGCATAAATAATTTGATCGGATATTAGCGCTGTTAACCTTGAGCAGCAAATCAATATTATAATTAATGAGAAAAACAAGCAACACGGATAAAAAGTTCAAAAATTGCTAGCGAAACAATGGATTGCATAAGTTTTCAAGAAACCAATAGCCAAAAGCCCAATGGCAGGTATGTATAAATATTTTATAATAATATATATATATACACACACGTGTGGATATATGTGTTTTATAATAATAAAGAGAGACTAACGCGCTAATTATGCGCATCTACAAAGAGTCAAACATACTTAGCCCGAATGGACGGCGAGAGAGGGAGGGGTGCCTGCAGCAGAGGTTTTTCAAGTTTGCCTTTTTTGCTTTTGTTTTTTTTTTTAAGTCAGTTGAAAACGAGTCAAGCTCCCATTAAAACATAATTTAGATAATTTACGTTTGTATTTTTTTTTGGGATTTATTTTTTGAAATATTTTCGGCTGTGCGTGTTTCGATCGCTTAGTCACATTTATTCGAGCTTTGACGAAATATTAAAGAAAATGAGCTATAAGTAAAATGAAAGCTTGCTCAATGACCAAGCGCCACGCCCACATCGATAACTAGCAATATTTATTGTTAACCTCTAACTTAAGACCAGCAAATTGGTTTCGCCAATGAAGTGCAATTGCGTTAACAGCATTGGCTTCAACAATCGAGACAAGATCACAAATATACCAAGTCATCAAGACAAACACACATACATGTGTATATATATACATGTATATATATACATGTATATATATATAGTTTGGTGAATGAATTGAAAATGTTGTTGGCAATGCGTGATTAATGCAATTTCAATAACACTGCAATTTAGGTCTGCCTATTGTTACGGCCGCGACTGTTTCCCAATCGGCTTTCAAATTTGAAATGGGTCAAGCCGCAGGGCCACAGGCCTCCGAGCTACAGCGCTGCAGCGCGCGCACCTGTGCCAATAAGAACTGAAATACAGCTGTTGCGAAGAAAGCCAACATGAAATCAAAATTTAACTGCAATTAGTCAGAGCCCCAATCGCATTTGGTGCTCGCGCCATCTATGTATCTCTCTATCCACTTCCGTCAGCTAACATGAACCCAAAAATATAAAACAAAAACTTTCCCAACTGAGCGAACGCTTAGCGGATTTTCACCTCTATGTGTGTATGGAAATTCTGATTGGGCGCCCAATTTGAGTGTGCCAACTAAGCGAGGCCTTTGCAATATTTTAAGCCAATTAACGGTAAATTTAAATAGCAACAGCAAGAAGAAAAAGGCGTTGCGTAAATAGACATCAAAGTGTTAATTTCGGACGTTTTTTTCTTTTTTAATTTAGCAACAACAATTTTGGTAAGCGCATCGAAAGATTTATTAGTTGGTTAAACTTTCAGCGAGTTGTTATTGTTGTTGTTGCTTCTCGTGTTGCCATGAATCATTTTGTTAATAAGAAGAAGAAGAACAAACACAACATTTGACTTTCACATAGTCCAAATAAAATTCGAAAAGTAAAGACAAAACGTGAGTCAATCTGGAGCTGTAGCCGCCAGACAGAAACCTAAAGACAGACAACGAATAACACACACACACATTGCATAATGTATGTGTGTGTGTAAGTCAGCGACCCAAACAGACAGACACCCACGCAACTTACTGACAGCCGCAGACAAAAGTTAAACACAAAGCCAACTTTCTCAATGAATCGCATGCAGAAAAAAACAAAAAAAATCAAATTCAATATTATTTATTTTTTATTTTCTGAATGTTGTGAATACCAGCTAAATGTGAATGCACTCATTGCACATTCTTGAATGCAGCTCACCTCTATCCAACCAAACAGGTTAACCTACGCCCAAAAGTATGCAACATTCCAAGCGCACTTAGATGCAACTTCGAACCTTAAACTTTGAACTAGAAATTTATGAACGCAGTTATAATATGATTGAGTAAAAAACAATCAAAGCATATCTCTTTAGATTGAATTTTTTCCAAGAATACTTACATAACTGATAATCAAAACTTATAGATTAGTATATCGATATATCAATATATCAATATATCAATATATCAATATATCAATATATCAATATATCAATATATCAATATATCAATATATCAATATATCAATATATCAATATATCAATATATCAATATATCAATATATCAATATATCAATAATATCAATATATCAATATATCAATATATCAATATATCAATATATCAATATATCAATATATCAATATATCAATATATCAATATATCAATATATCAATATATCAATATATCAATATATCAATATATCAATATATCAATATATCAATATATCAATATAACAATATATCAATATATCAATATATCAATATATCAATATATCAATATAACAATATATCAATATATCAATATATCAATATAGCAAGAAGCAAGACAGCAGGCAGCAAGACAGCAAGAGAGCAAGAGAGCAAGATAGCAAAGGATACAGCAAGAGAGCAAGACAGCCAAGAGAGCAAGACAGCAAGAGAGCAAGACAGAAGAGAGCAAGAGAGAAAAGAGAGCAAGAGAGCAAGAGAGCAAGAGAGCAAAGAGCAAGAGAGCAAGAGAGCAAGAGACAAGAGAGCAAGAGAGCAAGAGAGCAAGAGAGCAAGAGAGCAGAGAGCAAGGAGCAAGAGAGCAAGAGAGCAAGAGAGCAAGAGAGCAAAGAGCAAGAGAGCAAGAGACAAGAGAGCAAGATAGCAAGAGAGCAAGAGAGCAAGAGAGCAAGAGAGCAAGAGAGCAAGAAGCAAGAGAGCAAGAGAGCAAGAGAGCAAGAGAGCAAGAGATCAGAGAGCAAGAGAGCAAGAGAGCAAGAGAGCAAGAGAGCAAGAGAGCAAGAGAGCAAGAGAGCAAGAGAGCAAGAGAGCAAGAGAGCAAGAGAGCAAGAGAGCCAAGAGAGCAAGAGAGCAAGAGAGCAGAGCAAGAGACAGAGAGCAATAGAGGCAAGAGAGCAAAGAGCAGATGATGCAAGGAGAGCAAGAAGCAAGAGATCAGAGAGGCAATCGAGCAAGAGAGCAATAGAGCAACGAGAGCAAGAGAGCACGAGAGCAAGAGAGCAAGAGAGCAAGCAGCAAGAGCATAGAGAGCAAGAGAGCAATGAGAGCAAGGAGAAGCAAGAGAGCAAGAGAGCATAGAGAAGCAAGAGAGCAAGAGAGCAAGCGCGGCAAGAGAGCAAGAGAACAAGAGAGCCAAAGCAAGAGAGCAAGGCAAGAGAGCCAGAGTAACCAGAGAAGCAAGAGAGCAAGGAGCAATATGAGCGAGAGAGCAACAGCAAGACGCAAGTCAGCAAGACAGCAAGAGAGCAAGAGAGCACGAGATGCAAGAGCAGCAAGAGGAGCAAGACGAGCAAGAGAGCAAGACGAGCAAGAGAGCACGAGAAGCAAGAGAGCAAGAGAGCAAGAGAGCCAGAGAGAGCAAGAGATGCAAGAGAGCAAGAGAGCAAGTCAAGAGAGCAAGAGAGCCAGAGAGCAAGAGAGCAAGAGAGCAAGAGAGCAAGAGAGGCAAAGAGAGCAAGAGAGCAAGAGAGCAGAGAGCGCAAGAGAGCAAGAGAGCAAGAGAGCAATAGAGCAATGAGAGAAGAGAGCAAGAGAGCAAGAGAGCAAGAGAGCAAGAGAGGCAAGAGAGCAAGAGAGCAAGAGAGCAAGAGAGCAAGAGAGCAAGAGAGCAAGAGAGCAAGAGAGCAAGAGAGCAAGAGAGCAAGAGAGCAAGAGAGCAAGAGAGCAAGAGAGCAAGAGAGCAAGAGAGCAAGAGAGCAAGAGAGCAAGAGAGCAAGAGAGAAGAGAGCAAGAGAGCAAGAGAGCAAGAGAGCAAGAGAGCAAGAGAGCAAGTAGAGCAAGAGGCCAGAGAGCAAGAGAGCAAGAGAGCAAGAGAGCAGAGAGCAAGAGAGCAAGAGAGCAAAGAGCAAGAGAGCAAGAGAGCAAGAGAGCAAGAGAGCAAGAGATGCAAGAGAGCAAGAGAGCAAGAGAGCAAGAGAGCAAGAGAGCAAGAGAGCAAGAGAGCAGAGAGCAAGAGAGCAAGAGAGCAAGAGAGCAAGAGAGCAAGAGAGCAAGAGGCAAGAAGCAAGAGAGCAAGAGAGCAAGAGCAAGAGAGCAAGAGAGCAAGGAGAGCAAGAGAGCAAGAGAGCAAGAGAGCAAGAGAGCAAGAGAGCTAAGAGAGCAAGAGGAGCAAGATAGCAAGAGAGCAAGAGAGCAAGAGAGCAAGAGAGCAAGAGAGCAAGAGAGCAAGAGAGCAAGAGAGCAAGAGAGCAAGAGAGCAAGAGAGCAAGAGAGCAAGAGAAGCAATGAGAGCAGAGAGCAAGAGAGCAAGAGAGCAAGAGAGCAAGAGAGCAAGAGAGCAAGAGAGCAAGAGAGCAAGAGAGCATATATCAATATATCAATATATCAAATGAGCGCAAATATATCATATATCAATAGATCAATAGATCAATATATCAATATATCAAGAGAGTCAATATATCAATATAGCAATATAGCAATATATCAATATATCAATATATCAATATATCAATATATAAATATATCAATATATCAATATATCAATATATCAATATATCAATATATCAATATATCAATATATCAATATATCAATATATCAATATATCAATATATCAATATATCAATAAATCAATAAATCAATATATCAATATATTAATATATTAATTTGGACTTAATCTGGGAGTTGTTTATTCCCATAGCACACACACAGCTAATTCTAGGTACTCACCTTGATATTCGGCTGCTGCAACTGTAAGAAGGTGGCTACTCCATTGCGCACACGATTCTTGACGCCGCGGACTGTACCCTTGGAGGAGCGTATGGTGGATGCCTGCGAGGAGCGGCGCATGTCCTTGTAACCAGCAAAGGCGTCCTCTTGTTCCAGCTGCCCCAGCTGTTGCTGTTGCTCATCGTCGCCAGGTAGACTTAGCGCTTCGTATTCCGGCAATATGCGACTGCAGCTTTCCTGTCCGAAACTTCGATAATTTGCGTGTTCGTTCACGTGGAAATTGTAGTACTGATCGGCCTCGTATTGCAGAGGTCGTCCATCAATTTTGGTCGCAATTATCGACTGATTTATATCGTCTATAACCCGCACAGCATCCCTGTCCCGTATATCACGCAGCAACGAACTGGGCAGTAAAGTGCCCAATTTAATCAGCGGCGGCGCCTCATGCGAATCGTGCAACGAATCGCAGCTCAACGATGAGCTGCTCTCGTCACACTCCTCGCTGCTGTCCGTCAGGCTGTGGGCACGTGAATGATTACCAGACTGCCCGTTCGAGGTATTCACACGGATTCGAGTTGTCTTCAAATGCAGCTCCAGCTTGGGCACGCTTGTGTTGCTGTTGCCCTTGTTGCTGTTGCCAATGCTCATATTGCTGATGGCATTGCTGTCACTGCTGGGCGATTTGATGCTCTCCAGATCGCTGCCTGTGCCGCTATCCAAGGTCTCGCAGGGTGAATATTGCCCGCTGGATACTAAATAGCATAGCTGATAGGGCGTTGTGACAGATTGTGCATCCGTTTGTATTTGTTGTTGCTGCTGTAGCGGTAAATGCAACTGCAACTGTAACTGTTGCTCTTGTTGCTGGTGTTGCTCATGTTGTTGCTTAAGCCGTAATACCATTTCGCTATCGCTTTGACTATCGTTCAATTTGACCACGCTTATCTGCTTGCCCAGCCTGGCTGGCTGGCTTTGACTCGAATTCAAACACTGACCGTTGTCGTTGGAGTTGTCGTTGTCGTTGTCGTGGGCTATCTGAATCTTGACCGTGTGCTGTGGCGCACAGACACCAACTGTTTCGGTCGATGCACCCGTTGGCCAATCGACTGACGTTAACTGACTAGCATCACCGTCTCTCTCAGCAGTTTCTCTAGATTGCAGCTGCTCAGCTGTCGCTCGTAACACGTTTCTAACGTCATCGGCAACATTGCAGCTGATAATGGTTGATGTTGGCGCCATTTCACCAGCTCCAGCAACATCGTTCGCCAGTTTAACCTCGGCCTCGCTCTCCGTTTGGCCAATGCGCAACAGCAGCTGTGGATATAGCTTTGTTGCAGGCTCGCTTGTTGCCGTTGCTGTGGCTGTTGCTGTTGCTGTTGCAGCTGTTGTTGCCACTGTGTTGTAACTGGTTTCTGAATCCACATTGCTTGCATGGTCAAACTGCAGCGTCTGCAAATTACTGTTGCTATTGCTATTGCTCTTGCTGCTGCTGCTGCTGCTGTTGCTGTTGCTGTTGCTGTTGTCCCCAAATGCCAACAACATGGCCTGTGATTTAAGCGACATTTCGTCGCTTTCAATGTTGATGCCTACCGGCTTAGCTGGTTGCTCAGATTCAATTATTATTGAAATGCCGCGCAACGGCCTTTGGTGCTGCTGCTGCATGCTGCCAATTGCTGTTGTTGTTGCTGCCATAGTTCTGGCAACAGCAACTGCATTTGATAATTTGATGCGCCGCCAATATCTAATTTCAAATTTTATGCAATTGTCTCGTATGTCTGATTGCGTGTGTGTTGCTGCTGTCGCTACAGGTTGTTGTTGCTGCTGTTGGTGTTGTGCTAGTTGTCGCTGACCGTTGCACAGCGCATTTTACAGTTAGTTGGCCGCATGCAGATTGTACCTGCAACAAAAAAGCAAACAGAATATGCGATTAGCAAAAAAGAGAGGAAACACATAGACAGAGGCAGATACAGAGACAGAGAGAGAGAGAGACAGAGAGAGAGAGAAAAAGAAAGAGAGAGAGAGACTTGGCCAACTGACAAACTGGCCAACTGGTGGACTGGGTGAACGCTGCCAGCTCGTAGCATGAGCTTGACATTTAAGCCGATGATGTGCCTGGCTCAGAGGCAGACGCGACGACTAATAAATGTTAAAGCTGCTACAAAGCACAAAAACAGCAAAAATAATAAAATGACAATAAGCAAAATGGGAAATATAAATAATCATCGTAATAATGGTAAACACAAAACCGCATTCACAGCTGTCAGAACCGCAAAGAACAGAACAAAACAGCAGAAGGTAAGCCTAAAACAATTAAGAGAAATTCGAGTAACGACTAGAAGATACTCTACACATTATATAAATCGTAAATATGTACATCCTGTATATAACTTTAATCATTTACTTCACATAACTAATATATTCAAGATATCTAAGATATCTCAATCTATCTCAAATATTCCATATTCCAAGCGTGAAACATTTCCCAACGTTTCCAAGTACAGTTTTTGCTTTTCCTACGATCATAGAGTAAATCAATCTATGTATTTCCTTCTATATAGTATTAGTATTCTTATATGTTCTTCATTATTAAAGCAGTGATTATATTAAATATTATTTCATAAAGATAATTGAGCCACAATTAGTGCAGGCCATTACTATTTAAATGGGAAAAGATGCAGGCTAAGTTTTTCAGGCTGTCATGTGATCATTACTTTTGTTACTATTTGTTATTATTACTATGACTACTATTACTACTATTGCTATATTATGAATTGTTTTATTGTCATTATCATAATTATCGTAGAGCATAGTATCTTCTATTGCCAAAGTGGAGAGAAGAAACTGAGAGGACTGACCTTAACGCTCAACAGCTGGGAGATGCCGATATCAATGCAAAGTTATAACACATAGAAGGAGTCCACCTGCAGGATAACTGTTGGCTTCAAGGTGCAAGGCAGTCTAAGATTCAAACAAGATTTTCAAATAGAAAGCAGCAAGTGCTGTCCGACACGCTGGACAGATAGAAGACCTACCTCAACCACAAAAATGCAGTCATTATTATTTAGCTCATTATCATTATCCTTAACATAACTATTTAAAATCATTTTACTATCGATTTACTAGTTTAATCATTATCATTATTATTTTTTATTTTTTACTATTATTATAATGATCTATATCACACAGGAGTGACATTATCATTATTATGATTGTTTTTATATATTTTCATTTTTTATCTTATTTACATATGTAACTGCTCGACAAGATCTTCAACTAAAATATTATGACTATGTTATGACTATATTTCGTATTAGAGCATTTGGTATATGCTCTAATACGAAATATTCTTCTTGCTTCTTATTTATTGATATATTTGTCTTATTAACTCTTCTGATCGATTGATTGACACGTCTATAGGGACTTAGTTCTGTGGAGTTTCTATGATATAATCCACACAGCGGCGTTAAACAGACAGCAAAATAATGAAGTTCATTGTTTCCGAATGCGAATACAACAGCATCTCTTCTGTATTTCATTCTTTCCTTCGAACATCATCGATACTTTTAGAGTACAAAAACAGAACAAAAAAAAAAAGAAAAAAATACTTTTGAGAACAAGATTTACATACGTTTGAAGTGGATGTTGGGCTGCGGCTTTTGTTGCTGTTGTTGTTTCTGTTATTGTTGTTGTTGTCGTCGTTGTGTTTCTGAAAACTGGTAACTGGTTACACTTGAACCTGGCGCTGACCAGTTGCTGGGATACCCAGTTCGCAAATATTTGAAGCGGGCGGGCAAGGCGACTCCAAATGTCACAGTTGTTGTTGCTGCTTTTGCTGTTGCTGTCGTTGTTGTTGGCCTGCATTCGCCGCTTGCTGCACACAAATTTCGTTTGGCGGCAACAGCAACAATACGAAATAAAAAAATAACAAAAACAATAATAAAAAAAATTTAACTAAATTGTGCAGGCAGCTATTTAAGGGGCGGCAGGGCGTAGCTGGCACACTCACGCAGACAGGCACACGATCACACGCACGGACGCACGCGCGCACGATACTCTTGAGCTTCGATCTGAAGAGTTTCAAGCTCAAATGGTTTAGTTTTTCGGTTCTCGGTTTTCGGTTTTCGATTTTCGATTTTCGATTTTAGGCGCCTTCAAGCAACGCGGTGCGTACAACTCATTCAAAATCGCGCTGGCAACTGAAAACCGCAGCAACAAAGTCGCGCTGGGTTGGCATGCTTTGCCAGGGATTTGTTGTTGTCGTTTTTGTTGTTGTTGTTGCTGTTGCTGCTGTTTGTTGTATATATTTTTTTCCTACGTGCCTCTGTCGCTGCCACGATGGCTGCTGTTGCTTTTATTTTTTAAATTTTTGCTTTCAAGAAATCCAAAAAAAAGAGCAGCAGCAGCAGCAGCAGCAGCGACGTCGTCGCCAACGAAATAACTTAAAACAACAAGAAAAGAAAAACAACAACATCAACAAACGTCAGGCAATCACAGCAATAAACGCTGCGCTGCGTCGACGCAGCCAGCAGCAGCATCGGAGCGGTAAAACAATATGAGCTGAGAATTTGTTTATGTGCGCAGGCGCAACCGCAGTCGCAGTCGCAGTCGCAATCGCAGTCTCAGTCGGTAGTCAACGCTAGCAGCGCATTGTACACACCCCCATGACGCCACTGCCCCGCAACCCACCTGTTGCTGCCGCAGCGCCTATTATTGTTGTAGTACTCGTTTGTTGCCAACGTTAATTGTGACGGCTGCCGCAGCCCCAAGCCGCACAGTGGATGGGGATAATATATTTTTCATTTTCGATTATTCAGTCAAATTTATAATTCCTTAAAATTGAATATTTACCAATTTATTTATTTTTTTTTTCCTGAATTTATTCTTTTTTATTGTTATACAACAAGGAAACGTTTTACTTCAACTTTATTTTAAGCTTATTTTTTAGTTTAGTAAAGAAACAAAAATAAATTCCGGTTTTCATCTGAATAAAAAAAACTATTTTAAAAGCTTGAAATATTGCCAAAATTATCATTCTTTGGTAACACATGGAATACTTAAAATAATGTAGCGTTCGTTTTCAATTTTTTTGTTTTCGAGCCAGCTGAAATGCGGCAAACCTGTTACTAGCGAACAAAACCAGTTAAAATGTGTGCGCTATTTGTAGCCACTGTGCATTCCACTGTCGGTCGCTCGGTCGCATATAAACGTCGACTTTAGCGGCATTCGTCTTAGCTATTTCATTTATATCTCGCCTGCCTTATATACATGAATGCATACATATTCATGTATGTGTATGTACATGCATATGTATGCATAGCTTACAACTGGGCATGGCTCAATGGCTTGATTGTCTTTCTCTCTCCATTCCACTCTCTTCGTTTCTCTTTTCTATTTTCAGCACTTAGCTTTACTGTATTGTTGTTGGCGCCCGCTGCTTGTCTCTCTTAGGTACCGCCGTCTAAGATTGACTAGTGCTCGACGTCGCTGTAAGCGTCGCAGTAAGCGTCGCTGTAAGCGTCACTACTACTACTGCTACTTCTGTTGTTGTTTTTGGTTTACCATTTAACGTGTCTGTTATCGATGGATTGGCTTTTTTCGATTGTTGTTGCTGCTGCTGCTGCTGCGGCTGTTATTGTTGGAGCTGCCACAAAAACTATGCCAACAATTTGTGGGCAGGTGTCGCCGTAGCAGCAACAACAACATCATTATATTGTTGCATTTGAAGTTTCGTTTTTAATTGTGTTCGCCTGGCTGGATTTCCATTAACATTTATGCAAAGGCTTTTTAAATTTGTGTGTGCAATCAACGGAGCCACAAACAGAAAGAAAAACAAAATTATTCGAATGCACATGAGCAAAGTTAGCGAAACGGCAAAGCAGCAGCAGCACCAACTGCAACACACCAACACCAACATCAATACCAACTGTAACAACAACAACAAACAGCTGTAATTTTCCGCTAATTTGATGCCCAAGCTACTGATGGCCGCTGAGCAAAACTTAGAGCCTATTGAGTGCTTGCTTGCCCAGCTTGCTGCTACCTGGTTACCTAGCACTCGTTTCCCTACTCTGCTCACTGCTGCTACTTGGCAACTGTTTCCGCCCGTTGCGCTTCGCTGCGGCCAGCCCAGGTGGGGCCAAAGGCGCTCGCCTGCTGGGTGGACAACAAGCTAAGAAAGAATCACAGTTGTGCCAACCGTTAGGAATGCGTAGCCTGCGTTGCAGCTGTGTCTGTGGCTGCCAAACTGCCTGACAAAGTGCTTGGCAGCTCGTTAACTCAGGCTAGATACAAGTATAAAAGCTCAACCACATGACAGCTGGCTAAAGAGCTCTTTTGACACTATATACAGGTACAGTAGGTACAGCTACTACATAACATACATATATCATATTCGAGGCATTTGCCAGATCAAATATCAAAAATATCTAACTATTAAACATTTTAAATTTGAGGGTATACATCCAAAATAAGTAAATTATCTAAATATAATACTAATACTATGAAAGTATATATAGCTATTTATGTATACAAGGATGAAACTAATTTACTCTTGTGTAAATTGAAATGAAAAATTGGAAAGCATTAGCTTTATACATACTTGCTTTATTGTCATTAGGTAAAATATTGTTATTATTATTATTATTATATTATTATTGTTCATCATTAGCAATCGCAATTATACTCAAGTATTCTTCCATAGCTGGAAGATATGTATAATATCATATTCCATATTCTTTTTTCAATTTTTTTCGTTCTTCTTAACAATAGAACAAAATACAATATTCATAATAATTAATATTAAACAATAATATTATCAATTAACACATACAATAATTACTTCATATTGTTTCGCTTCGTTTTCGTGGTTTACTTCAAGCAATTTGTGGGTTGGATTTTTATTTCGGATATCTTGGCATTGATATAGTTGTATATGGTCTTAAAACTGCATCCGTAATTATTGTCAACATCGATAACACTTGTATATATGTATATTATCTCAACTATAAATAGATGTGCGGATTTATGTAGATGTATATATTGTACAACTATTTCATATCAATCAACACACACAAAGACATACATCTGTATGTGTACATATATAGGTACATATTGTTTTATTATCATATCTATATATATATATATATATATATATATATATATATATATATATATTTATATAGATATATACATATATACATATATATATATATGTATATTAAAATTTTTATATGTGGAACTTTTCTTAAATAGTCATGCGATGATATCTTGCATTAGATATATAACCCCATTAATATTTTGTATAATTATAGACCTTCGTAGTACTCTAGTTGAACGGTTTCGTTTGTTATGGTTAGGCATGGATCGAGTAGGCTATGCTATATGAGTTAACACCCGATATAACGCGAATTCAAATATATGTATATATATATATATATAAAGGCTTTGTCTATAACAATTAGATTTTTGTAATATGAATAAAGAAATAGATGCATAGATGCTTCAACAATAGATATGTTCGTATTATTTATCCGACGACTTAAGAGCTAAAAACTTTTCGTATCGTTTACTCAGAAAACAAAGAAGCGAAATTGAATACTCATCAAACAGGAATAGAATATCTTTCTAGTCATCATCATCAGCAACAACACAAAAAGCTGAGCGAATCACAACAGAGAATTATATATATGTGATATATAGGTATATGTATTTGTATGTATAACCATTGTTAGTGTTAGCTGCCCCATCTCGTATTATAATTTTCAATATTGGTTATATGCACATATATATATATATAGACCGTGTATAACTTAAAGGATATGGTAAGGTTCCATCATTGCTTAGTCAATGAACATATACGTATACACAGAATTTTTTATATATAAGTTAGGTAAAACACACCAACATAAAGAACTGTCACAAACCGTTAGATCTTGATTTTGCTTTAGCTTTGAGCATCAGTAAATGCTTTAGACACAATGTAATACAATACAATTACGATAATTACAATAAAATATAATATTTATATAGGTATATAAGATATAATTATATATATATTCATATATATGTATATATTAGGTGTAGTCAGCAATCGGTTTTCTTTTGTTTTGTTTTTTTATTAACTTGCCATCAATTTCACTTTGCATTTTATTTCCTTCCGTCTTTTCTTTTAAGTCAACAAAATCCAAGAATCAACATCAAAAATGGAAATCGGAAATGTGTTTACATATATGTATACGGGTAATGCCAAAAACAAAGCTCGAGCATTGTATAGGTATGTCCCACTTTCAGCTCTATTGAGGCAAAAGAAAACAAATATGTAATATAGTCGAAAAGGCCTGACTTGTAGATACTCTGTAGCCAGAGTTCACACAGTGCGCTTCTAGCTCCCTCCCAATAATACATATGATCTGTAGCTTGGTTGCTTATATGTCATTATAATATGATGGGATTCGCAACTACCAGGGTATATTACCATTTAGATGCCTTGGATGTCCAAAAAGGAAATATTCTCTATACTCGTATACCCATCGTGCATACTGCTACTAAATTTGATAGCTCTAGCTCTTATAGTTCTCTATATATAGCGATATCATGGCTACAGAGTATATATGGCTGCATTATAGTATTTAATTTCGTATTGTTTGCTATGCCAACTGCTTTATACACATAGATAATTAGTTATAGTACACCGAACATACTAAATGGAATTATGCGAAAACATTTTCTAGATATTTTAGCTGTTTTGCTTTTTGCTTTAATATTATTATTATAGACTTCTTTTTCAGTATATCATTCTCCTTTTTATTGTAGTTGCTGAAACCGCGCAGAAGGCGCTAAGTTCACCTCTCTTGGGGCTCCTGTTGTTACTGTTTGATACTTCTACTACGGCTACTGTTGTTCTTGTGTTTGGAGCAGTCTTTGGGAACATATAGATACATACATGGGAGTTACCGACACTGCCTTCATCGGATTTGTTTTCTTTTTTGATGACTTAATGTCCATATTTACAGTTAACTGTTATGTATTTTGTTATTATTGTCTTGATGTGCAGCTGATGCTGCTGCACTTACTCCTCCTCTTCCTCGAGCGACTTCTCGGGCAGTCCATATTTGGGACAGCACATGCCCTCCGTTCCATCCATGTTGAAACAGAAAACACTGCGCTCCAGCTCGGTGGGTTCATGTGGCACAATGCCATGTACCTCCTTGAGCTCTGCTTCAGGAAACCAGGCGGGATCCGAGTCCTCGACCACCTTAATGCCGCACAGACTAGAATTAAGCATTATTTAATATTGGTATCTGATAACACCTTTAGAAATTTCGAAAATAAATCGAGAAATCGCTTAGCTAATGAATGTTTTTCTAATTACTGAATGCTCTCTTAGCTTTCCATTAAGCTCTGAATTTAGATATCGAAGTATTTGATCTGGGAGCTGCAGATATTTGAACTTAATGGAGTCTATTGAAATACAGGTATAAGCAGATATCAATACCTAACGAGTAAACATGCCCAACTAAGAAGTATAAAACTATCTATATTTTCTTATATGTATACTGATGTACGACCATACATTAACGTAGCTTGTGTCAACCATAAGATTGAAGAGGCCATTTTGCCAGATGGACGCTGTTAGTGATTCATTTATGACGGTTGAAGTGGTTAATTGTAGGATTACAAAAATGTGGCATGGTACGATTAAATGTTGCATGCTTCCACCTTTTATAGTCTTCGAGATAGCTCATAAATGAAGTATTCATAATTTGCTTCTGCTTTACAAGAGCTTGACTAGTTCTGGAGTTTGGCCACGAGATATAGAAAAAGATTATGCGAATATGCTATTATATACATATATATACCCATATCTTAAGCGTTTTGTGATCGAGAGAAGCTCTGGCAGACGGAGAGATAGACGAACCTGGCTTCTCATTATACAGATATATACACATGAATGGTGTCCTAGTAGCCTAGAAATTGAAAGTGACTGCAGGAATAATTATGGGGAGGTACTCATATTCCTGTATTATCTAAGTATATATGATATAGATGATGATTACTTACCGTAGAATGGCCACGAGTGGAATCCACAGTATGGAGGAGAGGATCAGTATGAAGGCGACGACAATGCACCAATGTGGCCATTCCATTTTCTCGGTGGCACCCATGGCTGCGATCCAGGCCGGATAGCTACTGCCCTCAGTCACCAGTTGATAGAAGGAGGCCAATAGGATGGTGACCATGGCACAGGGTGACAAATACTTCCAGCAGAACATCCAGTAAAAGCCCGGCCGGGAGCCGGTCATCATCTCAATATCATCGGAGAAGCGTCTAACGCCATAAATGTAGCTAATCGAGAGGCACTCGAACAGTGCAATGATCAACAATGGGAAATTACCAGCAAAGCTGTCCATTAGCTGAAAGATATAGCTGCCGGCGCCGTTGGCAAAGCACATGGAGATCACACAGCAGGAAAGGCACAGAGCCTACAAAAAAGAAAGAAACAGAACCAATATAGGAATAACTTAAAAGTGAAGTACTATATATATACATACGCCCACGATATATTCCTTGGGCAGATTGGGAAAGAGTTTCATGTCCACCAGAGATGTGACCACGCCCTCCAACGTGCCAAACTGCGAATCGATGCCCAAGGTGAAGAGCATTAGAAAGAAGAGCACAGCCCAGAGCTGGGCCCCAGGAAACTGATTTATCGCTTCCGTAAAGATGATAAATGCGAGTCCCGTGCCAGAGGCACTCTACCAAAACAAAAGAAGCATTCAGGGTGGAAGTTGGATAAGTTGGGTGTAGATTGAAGGCATCTGCACTTACATTGGCCAGCTCTTGTTGTAGATCACAAATAGGCAGATTGTGCGTCCGATTCAATGCCACGAGGCTGGCTCTTTCCTCTGTGCAGCGGTCGAAGGTCGCCGTAGCCTTAAAGCCAATCACCGCAAAGACAACGACGCCGGCAAACATTGAGGTGCCGCAGTTGGTCATCGACACCAGGATAGCATCCCTATAGCAATTATTGTTAGCCGGATTATACGAGCTGAACGCAATCAGGCCGCCAAAGGCGAGTCCCAGCGAAAAGAAGATTTGGGTGCCAGCCTCCAGCCAAACAACCGGATCGAGAAGCGTCTCCCAGCGTGGCGTAAACAGATGAGCCACGCCATCGGCGGCCCCTTTGAGTGTGATGCCACGAAAGAAGAAGATGATAAGCACCACATACGGAAATATGGCCGTCATATAGACAATTTTGCCCGAAGATGTGATGCCCTGCACCATGCAGATGTAGACCAGAAACCAGGACACAATCAACGCTATGGCCATATGATAATTGAAATGCTCCGGCATATCCACGCTCTCCGAACACTGCAGCGTGGTGCGATACCAATAGAACTGGGTCGGCGACGAGGCCACACACTCCGGCTCATGATCGTACGTATAGTTCTTATAGAGCCGGGTCGGACAATCGGCCCACGGCAATGGCGATTCGAAGCTGTGCAGCAAGTAGATCAGGCACCAGGCAATTATCGTGTTGTAGTAGAGCGCGACAATGAAACTGACCACAGCCGACGAGATGCCAATCCCACCCAGATATGGTGACACCTGGCTCCACACACCGATGGCCCCCTTGCGCAGTCGTTGACCAATCGCCAGCTCCAAATAGAAAATCGGTATACCCTGCACGCATAGCATTATAAAATAGGGTACCAGGAAGGCACCGCCGCCATTCTTCTGCGCCAAATATGGAAAACGCCAAACATTGCCCAGACCAACTGCGTAGCTGCAACCGAAACAAAAGTTTATATTATTTTCATATTCAATTTAGAGTGCTCAGCGAGCGTTAAGACCCGGGCACACCCAACTCTGCGCCAAACAGAGCTCTTCCTGTTCGTCCTACAGATGTAGGCATTAAATAGCTTGGCATAATAATGCTGTCCAAATGTGTGAATATGTAAGGTATGTGAGGTGATTGTGTTCATCATAGAAATGTTGTATATGAGAACGTTGCGTTTATACGAGCGGACAGATAGATAGACAGATAGACTGCTCGTTGTAATCAGAAGTATATATGCTATAAATATATATACTCTTTCATACATTTGAGCACGAGCTTGAAATGCTACTTTTCGTAAGTCTAAAGCAGTCTAAAGCCACCCGAACATTGGAGACCCTTCTAGGCGTAGAGCTTGAAAGTAGTTTAATGTCAGTGAATTATATATAATGTATGCAAAAAGTGTAACAGGAATAAGTAAGCTTACCCAATGGTAGCTAGCAGGAACATAATTTTGCTATCCCAACTCTCGCGCTCCTCGCCCTCTTTTTCGCCCTCAACAATGTCCTGTTGCTGCTGCTGATCGACACCAGTGGTGATTTCGTCCTTGATCCTGCTGGTACTGGTATCTGAGCCAAAAGGTGGCTCCTGTTCCAATTCGGATGACTCATCAAAGGCATCGGACATGAAACCCTGATTCGTCGCACCGTACATGGGCTGATGATGGTGATGCAGCGATGTGTGATGATGATGACTGACGCCATGCTCCTTGGGCACCAGGCGGCCACGCAGCTCCTGAACGCATAGAAAGAAACTTAAGCACAAGTGGATCACACTTATAACATCAACTCACTCGCAGCTCCAACTGATCGATACTCCTTTGGGTCTTGAGCACAATGTCGCGCGAGCTCTGGCGACGTAACAATTGCGCTGTATTCGCCATAGTCGATGTTGCGTTAAACGGTAAAAGTGTTCTTGTAGTTTTCGATTATTGTTTTTTATTTAGTTATTTAAATCGTAGTTAATTTAAGATAAGAGTGCTTTTTGCCAGTAGGAAATCGAATAATACTTCGTGCAGGTGCTAATTGGAACACTGCTTGCTGCTGAGTGCTTAGATATGACTGCTTGCTGAACTGTTTGCTGTGCTGTGCTGTGTTGTTCAAGTGAGTAAAGGATCGATCGACATTCGCATTGCATACTTTAGTGCACTAAGTAAAATTATCACTAGACGCCATCTTAATTGCAGTTTGTTCATTTCCTTTGTTCTTGATATGAGAAAGAGAAAGAAAGAGAGGGAGAAAGTGCTAAACAAAATGTAATTGCACAGGCAAATGAAGACGAACGTAAAATAACTCAATGGAATGTAAACGTATCATGCAGACATAACAATCTATCAGTGTAATTACAAATAATAAAGACAACAAGCATTCCTTCTACCCGAGCCCCTGACAGAACACCAACTGACAGTAAGAGGTCTGAAAGCACCCCGTCCATAATAAATCAATCAAGCAAGCCTGGCAACAGCTACCCACACAAATACATACACACACATACACACACGAGCACCTTAACACCCACACAGATTTATGCGAAAGGGTTTCAGTAGAACATGATAAGCTGCACAAATGTGGATAGAATACTGGATTTACTCTATTAGATATATCTGCGTGTCACATATGAAACTTAAACTTTAATAAAAGAAACCTTGACTTCGAAATAGGTATGAATTTTAACGATTTTTTATTTCGTGTTATCAATTAGGTTCAGCATTCACTGAATTTCACTATATTTGCAAAAGCCGTTAATTCTACGCGCAATTAAATAATTAATGTGATTTTTTCATTTTACTGAGTTAACATAACGCTAATACAAAAAACTTTGTTGTCTACTTTTCGGCTGTCACTTTTACATATGCATATGCATATACATAGATGTGTATGAACGCTCACGCAAATTAGTTTGCCCTTATATAACGAACTGCTGCGAGTCGAGCATAGGACAAAGGACTCTTTTTCGAGAATCTCTGCACGTGCCACTGTGCAGGTAAGCGGCTAGGCATTAATCGTGATTAAGAGCCATAGTACATACATAATATATACCATGTAAGTACATACATACATTTATACTTATTCGAGTATTTATGTATATATGTATGTATGTATAGCTAATACAAGCTAATCAACTTAAGACCTAACAACGGGACGCAAGGACGCGCTCCGCACTGCTGAAACTGCAGGACGATGGCAAGAAACTGTTGAGCAGACAGGATGAACACCAGGAGTCGTACTCACTGAGCTCTGTTGCTCAATTGAGCGCGCGCGCAGTCCTGGCGATGGCAGCCAGCGTAAGTTAAAGCGAGATGGCAGCATTAGGAGGCACTTACTGTTCTAAATGGGAAACGCTTTGTGTCAATAGAAAAGGCCAAAACAGAGAAATGGCCAGCAACAAATTAGGCCACAGCAACCACTGCGAGACACAGCTGATTGGCATATGATTTAACATATGTGCACGATTGCGAATTTTTGAATTGAAAAACAGCAACGACCGCTATTTCGAAATACGTTATCGAAATTTAAACACATGCTTAACAGCTAATAAACGTAGCGTTACAGAGAGGCGCAACAACGCTACGATATTTCATTATTCGGTTGTCATCGCTAACAGCTCCTATAAATTGCAACACTTAGCAGTCAGCAACCAGGATGCCAAAAATATTAAATTGGCACGGGCTTTATCAGATGTGTAACAGTTACGTTACACTTCAAATTGAAACACAGCAGTGTCTCGGTGTTCGTTAAAGCATAAACACATGTTCAATAACGTAAAACGAGTAAATCAACAACGTAAAATATCTAATTGACGCAGCACAACGTAATCCACACGTTACGATATTTAGTGCCCGCATTTGTTTTGTTGTTATCGCTACTTACAGGCACTGTATATTGCAACAGTTGCCAAAAGATTTCATAATTAACCCAAGCAAATTGGTATTGACAACATGGTCTTTAAATGCCAAGAAGACAGCTTCCTAAAACAGGTGAGCAACAGAAATCCCTTGCTAATAATGTGAAAAGCGGCATTATCGCCCTAATCTCTTACAGTTCCGGACGACCGTTGTCTCCTGCGACTATGCCACCTTGGAGTGGACTGGCGAAGATAGTAGCAGCACAGAGCCACGAAAACTACGCGGCTTCAATGTGATCTGCGAGAATACCATTCTGTTTCCAGAGGGCGGAGGCCAGCCCTGCGACTACGGCACCATCAATGGACAGCCGGTTCGTAGTGTCCTGCGCAAAGGAAGTACGGCGGTTCACTTTGTGGAGTCGCCAACCTGCTTTGAGGAGGGTGCCGAGGTGCAGCAGCATTTGGATTGGGCCCGACGCCTAGACCACATGCAACAACATTCGGGTCAGCATCTGATTACCGCCCTGTTTGATCGAGAGTTCAAGTATGACACCACATCCTGGTCACTGGGCGGCAACGTTTCTTACATACAACTGAGCACACCACATCTGATTAGCCGAGAGTCACTCGACTTGATTGAGCGACAAGCCAATGATCTAATACGTGAGGGTCGCCCCGTCAGCGTACTGCTCGTAGACCCGGAAGTGGCACAAGAGTTTCAAGATGCACGTGCACCTCGTGGACTTCCCAAGGATCATGAGGGACTTGCACGTGTAGTTCGCATTGAGGGAATAGAGTCGAACATGTGCTGCGGCACACACGTCACCGATCTGTCGCAACTGCAGTGCATCAAGTTGCTGTACGCCGAGAAAGTCAAGGCAAATGTTTTGGTTTACTTTGTTGTAGGCGAACGTGCTTTAAGGAAGCTTGGTGAGATTTTCACACGCGAGCAGCAGCTCACAGTGGCGCTTAAGTAAGAAATCTCATTTCACGATAAACTATTGGTAATTAAGGTAAATGTTTTAGGGGCGGACCACAGCAGCATCTGGAACTTGTTCAAAAGCTTCATCAAAATATAAAATCCACACGAAAATCGTTTCAACAGCTGCTCAAAGATTTCGCCAATGCTGCAGCCGATCGCCTGGAGAATCTACCAAAAGCCGCGCGACCCAAATACTTCGCACTGCATCGCCGTGACGGCATCGAAGTAGACTTCATCAACACATTTTTGCGTAACGCCCCAGAGGAAATATTCTATTTCCTTACCGTCTCTGAGGGCGTGGCTAGTAGCAATGGAGCTAAGGGGCACATGGTACTGCGCGGGCAGCCGGCGTTGGTGGAGCAGTTTGGGCCACAATTTATGGAACTTCTCGAAGGCAAGGGCAATGGCAAGGACAACAACTTTCAGGGGAAGATCACAAATCTGGCCAAACTGCAGGATTGCAATGCGCTGCTGGAAGCGCATTTTAAGCCAAAGAAAACGAACTTAGATCCACCAATCGCTTCGTGAAATGGCATACATTTTTACATTTCAAATGCTAATTTGTACTATTTGGCATTTTTGTTCTTTAAAAGATGTACATTTTATGATATTAAACATAACTAAGCTGAGGTAACAGACACGATATCTAAATGGAGCATTCAAGAGCAGCAGCATCACAGATAATTAATATCGTAGTTGCGCATCTTCCACTTAAGACGCCAGAACTGATTCCAGAAACCTACGTCGATGATGCGCTCATAGAAATTTATATAACCCACTGTCGTATATTCACAGATAGCCGGGTAGGTGCAATCATCATCATCATACAAGTCCACCCACATGAGCGTGAAGAACCCAAGAGAGAGGAGGCGCAACTTCTTCTGATTAATGGCACGCTCCAGCATAATCAGGTATTCAGCTGACTCGGGATTCTGTTGGGCCGGTGGCAGAGTTATCATGCGGTTTGTTTGTTTGCGCAACAGCGTCATGAAGGCGAGGTTGTCTGGATTGCGCTTGGCCATCTGGTATAAAGCGACAATGCCTGTGCCGTAGGCGATCGATTTCTTGGGCTTGGAATAGGACTCCTTGATAACACCAAGGCCCACTTCTGAATAGTCACGCAGCAGTCCTTTCCAGTAGTTTGCCCACTTCTCGACGACAGTGCCCTTAAAGCGAGCAGGCAGCGTAAATTTCTCCTCTAAGCGCGCACGCAACGCTGTCATACGGCTGCCCACTTTTAACAAACGCATTATGCGGCACTGTAAGAAATAATGTAATTCAGGTTTATGCAACTAAAACTAAGAATCCAAATTTTTACGTTTTGTCCCGAAGTTTAGATTAATTATCGAAAGTAATGTGTTACGTTGTGATAGCTTGATATTTTTCTCATATGCTTGAGCTATCGAAAACTATCGATAGACTTGCGGTGGTATCTAGACAAAAACGCTTTTAATTGGACTAATGTGTTATTGTGATTAAAAATCTTAACGGACATTGCTCAAAACTCATCTTGTTTATTTTTATTTAATTTAATATTATATATAACTCTACTTGGCATTAAAAATTTTTAACCAATTATTAATTCCGTTGATTGACTTTCCGTTACAAATTTCCACAGACTGACACTTAATTGAAATTCAATAGGCAAACTATCGAATGATCTTCTAAAATTGGCTGTTTTCGAACTTATGTTTGTGTTACAAGCCGATATACCGATATCGTTGACAATTACAGTGTTGTTTTGACATTGGTTCTGCCCGCGCACAGCGAGATAATTGCATAAAAAAGCAAAACAAATGTTATTTTCAGACTTTTTAATAACTATTGTGTTGAAATCAATCGCGCGTGTATACGTTGCGTCCACAGTCTGATTCATGCCAACGTCACACAATATCTACTCCAACTACTCACACAGTCGCATACACTACACAACTCGCCTGCGTTTTGCTGCGCGGTTGGACGACAACGACGACCAGAAACAACCACAAATTTTATTTATCAAAACGTCATTTGCGCCGAACACTCGCTTTTTATAGTCTCGGCAACGGGGAAATTACAGTGCAACCGAAGGCGTTTGTTTGTTGTTATAGTTATTTTTTTTCGTGGAGACAACTAGTTAACAATTTGTGCCCGCTGACAACGCAAGAGAAGCCTTAAATTGCAAATCAAAGTTGCCAATTGAAAGAAGACAAAAACTTGTTGCTGCTCACTGCTGAGGCTAAGCGTCGGCAGCAGAGAGCATTGTGAAATTAAATTTGAACGAGCGAAAACCAATTAGAAAACTACATTTGCCAAACTGGAGAAGTGGAAGAGAACTCGCAACTCCACAAAGAAGATGGACAAACGCCAGAGTAGTCCAGTGGGTGCTTCATCAGTAGCAACTGCAACACCAAATGCCGATAAGCCCACAGTTCTGGAAGGTATATGACAGTTGCAATTATATTTATTGGAATCACCTACATACATATGTGAGCATATACATACATGCATACGTATGTATGTGTTTATTTTCATATGCATGATACACCAGGCAACGTAAACACATATATATATATATATATATATATATATATATATATAAGTATATATATATATATATATATATATATACTTATATATATATATATATATATATATATATATATATATATATATATATATATATATATATATATATATATATATATATATATATATATGCTAATATATATACATATTAGCATATATTTAACTAACGGACACTTTGGGGCTACTTTTATCAGCAGCAGAACTCGAGAACAAAGCCAGCTAGCCAGCCAGCCATACAGCTTTCAACTCCTGCCCACAGGCCAATCTATAAATAAAACTACGCATTAGCTACTTTTGTATCCTAGCAAGGGATATGCGCACGTACGTACACACTAACACACACACACACAAACAAACATGCATATGTGCGCGTGTGTATGTGTGACCTGTTGATTGAGCTATTTTTATGAGAGTCCCATTTACAAATACGAGTCGACTTTGAGCTTGAGCTGCATTAAAAGCAACTCACTCATCTATCGGACCGTCAATGTTAATGCTAATGTTAATGCTTCTATTGATGAAATCTCCCCAGCAGACAGATTAGACTAGATTATAAGCTCTAACATATATGTATGCATATGCATATACATACATATATTTTTAATACATCATAAAAATAAGTATGTGATATTTATTTAAGCCAGCTGATAGCAATTATCTATGAAGCTAACGAAAATAATGTTAATATATTTCGTGTTTTTTAGATATAAAATGGTAGCAACAGACCAACAATTGTATTATTATTTATTTGTATGTATGAATGAGCAGTATAAATATCCCAAATCTAGTTGAACTAAAAAAGAATGATAAAGATTAAAATGGGAATATATAGTGGCGAAAAATATAATAGCACCAATATGACACATTTTCATATGCGTGAACGAATTTTGGGCTTTTGGAGCTGTTTCCAAATGTTCAACAAGGCAAGTTTAATAAAATTGTAAATGTGTTGCTAAATTTATAATACATTTCATATTATATACCGAAACAAAATAATATTTTATAGAAAATGTTTACATATAAATATTTCCAACAATTAGACAAATAGACATTGATCATAAACATAAATATTTATGTCTAATTGGATCGAAATATTTTAGCCTACCAACCAATTCGATGGTCATACGAAATGAACATGATAGAATTACAAATATTATATATCATATATATATATATATATATATATATATATATATAAATATATATATATATATATATATATATATATATATATATATATATATTAATAACTCGATGTAACTGATCTGTTGCTCGCCGCCCTTCTCAGTTAATCTAAACAGAAATTATTTGATGTGAACTCGAGCTGAAATCTCATTGAGAAACGCCCCCATTAACGCATTATTTGTTGTGCATTCCACAGGCGTGATGTACAGCATATTTGATGGACTCATAGACAAGGATGAGCACGTTCGCCAAGCCATGCAGCAGGCGATTGTGAAGATCCTGGAGACGCACCCATTGCGTGCCACGATTATACTGACTGATTATCGCGCCAAAAACCCTAAGCTTAGCGAACAAACTGTTTCCATGCTATTGGAGTAAGTGGATCCGAACATACCCTGCTTCTACTGCTTTAGTAATCTCTTCAATATGTGTTTCAGTTGTATCCATAGAGTGCTAGGGGCAGACACTTCGCTGCCAACGGCTGCTAATGAGAAGCTAATTGCCTTGGCTATCGAAGAGCTTACACGCAGCGTGGATCAGCATGTGCCATTGATACAGAATCCCTCATTGCATATACTGGTATGCATTGGCCGTGGCGACGATTGCAATCTGGTCGTTGAGGCACTGCAGGCGCACAGCGTCTCCTCGGGCAACGTGCCGCACTTTATGCTAATGCAATGCCTCGGACAAATGGCCATGGCCAATACAGCGGGTCTGGTTCCACACATCAAGACAATATTAGCGGGCTCTTTGCCACATTTGGGTGGTATTAAGCAGGATCATGTAAAGCTCGCATACGCTTATGCAATTGGACGCTTCAGTGAGGCGCTGTTAGAGCACGGGACCAATACGCCCACTGGCGAAACAAAGGCAGCCGCCAATTGCGCGACAGAAATCAGCGTTGCCTATGATGTTCTCTTCAACCAGTGGCTACATTCCCGTGAGCCGAAGGTGTGCATGGAGATATTACAGGCGCTATCCAGCATGTATCCGCTCTTACCTAGCGATCGAATATTGGATCAGGCGCCACGTTTGGTACCTCAAATATTAACGCTCTATCGGCGTAGCGTCGATCGCAATGCCGTTACACAGTTCTTGTGCTCGGTACTAAAAACAAATCTCTCGATGCACGCCCAGGTGTTGGATGGTGTGATCGATGCGCTCATAACTCACCTATTCGACCTGGTCTGCGTCTATCCGGACTACGAGAAGCCACAAACAGTCAAGGGCCACTACGAGGTCTTGCGCTGTTTTCATCTGTTGGCTGGCAACTATGCAGCAAAGATAATGGACACGCTGCTCATTCATTTACGCAATAACAGCGAACGAGAACGTATCAAATCGCTGCTCATATTGACGCACATGCTCAATAGCTGTGCAGTTCACATTGAGAGTCGCCTCCAGGCACTCATCGACTGCCTCAAGCAGCTGATGCTAGCTGAGCGCAGCGTTAAAATGAAACTAACACTACTTAAGACGATTGTAGCCCTGGCACAGAAGTCACTCATACGGGACAAGGAGTTCGTATGGTTTGTGGCGCGGCATAGTTGCAAATACAGCAAAGTGAGCCAGGAGCACGGCACATTGGAGGAGCATGCCACTCTGGTACTAAGCTGTGAGAACGCTCTCTTCATGTTGTCCTCAACAGTAGGCACATTGGACGAGCTGCTAAAACGCGAGCTGCTGAACTACTTTCTGCTCTTGGACTACACTGACATTTGCGGCAATCTAGCAAAATGTTTGGCCAGTTTGTTTGCCAAATCACCGCACATTGAGTATGATATAGCCAGCGATGATGATCAGCCATCGTTGCCAGTGACAGTTGGTGTTGAAGGGGCGACAAGCACTGAGGATCGTGGTGCGGCAGTTAAGCGCGGAAAGGTGATCGTTCCTAGTGCCGAAAGCATCTATGCTCGATGTCTAGCGTTGCTGGGCAATCAACAGTGTATCAAGCGATCATCGAACATACTTAGCTTTCTCAAGTACTATCATCCGCAGTTAAATCCGGCTCTGGAAGAGCTCTGGGGACGTCGCGTATCCGATATGCTGTTGCACATTAACAAGCCTCAGGCGTATCTGCAGCAGCTGCAGGACTTTGTGATGGAAACGAACGAGTTTCTGGGAACACGCGATGAGCATTTCCCCCAACGTTTGGCGATCAAGCTAGCCGATCAAATGTATTTGTATCCCATGCAGTTGCCGCACTCAGAGTGGCAGCTGCCCGATCTGAGCGCCGAGCGTGGCATGCTGTTGCAGTCGGTGGCGCTGACACTCTGCCAGGTGACAGACGTCGCCTGCATTCATACAAAGATCGATTTGATTGTAACAACGGCGCGACAGGAGCGTCTTGACAAGCACGTCAAGCACGCAGAATACGAGCGACGCATCGAACCCTGCGCACGCGCCCTAGGCTATATAGCACGCCAGCACTTAGCGCATGTGATCAAAAAGCTGTCTGAACTGGCACAGATGGGCGGTCGTAAGCATTCGACGGGCTTCTTTAGTACCTTGCATTTTATTAAGGATACGCACAAGGAGCTGGAGAGCTACAAGAGTAATCTGCTGGTAGTAAAATCCTTTGGACGCATCATGGATGAAGCGGATCCATTGCAATCGCTGCAGCATCTGGATGACGCCATGCTCAAGTTTTTGATGATTCAGTTGGCCGACCACAAGGATCAAACCATTATGTCAGCCATATTGCAAACCCTACTCAGCATTTGCAATCAGCTTATTGTTACTAAAGAGCAGCTACCTGCGCCGCTCAAGCATCGCAAACAAATTATGGAAACTGTCTTTAGCATACCCATTGAATCGCCTTTTAATGATTTGCCCCTGCTGCCCACCATCTTGAAGCTTGGCACAGATTTCATACGCATCGGTGAATAAGTGGTTGGAGGCTAAGCGTTATATCAATTCTAATGTATTTAATATCCTTACATCTCTTATAGGTGGCAGCGATAGCTCCGAGTGTGTTGACGGTAGCGTTATCTTTGAAATAGCTTGTAAAAACTTTTTCGGGTGCGCTCGGCAGTTGAAAATGAAGTTTGACTCGCAGGAAGAGGATGAACACAACAGCTTTCTGGCCAAGCACCTGAATGAATCGCTGCCGCAGCTCAATGCACTGGTACGTGCCATTGTCGAACTGGATGCATCTCCCTCAACGCTTGACCTGATCATTGGCATACTAGAGTGCTGGATGAGAGACAAGAACTCTGAGGTGCGCATTTGCGCGAGCCATGTGCTTAATAACACACTGGATGTCTACATTAAGTCTATGAAAATTGGCGGGTGCGAGGCGCCCTCAAAATTCAACCAAACAGGTCAAATGCTGGGCAAGATTGTGCCGCGCTGCATCGACTCGAATGGCACTGTGCGCCAGGTTTCAGTAGACATTCTGCAAAAGACGCTAGAGATCGCTTGCATCTACGAGACGTTGACTATTGCAAGTATCGACAGCAGCGCTGAATGGCTGAAAGAGATCGAATCCATCAAGGAGCACATCATCACGGATGAGCCCAAACAAATCTATAATCTAGCTGGAGATATTGCCAAAATTATAGCGCAACGCATTTCCAGCTTTCAGTATTTGCAATTTTGGTGAGTATCTCTTAATAGTGTTTGCCATATCATTCATGGCCATCACTGAACTCTTAATATATGTTCCTACTATGAGTCCCCTATTGCCTATTTATATTCTTTTCGTTATTCATTGACTCTTTAGTCACATAGCCACAATCTATTCAGTGTTGTATTTTATAAGACAATTTAAAATCAAGTGAATGTATGAATTGAAACCCTGCGCACAGGTGTTATTTCAATCACTCAATGCTACGAGGTATTCAGAATCGGAAATACCCAAAATCCCAGTGAATTCTAAATCTCTAGTTTTTGTAGTATTCCAAAGACGATTCATAAACAAAGGCAATGCAAGCTATCGCTATCTCTTTTCAACTAATGTAATTCTCAATTTATGCCTCGCACAAAGTATGCCTCTGGCATTTTGGGTTGGATATGTCCAGTTGACATTCGGCGTGAACTGCATTGAAACACTTAGCCTATGCTACATTTCAAACAACCAAGCTTGTCACCTGATAGAGTGTTTATAGAAATGCTACTCTATCAACGGCGACTTCTCAATCGTTTTCAATTTGAACTGCTGATCCTCATGTGTGCCGTCTGCAGGCCTTAAGAACTCAGCCTTAAGAACTTTTTTGACACATCAACAGTCTAGGTCAACAGTAACTAAATAATACAATTTTTAAGTCTCTAGCTTTAAGAATAGAGAAGATATAGACTTTTGCGGTTTGTCACGCCACTTATGCGGTAATACTCACTAGTATATATCAAGTCTCTAGCTTCAATACCGGCAACATTGTTAAAATATCAGTATATATAATATCAGTATATCTTTTCACTTTGTTAATGAGAATAAAAACGAATTTGTACCTTTTTTCGCAGTAAAACGTTGTTGCAGTCGCTGCGCGACCCGGAACAAAGCTCCACAATTGGTGCTAGCGTTGTTCTGAAGTTTTTCATACAGCAGAAGGGCTCGGAGCTATTCCATGCGATACCCGATTTGGTGAAGGGCAGTCTTTTGGCGCTGCAATTGTGCGAGGTGCCGCGGGCCAAGTCTGGTGTTCTGAAGGCCCTGGTGGCTTTGACCAAACACCATCCGAAGCTTGTGTGCGCGGAGATGCTGCAACAACCGTTGCCGTACGATGAGCATCTGGTCGAATATTGGCATCTAGTGTGCAATGATGCGGAGCTTACCGGGCTCATGCTGGACAACTTTTTGCAGTTGCTAAGCGGCGCTGGCTTGTGCGAGACACAAGATGGGAGCGGCTTGCCTAACGATCGCCAAAGACTGGCCAGTGTGCAACCGTTTGCTATATTCTGTGCAATGCATGAGATGATGCCCTGCAAGGACATACACGATGTACGTAGAAGAATTCAAAAGTTGTTTATTATTTAATATTTGATTTTGTTCGTTTGTGCAGCAATTGGAAGCTCGATTTGCGGATATGTTCAGCATGCTGTTGACTTCATTATCCAGCTATACGAATCTGGCCCCGCCCTTGCCTTTGGCACCGCCGGTGAGTCCCAGCCAACCAAACAAGTCGTCCAGTAAGTTTGGGTTTGTACCCAACAAAGATCTGGTCAAACTGAATCCCTGCCAAATAGCGCTCGAAACGTTCCAAGCATTCCTCAACAATCTGGAGATGGAGCAAATTGCCACAGTGTTGACAGTCAACACGCAGCTCGCTGCCAGCACCGACTGGCATAATTATATTGAGCTGTTGACGCCCATGGCCATTGGGTTGGCCAATCAATTGCAGCTAACCAGTGCCGGAATGCGTCAGCTGGTTAATGCTTTAGGTAAATATGTGGCTTCGCCTCATGATGGCCAGCGCGTTGCAGCTGTTGGGCTATTCTCGAGGCTGGTGCCGCTGAAGCCATGCGGCGAGCTGGTCAGCTGTCTAATGCTGAATCTGGGTGGCGCTCTCAGCGATCCCAATGCTGTGGTGCGTGGACTTAGTCTGCAGGGCATGGGCTATGTGGGTCAGCTGGGCGACCATGAGGCGCCGCGCTACTCAGAGATGGCGATTCAAGCTTTGCTCAAAGGTGTGGATGATACCGTCGGTGATTGCCTTATAAACATACCGTTAGAAAGCATGCGTGGTCTCTCCCGCATACTACAGGCGCTGCCCAGCGATCGGGTTGAGCCCTTCCATGTTTCACTAGCGATACGCATACGGCCCTTTTTTGGCAGCTATTCAATGGAGATGCGTGAAGCAGCAATTATTCTGTTTGGAGACTTGTGCGAGTCGAAGCATGACGATGGCAGCTGTTCGCCCACTTCTTCAATGGAGGCATTGCGCGAACAGCTCCTTGCTAATCTTTTCCCACTGGTCCTGCATCTGAGCGAGAAAGACCCGTCCATTGTTAGCGCTTGCAAGGGCACCTTACGCCGCGTGTGTCGCTTGTTGCGTGCGGTGCGAGTTAATGAGATAGCCCAGCAGCAGCTGCTCAGTGATACTGATCAGCTCAACTACAACAGTTTCGTTGTCGATTTTGTCAAAGTGATCGTAAGTAAAAGATCATAAATATTAAGTCTGCTAATGCTAATGCTGCTCTAAAATCATTAAACAGGCACTAGAACTCACGGAGCACATCCAGGACTTTATAGATTCGTGCATGCCCAAGATGCGCAGCCAGTGGCCAGAAGTGCGCGGAAGTGCTGCCATTGTCATTGGTGGGTGTCTATCAGCTGCAAAGAATTAACCGCACTTTATTAACCACATTTATACACATAGGTATATTGCATAATTTCCTTAGCGAACGGAATGCACAAACCGAATCTGTAGCCGGGAAGATTGCTGTGCTGCTTAAGGATGAGCAAGTGACGGTGCGGGTGCGGGCTGCCCAGGCTCTGGGCTATTTCTTTGGAGATATATAAAAACCAATATGCCCTTCGGCAAATGGGACCAATATGAACGCAACTCTGATCTTTACTAAGTATAAAGAACCATACCAAACACCACACACACACACTCCTCATATATTTATATAGTATTTAGTATTTGTTCGAGATGTGATCCCGCATACGCCTTCTTGTATCCTTATTATGTTTGATAACCGTTTAACTCAATTGCTCTGTTAATCGTATATGCTTTTTAAGCATATATGTATATATAAAAAAGCATACATATATGTATGCAAGTCGTTAGATTTTTGATTGTGGTATATTTATTGAATAATATATATATGTTATCCCATAAACACTTAAAAAGCGCGACAGCTTGGTCTTGTGCACGATCAGAACCACAGCTGCTTTACACGTTCGATACTCGATATATTATTGCAACTGTTCAATAATTACTGCTCGAGCTTCTGATTTGTCAATTACTTGTACTTTCCACTAACAAAGACTATTAGGATCTAAGTCACACTATATTAGCACAAGATCAAATGCTATTTGTCAGCGGACTGTTATTTTAATTCCAATAATGTTATTTGTGTACCTTTATTAACGCTTATTAAAACCAAATATACAAAAATAAATAAAACCTATTTGATTGGAATCTATCAATCTAAGGCATAGAACTGTATGCGACCACTCGACCAGCCGATGGTTAGCACCGAGCAATCGTTATCCTTGTTTAATGGCTGAAAGCAAATGAAGCTGGGATACTCCGAAAGTGATTGGCCATTTAAATAGTAGCCACCCGATATTTGCAGATCATACTTTTGAATATAGGTGCGAAAGATGGCTATAGAATTAGTTGACTTAAATGTTATCACAATATATTTGCCATGCGGATCCCATGCCAGTTGTTGGGCAGTGCCTCCAATGAGTGTGTGATTGATGCTATCCAGGCTGCATGCGTTCAGATCGGCAACCGGCATCACTTCCCTGTCATCCGATTTTGCTGTGCAAAAATTAAATTTCAAATATAAGTGCAATTCAAATTTAATTTCAATTAACAATTGATTTAGTATAAAGATTGTGGGCAGCATTATACAGACGATCTGGAAGCTTGAGCAGTCGCCTACCTGTTGCATGCCAACCTAACAAGTTTTAACATTTCTCTAGGGTAAGCTGCATAGCACGTGCTCGCGTTAAATTCTGGACAAGCACGCTGCTTGGCCCACCCGTACATTTGAAGATCTAGAATAAAACATTTACTTACAAGTCATAAGATGTAACTGCACGAACTGAAGACGATACAAGATAGGATCTGCAGTGTTTACGAAAAGCAAAAACCGACCGCAGGGCGACCAACAAGTGGCCTGAACGTTTCCGCCGTCGCATACCCAACGATCCGAAGTCCATTTATCGTGACATTTCCACACCCGGAATACGCGATCTACAGTTGCCGCAAAAATCCACTCGTTGCCTGGCGACCAGCTGAGCAGCGAGCCAGGCGGACCGAGCCGCTTCAGTGGCTTCATCCTTTTGCTATCCGGATGCCAAATGAGTATGGCGCGATCGCCAATAGAAGAGCTGGCCAGCAGTGTGCCATCCTTGTTCCACTTCAAGGAGCTAATGGGCAGATTATCCGGACTGCAAATACAATAGAACGAAAGCTAAGATATGTAGCAGACGATATTATGACGATTGACGCACTGTTTCAATGTGTGGCTGGGATTGATGGTGCGACCCAGATGCAGATTATTATCAATTATCCAAAAGCACAAGCCCTGGCTACAGCCAACCACCAGCTCAAAGGCGCACAACGGTCGCCAGGCCATGCATGTGATCTGACTTTGTGTTGGACTCTTCAGAACGTGGCCCATGCCGGCATTATTATCCGTTGTTCTGCCATAGATGCGCACGACGTCATCCACGCCGGCTACGGCTAGCTTGAAAAGATGAACATGCCACGCAATGTAGCGCACAGAACTGTTTATCCAGTCTCTGAAAATGTTTGTCCATTAATATTATCAAATATATATGTTTTAAATTGAATAGTAATATATCGAACCTCGTCTCGGCATACTGAGCAATTCGCTCTGCACTCAGTTGCTGTGTGTGCGGAAATACTTTCAGTTTAATTTTGTTATAGAGATCCAGCAGATATGCAATGGAGTCAGCTGTTTTACTTATTAGTGGCGCCTGTTCGCGGGTTTTTTCGCTTCGCGCCTCCGCCAAAGATTCCCAAAAGCCGCCATCGAAAAAGGTGCGCGAAATACGCTTTGGCACGCTTTCCGTTTCGACCGGTATGAAGCTGTGTCCGATTGTGATGCGATTAGCTGATGGATTAATTAGCTCGTTCTTTAAATTAATTATTGGATATTGATCTAATTCAGAAATATAATTATAGCGCTGTCCAGCACTCGTTGGCGACGACAAAGAAGGAATTTCTTTCAAATTGCTTAACGATGCCATTTAAATATATTGTGCTTGTTGAGCATTGGTTGGATGACATTTACGTACCCGTTACTTGTCACGAATATGCAAACAACTTGCAACCGCGCTGCCAACCTTCAATAGAAAATGAATACATCGGAACGAATCAATACTAAGTGAATATTATTATGTTATTATGAAATTTATTTCTGAAAATCTAATATTTTTAAATTCTCATATTATTAAGAAATGATTACCATCGTTTTGTTTTGCTTATAATACATGCAGTGTCTGTTTCATTTTGTGAAGGCTCTAACGAGTTATTAATTAATTGAAATGAGTATTTTGCGAACCAACGCCATCAGCTCAGTTCAGAACCGGTTAGCATCCCTCGTTTTTTTCTTTATTGTTTGGCAGCAAACAAATTCAAAACGCGATCTTAACCTATTATTATTAACAAATAGTGGTCCAGTAGGTCGTTTTAACGTTTTAGTTTTACTTTTAAGCTGACATTTTTAGCATGTGGATTGAGGCATTCAATGCGAGAACGCAATTAAGATCCGTTTAGCTGCGTTATTCACGCATTCGTCCAGCAGTTGTTTTTTTTTTTGTTTCGCCTCGCCGCCAATTTTTACGAAATCACAAACTCGCGCGTCCCGTATAAATTTCTATAAATATAACTGATTGGCCAGGCCAGCATTGCAACAAACAATAAAGAGACAATGCCTAACACGAATAACAACATAAATAGCGATAATGTTGCACACGAATTCAAGGGCCTAATCTCAAAGCTCAGAGAGGGAGTCCATCCCAAGGACTCGCAGGAATTGATGGGTAAATAAGAAAAGTCTCATCACTAGCCAGCGATATCAAATATAACTTTCTATTTACCAGATCGAATGGTGCCCCTTGCCCTGCAGTATATACATAAATATCCCGATATATTTGATAGTTCGCCGCCATTGCCAGAGATTATTTGCTTGGATAAGATTATGACCATATTGGAGTCGAATCCGATGTGGGGAGATGAAGACAAGCCTGGCTCAGTCTTCCACGAGCATTACGTTGTGGCCTCCTGTGAGGTGAGTATAAGGATTCAATTGTATGACGCACACATGACCACATACTTTTACTCGTACTCATATATGTATTTGTACCCTATGTTCATTCAAAATTTGAATTCAGGGTATGATGATTCCTTAAAATATAGTTAACAGAGGAAGGAGGCATGGTTCCAATTTCTAAACTATATATATTACGGACATCATATTATCGTCAAAGACTTACAATTTGCATAAAATTATTGAAAAATCATCGATAAAGTTTTGTAATGTCACATCGATTAAAGTCAATACCAAACTTCAGTTATTTGGATTCAAACCATCAGTATTTATTATCCCAAAGTATACATAGATAAGGAATATTCAAATTAAAAATATTTACGGAGTGTAGGGTATTTCCAAGTCAAGTACTCTAAGTTTCATTTTGTTTTGCTTATTTCTTTTTTAGATTGAAGATCATCGTACACGAGATCTGCTATCGAACCTCATATTGTTTAGTCTGGAAAATGATTCTGTGTATGGAAAGGAGGATAATGAACAGACGGGGCCAAGGCCACGCTGCAAAACAGACATCACAACCAGGAGCTCGTGCAGCAGCATCCTTCACTCGAATAGCATAGGCCTCAATGGCAATAAGAATGGTGTGTCCGTGAAACCCTGTAGCTACGACTCGACACAAAATAGCGTTGGATTAGGCAGCGTGCCCTTGCCCAACTACATTATGGAGATAACAAAGCAAAATAGCATAAATACCGAGCACAATGTTGTGCAGAATGCGATATATTCATTTCTAGGCGTACAGGGAAAGTATCTTAAGAAGGATGTTATTACAGGACGCTTCAAGCTTGATCCGCTTACCTTGAAGTCCATTTCGAGTGTGCAGGCTGGTATGCTGTTGCGCCTGTCCGAGCTAGGGTATTATCATGATCGGGTCTCCAAATTCTCCAATACCATGACTGGCTATAATGCGATGGGCAGCATGGGTCAGGCATTTATGGCGAAACTAAAGTTGGAACTGAGTGAATTTCATGGCCAGGTGGCGCTCTTGCAGGACCAGGTGAACATGTTTCGACAAGCGCAGATGCGAGACTATGTCGATCGCGATCAAAGCTGGTTGGACAGACAGCCCGAGCAGCTTACGCTATTCAAATTACTCTGCTGGTATATGGAGCCACTGCGTCGTATGCAATGGCTTACGAAAATTGCCGATGCCTGTCAACTGAAGAAGGGCGGTGATCTGGCATCCGTTCTCTATACATTTCTTAACAATGGTGATCCCATGGTCAATCAATTGGCCAACGATCTTTTAACCGTGAGCTGTGCCCCATTGGTGCGCATGATCTCAAAGTGGATGCTCGAAGGAGGCATTGAGGATACCCACGGGGAGTTCTTTATCGAATCACTTGATGAGGTTGGCGCCGATCGTCTGTGGCACGATAAGTTTCGCTTGCGACACAGTATGTTGCCCAAATTTGTGACACTCGAGCTGGCCGATAAGATACTGAAAACCGGCAAGAGCATTAACTTTTTGCGTGAGATATGCAAGGTAGAGGAAGCTGTCAAAGATCGCAAGGAGCTGAAGTATGTCATTGATAATCATGGTAAGTTCAGAACAGAGACATTAATATCAATCCCTAATTAATTTTCAATTGAAACTTTTTTCAGTTTCTCACATCTTCTCATATGTGCCAGATACGACCTGGCATGCGGCCATTGAGACTTGCTATTCGCAGACTTCCAAACATGTGCTGGATATTATGGTTGGACCACACAAGCTTTTGGATCATCTGCAGGGCATGCGTCGCTATTTGTTGCTTGGCCAGGGCGATTTCGTCAGCATATTTATTGAGAACATGAAGTACGTGCACAGCCAAATTCCGAAATCCAAATTCTTAATTGTTTTGCTTTTGCAGGGATGAGCTCGAGAAGATTGGAACTGACATTTACTCACATGATCTCTCCGCAATGCTGGATGCCGCTTTGCGATGTACCAATGCTCAGTACGACGATCCAGATATATTGAATCACTTGGATGTTGTGGTCAAAACGCCATATCCCGGAGACTGCGGTTGGGATGTCATCTCACTCCAATACACGGTTCGCGGACCATTGGCTACCATGCTGGAGCCTGCAATGCCTACATACAAAGCCCTATTCAAGCCACTTTGGCGCATCAAGCACATGGAATTCGTATTGTCTACGAAAATTTGGAAATTACAAATGGGCAATGCCAAGGTGAGTTTTTTTTTGCATAAGTAAATGTTAGGCTATTGTTAGCTCTTTTCATTAATCCCACACTAAAGAACGATTTTTAAAAACCTATCGATTTTGATAAACAATTATACGAAATATCGATATAGAGCAAGTTACCGATGAAGCAAACATGATCATTGTTTATAAGAAGCAGCTACGAGTCTCCAGATCGACGAGCTTATAGGTGTAGGGCAGAATGTGTACAAATAGCGCACAGAAACACTCGACCAGGTACAACATGTACAGGGTATAATCGTAATAAAGAAGAGCAAAAGTTAATTGCGAGCTTTAAGCCCCCACCAAACAATATAAAATTAAGCAGCTTAGTTATGGATAAGATTAGAGCACAATCTAATCCGTATCATTAAAAAATTGCTGAAGCATTGCTGCACACTTGCTATTGCCGTCCTATACTATGATAAGGGGAAGGCTATCGATATCTGGGTATCGGGGCGTAGGTTTAAAGTACACATTCCTATATGTATATATATATATATATATATATATATATATATATATATATATATATATATATATATATATATATATATATATATATATATATATATATATACATATAGATATTAATAAAATAATTAATTAGGCACAGATTCCTCTTCTAGGCTTATGTATTATTTTCTAATTACACATAGTATAAACATACAAAAAAATAAGAAACAGAAACACACACATTGTGGAAATACGACGAAGTATCGCAACTATGATGACAACAAAATGTAGAAACTGGGGTATGTGCGTTTGTACTTTGTGAAAGCGCCAAATGCCAGTTTACAATTTGGCGTCCGTCTTGAGTAGAGGCGCCAATTTCTGGGTCAGCATAATGTTCCCTGCTATCTTCAACTTGCCCTTCATGAACGCTGCCTGGGGATTGAGCTTGCCGAGGGCAATATCAACCATATCCTCGTCCGAAACCGTCAGTGTGGTATCGACCTTGACGCCCTGGGCGGGTCCCTCATACGCCTTGGCGCTTTTGCAGTCAAGAGCTGTAAATTAAGTTGAGTGAAGCAATTAGTTTGGCGAACTTATCTCAACAGAAGCCGGTTCTGAAGTACGCGCTATTTGACTGCACTTTGAACTTTGCTAACACAGACGTGTAATTAGTGAGCGTTCGAACAACTACTTACTCCATTCCTTGGCCACCTTGCCGTCCTTGGTAATTTTGTACAGAAATACTCCATTAATAGCCTTTGCCTTGGCAGCATTATCCTTTAGTCCATCGATGATTTTTTGGAATACGGCGTCCGATTGCAGCGACATTATTACAGTTCTTGCTCTTTTGAACTGCGATTTAGTTAATTTGAAAATAAAAACAACAAATAAGTATGATTCGTAATGCGAAATTGTATTTCAACAGTGCGTCAAAATGCTTACACCTGAAAGGAAAAACGTCAAATAGTGAAACAACAACGGCAATCGTTGATATTTATGTGCTTTTTCTCTTCTAATTCTGCTTTGCACACGTTTTCTTACACTCGATACTCATTCATTTTCTAACTCGCACATACACACACACGCACCAATAAAAAAATCGATAGTCTGTGTTGGAGTTTGCACTCTCCTTCTTTTTCCCTTTCTATCTCTCTCCCGCACTGTCGCTCATTTGATGTTCTGTTAAATAACATGAGCGTAACTGTTGGTGCTCTGTATTCGCACTGTGCACTGTACAAAGTGCGTCAACAATTTGAGGATCATAAATAAATATAAATGGGAAAATAGATAAGGTTTAGATTATGGATTACGGCTTGCTTCGGCTAAGAAATTATTTTAATAATCAATTGGATACACAATAATAATATATATATATATATACATGTATATATATATATATATTTATATATATATATACATATAAGACCTGTTTTAATCAATAAGTATAAAATTTATTATATTTCATATTCAATTTAGATTAATATTCAATTTAGATTAATGCTTTTTACGCCTATGATGCGTTCTCAAATTTTTCCGGATCAAGACCGGCCCGCTTCATCTGGACGGCAATGGAAAATAGGTAGTCATAGCACTCCGACCTGCAGGAATGAATATTATTTCTATAATATAGTCATCCTGTTTGTTACTCACATTGTCTTGGCCTTTTCCCATGTCTGACCCCATACGTAGACGCCGTGACGGCGAACAAGTACGGCACTGCATCCGGGATATTCCATCATCGCTGCGTACATGCTGTCGGCCAGATCTCGTTCGTGGGGAGTATTCTCGATGATAGGCACGATAAGCTGCTCGTCGTAACGCAAATATCGCTTATCAGCCTCATCGTAGACGCCCTAAAAAGAAGGAGTTCACTAAAGCTAAACAGAGCAGCTTATAGATAGCGTGGCACTGGCACCTTAATCATTTCCAAATGTGTACAACGAAACGTTTTGCCTGACCAGAGCAGCGTAGCCATAACCGCATGCTGGGAATGAGTATGGATGACGGCTTGGGCATCGCGGTGTCTGTATGCCAGCATAAAGAGCGGTGTGCATTGGCTCTTCTTCAGGCCCTTGATCTCTGGTGGCAATTGCAAGTCTTTGCCATCTATATCTTGCACGAATAGATCCTCAGGCTGCATACGTTCCTTCTGTACACCAGATGGTGCGATATAAATTTCATTGCTGTTTCAAAATTTAATCAAGAGCTCTCTTTTTCTGTGTGTGACAATATCTATGTTTGTTGGACTTGCTTGTATTTAATACTCATGCCGCCGCCAGTACCGGTGACCCAGCCAAGGTGATAGAATTGGTTGCATAGTGCTGGTATTAAGTTACGTGGGTGCTCTGCTGGCAAATCCTTAAAAATTGAAAAAGCCATTGGAAAGACAGTGATAAGACAGCTGCAGTTGCTCAATCACGCATTCGCAATCACGTATGTAAACAACTGATGGAAATGTTACGATTATTCGTTTCACTGTCGCTCTGCGCGCTGTTATTGCTATCGATAGCGATATCTGAAGCGATAACTGAAGTTTAGTTTAAATACAAAATGTTCATATATTGACTTAATACTGATAATGATGTTGATTGAACCATTTGTCTTGAGTTTGTTTAATATTTTTATGTGGTATTCTTTTATTTTAAATTCTCTATACATATTTTTCAGGCACTGCGCTCGTTGGACGATGAGATATCCAAAGCCACCTATAGATTGCACCTATTCACATCGGAAATTATGCACTTCGTTCATCAAATGCAATACTATGTGCTCTTCGAGGTGATCGAATGCAATTGGGTGGAACTGCAGAAGCGAATGCAACAGGCAAAGGCGTTAGATGATATACTCGATGCTCACTCCAAATTCTTGCACGCCATCAGCATTGGATGCTTTGTGAACACTTCGACGAATATGGAAAGTCATTTGGAAGTGGTTTATGAGAATATCATTTCGCTGGAAAATTGGCAAGCCAACTTTTATAAGGACTGTTTTGCCGAATTGGAAGCACGTGAGCAAATGCAAATAGCAATTGCTGAATCTGAAGGGAGCGGACACTTCGGATTGACAACGGAGCAAAAAATGGAACGCGACCAGGAGCGCAAGATATTTGAACAAAAGATCTTAACATCCTGCCGAACACTTGAAGGCTTTGCCGGCTCCTATGGCAAAGCCGTTGGTGGCTTTTTGCTGGCCCTTAACTCAAGTGATGATCCCAATCTGCAGCTTTTTGGAACACGCCTGGACTTTAACGAATATTACAAGAAACGAGACACAAACCTTAGCAAGCCGCTAACCTTCGAACACTGGCGCATGAGCAATGTATATGGTAATGCCAAAAGCCATATGGGAGGCCGCTACAGTATGCATCCGCAAACAACTTCACAGTTCGGACATCAGGGCCATACATCACTATCTTGGGACTAACGTTCAGTCTCCCAACAAACACGCCAACCCAGTGCCAACAACAACAATTGCTTGAACAATATGAAACGTGAGAAAACATTTACTTTGACTCGAGGATCACATTTGAATGTCTTGACCACAAATTGTTGCGATGTCTTGTAGATCGCAGTTGTTTCTATTGTCATTTAATCTGATAAAAAAAATATTTAGCCACTGCACGCTAGCTACCTGGATCTTAAAAAATAGGAATATTGCCAAAGTATCTCTATGAAATTATTCGTCTACTTACTCAAGTCTTGATATTCTTTGAAACATAAGTAGATAAAAAAGAACGCATATTCTTTTTTCTCTCTTATGTAATAAAGCACAATTGTATACTGTGTCGAAAGTATTAGAAAACTCAAAATTATGTGGTATTAAATTGAAACATTCTGCGTCTATTTTGTAGCCAGTTTTATCTATCTGCACATCCAACAATGTTGCTTACGTCAAATTAATTAATGAAAAGATATGCATTTTTCTGTTTTATATCTGATATAAATTGATAATGCTATCTTACAATTTTGTTAATTATCTATATAACACGAGTACATTTTAAAAATAAGCAAATTATAGAGCAATGCCATATAGAATGAAGTATGTGATTGAATTAAATGAAACGATTTTAAATGTTAAGATATTAAAAGGAACTCCAAAAATTCTAAATAAATGGTTATGTATTTTAAAATGTAATTTGCAAGGCTATTAACAGCATTTTAAATAATATGTATCAAAATATTAGAATGTATTTTATTAGTTTAAAATGTTGGCGGGAAAAGATAAGCGATACGGGTTATCGGTACGACCGCATTCTTATATTATTATCATCGATGTCAAATGTGAAAGCAGGGCTATGCCTATCGATAGCTTATGCGATATCGGCAGCAATTTATTTTTTTTGTGTGGCGATAAACAAATAGCACAACAAACTTGTAAAAGAGCGACAAAAAAATCAATTGCAAAAAATAACACAAGAATGCTATCTAAGCCAAGTTACTTGTCGCAAACAATTAAATTCTAAAATCAGTTAGACAAATAAACAAGCTCATCAGCTTATCAGAAACAAAAGTCGTCAACAGTTTGGATTCGCAGCAAGTTTGGTGTGCACTTCGCGTTGGCAGTGATTTTTGCAAGTGCAAAAGCAAAAGCCAACAAAAGAGAAAAAGAACGAATGAAAAGATAATAGCTGCCGGCTGCTGTTACATTAACAATACATATTAAAATTCGCTGTCTCTTGGTGTTTTTTTTATTGTTGAGTTGTTAAATTACAAATTTGAGCAAACATATTGCTGCTTTGGAGGCAAACAAACAGCAACAACAACGAAAGCAACAAAAGCAGCGCACGCATCAACTACGACGACGTCGACGAAATGGCGTTAAAAAAAGTGAAGGGAAATTTCGAGCGCATGTTTGATAAAAACTTGACAGACCTTGTTCGCGGAATAAGAAATAATAAGGATAATGAGGCAAGTGCCGCGACCAAATAGTTGTGGTTGATGTTCTTACCATGGGCCAACACGACTTGTTAATTAGCTGTCAAATTTCATTTGCATTAACATAGATATACGTGTGTGTGTGTGTGTGTGTGTGTGTCTGCACATGTATGTGTGAGTGTTGCTGTCAACATCTGCCAAAGGCTCAAAAGCTTGACTCAATTAGCGGCATTTCGCTGCGTCTCCCACTCTATCTCTCTCTTTTTATCGTCTGCTCTTAATGTCTTTCAGTTAATTTCCTTGATGTGGCAACTCACACAACCACACTGACAGCCAATGAAAACGCTCTGCCACTCCGAAGCCAAACTTTCATAATGTATTTAAGCTTGCGATGCCTTATCAAATCCAATGAATCTTATTCTATCGCCCAACAGAATATTTGCAACGGCCGTCGCCCAGAAACATATGTGTACAAAGTCTAGTTCGTTATAAGTTTTACCCATTATCTGACTAATCCCGGCTTCTCCTGCTCTTATCGCTCTGCAGCAGCAACAATTTTAACTTTCTTCAAAACCAACGCTGCTTTATGTACACTGTCCGTACATACATATATACCCGATGCAGTTGTATTCAGCTAAACTGATAGCAGAAGACATTCCCCTTACTCCCTATACAGTTGTGATGCATCAGACTCTGGGTACTTTTTCCTTCTTTTTTGTTTTGTGTTTGATTCCGTCCGCCTATCGCCGTGGGTCATGCAGATTGCCCATGAAATCTCTGTATGATTAGACATGCTTTGAATTGTTTTTGAATACAACATACACACACACACACGGTTTTATTTTTTATTCAATTGCCAATCGCCAATCGCATATTCATGATTTTTTGATTTTTACAGGCCAAATACATATCTCAATGCATTGAGGAGATCAAACAGGAGCTGCGTCAGGACAATATTAATGTCAAGTGCAATGCAGTGGCCAAATTAACCTATGTAAGTTCGTCCTTAACCCCCATAAAGTGAGGCGTTAAATGAGGTGGAAGCACAAGAAAATGTCTTGATAGAATTCTTATTACGTTCAACTATGCATTTTGCCGTGTAGATATGTTAGGTATTAGAATAGTTTAGTGAAGAAGATAATATGTTAAAGAGATATCTTTTCCAATCTTTATTAGGGTCTAAATTGACAGCCAAGTCAAATATACATATGTAGCTGGACAACTCAAGTCGAGTTAGTCATCAATCGTTGCACAAAATGTATCGCATTTGCTTGGCTTGCCAATTTAGAGTCTGTTGAACACGTATGCCAATATACTTTTTATTGATTTTCTATGTGTATTTATATTTATTAATAGATACAAATGCTCGGCTATGATATTTCGTGGGCAGGCTTCAACATAATTGAGGTGATGAGCTCCTCGCGCTTCACATGCAAGCGAATCGGTTATCTGGCGGCCAGTCAGTGCTTTCACCCGGACAGCGAAGTAAGTGCCATCTGATGCAAATACCAAAGACTAATAAGACTAATAATATATCACATGCAATTACAGCTTCTGATGCTTACCACGAATATGATTCGCAAGGACCTCAATTCACAGAATCAGTACGATGCGGGCGTTGCTTTAAGCGGGCTCAGCTGTTTCATTTCGCCAGACTTATCGCGTGATCTGGCCAATGATATTATGACACTGGTAGAGCGCAAAACATGCACATGTATGAGAGTAGTTGGATTTAATTCAACATCTTGTCATCCACAGATGAGCTCGACCAAACCGTATCTGCGCATGAAGGCTGTGCTAATGATGTATAAGGTATTTTTGCGTTATCCCGAAGCATTGCGACCCGCATTTCCCAAACTGAAAGAAAAACTTGAGGATCCAGATCCAGGTGCGCCACAAGCACACTCACACACACATATTTATATATATATATAATATATATATAAATATATATATCGCAATTACTAAAAAATTGTTTTGCTAGGTGTACAATCGGCTGCTGTTAATGTCATTTGTGAGTTGGCACGCAAGAATCCAAAGAACTACCTGCCCTTGGCGCCGGTATTCTTCAAACTAATGACAACGTCGACTAACAATTGGATGTTGATTAAAATTATCAAGCTGGTGAGTATGTGCAGTGCCGCATTTGCAATTAGCTTTGAATTTATTGTTTAAAAAAAAAAAAAAAAAAAAAAAAAAAGAGTTAATAATAATTGTTTTGCTGTACAATAATATGTATACGAACTGAATATTTGTCTATCAACAAGTTAATTAACACAACTCCTACTCCTCCACTCCCTTACCTGTCCTCAAATCAAAATATGAAAAACAAAAATGAAAAATATCAAAAAAATAAATAAACAGTTCGCGAGCCTCACAACAATTGAACCGGCGCTGGGACGTAAATTGACTCAGCCCCTAATTGAAATTATTTCCAGGTTTTTATCGGCGCGCTTTTATTTATTGAAGCAAGAAGCCACATATCAAGAAAATTATTTATAATTCTTAAAAACAAACAAAAAAAACAGCACGCGCTTTAATTATATAATTTTTTACTTTTTACGTTAAGCTTAATTTAATTCGTTTTCCTTTAGGCGTTCCTCGTTAATATTTCTTTTGTAACTCAAGTATCGTTTATTTCCGCTAGATCTTTTCACAGTTTCAATTCACATATTCACTAAAAACCAATTTGAGAACATTAATTGGACGATTTGCTACACCCAAAAGCATAATTTCAACTGTAAATGTTGTTATCCAAATAATGCACGCTCATATATATATAACATATATATATTTATATATGTATATATGTATAACTGCCCAAAAAGAATATTTGGCTTACTTTAAATTTAAGAATTGATGCTCAAATTGTTTTGCTTGCTCTGACGCTTAACTCTTTTAGAATTAGTTCTGAATTAAGATTGGAAACTTGAAGTAATATTTATGTTTTAATAGATGACTGTGAGCCTTAACTGTGAACCAAATTATCGTATGAATACTATCTGCTAAACATTGGCTCCACTTTTCTTTATTTGAAGGCGGAAAAGTACATATAGATCTATATGTATTTATATATTTATATATATATATGTATATATATATATTTATATATATGTATATATATATATATATATATGAGCACTGACTGTTCCAGAGAAGAACCAGATCACACACGAAATCTCTCAACAAATGCATTACTTTGCTTTCTTATATATTCATTTAAATATATATATAATTTTTTTTTATTTATTTATGTATTTTTTATTTGTCTTACTTTGCTCATTCGATAAGTCCAACTCGTATGGTCCCAGCAATATATGTATGTGAGCTGTACGTGTGTATGTATGTGTGATGTATGTTCTCACTACATATATTTACACGCATGTACATATACATACACACATATGCATATACAGCGTATAGATGAACTTATTATTTGAACTTACTTTTATAAAATTTAATTTCAGCATTTATATTTATTTTATGGTTTTTGATAACGATCTTAATTAGTTTTATGTATTCAAAAACAAAAGAAAAAAGATTTCAATACAATCGTATGTATGTATATTGTGTATTATGGTATAATTTGTTGCTTGTTTCTTTTCTCTTTGCATATTTGCAGTTTGGCGCTTTAACTCCTTTAGAACCCCGGCTAGGAAAGAAATTAATAGAGCCACTCACAAATCTAATTCATAGGCAAGTTTTTATAATTTAACAAAAACACAAAAAACTCTGGAAAGGTGAAAACAAAAACAAAACAAAAACAAAAACAAAGAAGATCGAAAGCTGATTCATACAAAAGAGAAACAAAATATGAATACAAGTCGCTTAAGTCTCTTATATATATATATACATATATATATGTAAATGTATGTATATGTATATGTATATTTACAGTTACATTTGCGCTCTCCCTTCAGCTCTCACGCTCTCTTTTGCGCTCGCTCTCTTACGTTGAATGCTTCTCTACTCTTCGAGCACCAACATTGAAATGAATCGAGTTTATATTTCATTGAATTTTTCTTTTATTTCGTTAGCTATGCTACATATATATTTATATATGTACATATATATATATAAATATATTTTATAATTCAAGTAGATTTTGTAAATATTATTTTTAGTTCTTTTTTATTTTTATTGTGTTCAATTCTTAATTGCTAATTGCTATTGTTGTCGTTGTTGTTGTTGCTGTTGCAATTGCTGTTCTTGTTATTGCTGTTTTTATTGCTTCTTATGTGCCGCTTTAATCGAACTGAAATCTTTGATATAACGCCGCCCTAACCCGCCAACCCGTGTCCAACCGTCCAACCCAAACAGCACCTCGGCAATGAGCCTCCTCTACGAGTGCATCAACACGGTCATCGCAGTCCTCATCAGCATCAGCAGCGGCATGCCCAACCACAGCGCCTCCATTCAGCTGTGCGTGCAGAAGCTGCGCATCCTAATAGTCGACTCAGATCAGAATCGTAAGTATATCTATCGATTTTACGTATATATATATCAAAGTTGTATCTGAAATGGTTTTCTAAAACAACTCATTTACCAAGGGATGCTTTCTTCAGAGCTATATTCATATATTTCGCTGATATATAAAGACCTAAATGCCAGGCATAGCTGCTTCAAACAAACTACAAAACGTATTCATAATATGCAAATTTTTCTATATATTATTTGAAATCGGAAACTTTCGTGAAATGTATAGAACCCTGCATAAAGTAACGATATAACAGACAAACTTGATTTAGATACTAACTAAATATAATCAACAGATATAAATTGTACTGGTGCCTTGCTTATAGACAACATCATCTCACTTTCTGCACTTGGTTTACTTACAGTCAAATACTTGGGTCTGCTGGCCATGTCTAAGATACTGAAGACGCATCCGAAGAGCGTGCAGACGCACAAGGATCTGATATTGGCTTGCTTGGACGACAAGGACGAGTCGATAAGACTGCGCGCCTTGGATCTGCTTTATGGCATGGTGTCGAAAAAGAATCTCATGGAGATTGTGAAGCGATTGCTTGGCCATATGGAGCGCGCCGAGGGCTCAGCGTATCGAGACGAGCTGCTCTACAAAGTGATCGAGATATGTGCCCAAAGTTCCTACTTGTATGTGACCAATTTCGAGTGGTATATGACCGTGCTCGTTGAGCTCATCCAATTGGAGGCTGGCTCCAAGCATGGCCGCCTAATCGCCGAACAGCTGCTGGACGTGGCCATTCGCGTGCCCGTTGTCCGTCAGTTTGCCGTCAATGAGATGACCAATCTGCTGGACACGTTTGCCATATCGACCCAAAGCAACTCCATGTACGAGGTGCTCTATGCGGCTGCCTGGATTGTCGGCGAATTCTCTGGTGAATTGGCCGACGCCGAGAAGACTCTCAACGTTATGCTGCGACCGCGTCAGCTGCCTGGCCACATACAAGGCGTCTACGTGCAGAATGTGATCAAGCTCTTCGCCCGGCTGGCCACCACCTGTCTCGAACTGCAGGATATGCCCGGCATTGTGCGGGTAAGTCAACCCTACCCCATCTTTGGATGCAGCATTAATAACCGAACATTAATAAGAATTGGTTGTTGGAACCGAACTGACCCACTAACAGACTTGGCATATGGGGGGATGTGCGAAGAAGAAGCTTGATTAATTGATATACACTTCGATTCGTGTTGTTTAACAGCTATGCGATCATGTGCTGGAAAAGCTGCAGCACTTCAATGGGTCAAACGATATTGAAGTGCAGGAGCGTGCCAACTCTGCCTGCATGCTAATCGAGATGCTGCGCAAGCAGTTAACTGAGCCAGCGGGGGATATGTCAACAGGATCAATACCAACGATGGCCATTGAGATTGTCCAGGAGATGGCGCTGCTGTTCGCTGGCGAGCTGATACCTGTGGCACCCAAGGCACAGCGCAAGGTCCCGCTGCCAGATGGCCTCGATTTGGACGAATGGATCAATGCGCCGCCACCGGACGACGCCAGTAGCAGTTCGTCCGAGCATGACAAGGATGAGTTATTCGTGAGTGCGACTCACGATGGTAACGATGCCATCGGTGGGGATGGCGGCGGTAATGTTAGCCACTCGGACAGCAAGCGGCACAAGAACCTGGAGCTGACGCCTGAGCAACTGGAGCGTCAGCGCATGGCACGTCTCATCGAACAGTCGAATAATCCGCATTACCTGAAGTCAACGCCGAATTCGGCGTCAGCGGCCATCGGCAACAGCAGCAACAACTCGAATGCCGATCAATACGACAATATTGATGACATACCCATAACCGAGCTCCCACTGGACATTGAGGGCGTTGCCGCGCTTCGAGTGGGCAGTAAGTAAAACTAAGTGAAATGCTAAACATTCCATTAATTGTTGGAACAACTTCTGCAGTAACGAAGCGCTCGGACAAGTATCTGAAAGAGCAGCAAGAGGCGGCGTCGGCGGCACACAGCAAAGATGCCAAAAAGAAGCATAAAAAGACCAAAAAGAGCAAAAAATCAAAAAACAAAGTTGCCTACAACAGCAGCTCCGAGTCGGATGCGGGTAAGCGTTGCGGCAGTACGCCTCAAAATCATCAAAAACGACAAATGAATAAAATTTATCTTCTAGAACCGAAACCGTTGCACATTGTAAACACCACGCTGGATATGCCCGAGGGCGTAACGCTGTCCGACAGCGAGGATAAGGACGGCAAATACGATCCAAATGATCCGCATCGTGCGCTCGATATTGAGCTAGACATGTAAGATTTTGTGTAAAATCCAAATCGAATTAGTATTTGATTCAGCTCTCTTAATAGGACCGTCTTTGATGCACCTGCAAAGACATCGAAGACTGCGTCGGCTGGCACTAAAGAAGCTGTGAAAGCGCAAACCGCGTCAGCCACGTCCAAATCCCTAGATCCCGAAACGAGCGTAATGCCTAGCAAAAAGGAGAAGAAGTCCACAGACAAGACACGCAGTGAACATAAAACGCGCAAGGCACGGCAGCAATCGCAGCCGGATTCTGTGCCCGACTTGATTGATACGAGGAGCAGTCCCTGCCGGACAGCAGCAGATAATGGCAATGGCAACAATAACAACAATAACAACACTGCCCCAACCGACGCTGTCAACAGTCAGCACCAGAAGAAGAAGAAGCGCGAGAAGAGCGAGCGTAGTGAAAAGAGGGCGCACAAATCGAGCAAACTGTCAAACGATGAGGCAGTCGCGAACAGGACTAACTCGACCAACATCATCGATGTGGGAGAACCGTCCGCTGCACTGCCCGAGGGTAATTTGTCGCTAGCTGTCGATATGAAGGCGCATAAGAAGAAGCATAAGAAGGACAAATCACACCAGAAAGAGATGCGGGCGCACAAATCGCCCGCATCGGACTACGAGCAGCCGATGGGCATTTCGACGCCCAGCAAAGAGATTTTCTAGATAGTAGCTAGCCAGAAACATGCATCAATCAATCCCCATTCACCCATTTCCAAAATGCAGTATGCATTAGTTAAGAACTGTTTAATTAAGTTTAATTAAATGCCTACTCCTAATTCTACGTCTAAATTATCGCTGCGATATAAAAACAAATTGAACGAAACAAGTTGAATTCACCAGATACTACTAGTAGAGCGAAGCAAAACAAAAGAAAACAAAACAAAACAAAACAAAACAATAGCAAAAACAAAAACAAAAAATATTAATTAATGTTAATATTGTAATATTAATGGCCGCATTTGCCGTCACGGCTCGAAGCAGGAATAGAAAACGATGAACAAACAAAAATGCAAACATAAGAATTGATGATTAGTAATATTTCTATTTTTTAAATGAATTTGTAGCCAGAACCAGGCAAGCGATTCCATTATACACACAACAAATTTGATCAAAACACAATTCTAATATTTTGTAAAATAAGCGAACTATACATGCTATAGAATGTATACTACATATAAATAATATATTAACGTTGAACATATAGAGTGCATACATGTATAGATATATATATACATTAACATATATATATATAACTAAAACTAAATGAAAATATTGGAGAACATGTAATACCTAGTTATAACCAATGTGCAAATGTTGCGTCCAATTATTCAACAAGCTGTTTATCTCAATAACTCAATATCTTTAGCGAGCTATTAAACAAGTATCGTACGTATTATGCCCTTGCAGAGCCTTAATTGAATGATCTCTGGTTCGACCATCTGTCAGTCTGTCAGTCTACCTGTCTGTCTGCTTGGCTGGTTGTCTGTCTGTTAATTATGCAACCTAGTCTTATTCATCATAGTGTATTACTCCTACAATTTTGAAAATCAAGGTTGTAACCCTAGTCCAGACTTTGGTAATGTCTCGAGGGAATTGTAGATGGGCTTGTGATTGAAATCTGATTAAATCCTTTGTGATGGTAAGGGCATCAATTCTTCGGTTATCTGAAGTTAGAGCTGCTCGATCTTGGCGCTTTTTTTTGTTGCATGGTGCAAATTTTCCAAAAACGTGGAAGAAAAACAAAGCTTTCAGAAGTAGAAAGCAAAAGAGAAGAGAAATGAACACAATAAAACTAACAATCGAAAAGAAAATATTTGTTTTCTTTCTTTCAAAACAACAAGTTAACAAGTAAACAACTCACAAGAAACAAGTAACAAGTAACAAAAAGGTTTACGACCGGAAACTAGCCAGAAGTTGGTTCGATCTGTGACTCGGAGTTAATAGCGTCCTCGAAGACAATAACAAGAACAATTTCAATTAAAATATATGTTGAGCCGTAGGTGTGGAGGCCACGTATAATTATGATCGTAAGAGATATACATATGATAAGAAGGTATATCAATAACAAAAATGATCAACTAGGAATGTCGCTAGTGGCATCAATCGCAGCATCAGGCAGCTGGGTACTTCTCGTGGATGGAGTGGTGCCAGTTGTGGAGATGATAAATCGAATACCAGTGCAGCATCAGCTCTGAGGCGAATCCAAAGAGGACGCAGTAGGCAAGGAGCGCCTTGGCGAAGCAGCTCCAAGTGCTCTGAAGGAGGGTTCGCTCGGTGATCCGCATCAGCAGTACCGAGTTGGAGACAAACATCAGACAGCAGGTGGAAACCCATGGAAAGACTAGCATCACGAACAGCTTCTTGCCGGGCTTAATTAACCCATTGAACTCCCGGACAGGCAGCACGGCCATCACAGTGAACAGTGCTGCTAACAGAAAGCTCTGCCGGAAGCCTTTGATTCCGGCATAGAACTGATGGGAGCGACTCGGATCGAATGTGATCACAATGGCTACCTTCGGTGTTTGGAGAATCATCGCCAGCAGGACGGTGCCGTAGATGACCTTCGCTATTGTTTCCGACATATTCTACCTTAATTGTTAATTCACTTTTTACAGAATCGCCAGAATTAATTTTTTTTTAATTTTGATTCATTCGGAACTTAAATAATATGTGTACTAGGATTCACTTGCTCAACATTGATCCAAGGTGCTCTTATCCTCGCTCGACATCCATTTCCAAGCACTACAGATTAAATAACCTCAAGTTAAGTTCTATTTACCATGCTGACCCTTTCGAACATACAGGTATTACGAAATTGAGCTCTATATCTTCTATGGTCTCAAGTGGGACAAATTATGTAAACTACGAAAATAAATTATAAACTTGTACTGCATAAGATATACAAGAATAAATATTTAGGTTTGGAAGTCTAGCCCTTGTAGCTTACAAGATACGGACGGACCTGACTAGATTAACTCATCTAAGTCGTCTTCACGTCCTGCCTTAACAAATGAGACGAATCATTCAAATATTTCAGCCTTATGACGAACATCAAAAATCGAACCGAACCTTTCAACGGGTAGATAGTAAATAGGAAAGTCCATTGATATAGAATTGTGTTTTATTGTAACAAACTGCGATTCATTTGGTTGTTTTTCATTTGTTTTTTATTTATTTTTGAGTTGACTGCAACTAAAAGGCAGTTGTACAGTTTTTGAACCGTACTGTACTTAACTAACTGTTTCATTTCATTTTGTTTCACTTTGTTTGTAGTTTGTCTGCTGAAACTAGATGCTAAAGCAATAAACTAAAATGTGTGTGTGTGTGTGTGTGTGTGTGTGTGTGTGTGTGTGTGTGTGTGTGTGTGTATGTGTGTGTGTGTGTGTGTGTGTGTGTGTGTGTGTGTGTGTGTGTGTGTGTGTGTGTGTGTGTGTGTGTGTGTGTGTGTGTGTGTGTGTGTGTGTGTGTGTGTGTGTGTGTGTGTGTGTGTGTGTGTTTTGAATAATAATGCAAGTATCGTTCGCCTAACCAAAACAAAACTTATCAGAGTATATATATATATATATATACATACATATATATATATACATCTATAATTTAATATTGTTTATCAACTCCTTTGCTTAGTTTAAATTGGTTTCCTCTTTGTATTTTGAATATATGAATTCATGTTTTTCGAGTTTGTTACATTTGTTTTTATCTTGGATTAGGGGTATGACTTAAATGTTGAATAAATAACTTTGCATTCCCTCTAATTCCTTCTATTCCTTTAACTTATTGTATGTATATATTTGTGTATATATATATATTTATTTGTTATTCTCTTAGTTCTCACTTAAGTAAGGTATTTTCATCTTGCTTTTCGTAATTATTGCAGGCTTTTCTTTTAAGTTGACTTTGTTAGTTTTTCTTGTTTTAGAACATTTCACTTTGCTCTTGGTATTTGCGTTTCTAAATAATTGTACAGCTTAAGTGTTAATAAATAAAAGTTGCTTCCTTTTTTCTTGTATTTATTTTTTAGTTTTTTTTTTTAGTTTTTTTTTATTTTTTAGTTTAACGCCTAAGTTGGTTTTTTACAATTTTATTAGCTCTGTTCTCTTCATACAATTTCGTATGAATTTATATATATATATATATATATATATATATATATATATATATATATATATATATATATATATATATATATATATATTATATAATTAATTGTTGGTATAATGCAGTCTTTACGGCAAAACAAAAACATAATTATGCTATTTGATTTTTTCACATCTGTATGTGTGTGTATGTGTGTATGTGTGTATGTGTGTGTGTGTGTGTGTGTGTGTGTGTGTGTGTGTGTGTGTGTGTGTGTGTGTGTGTGTGTGTGTGTACGCGTGTGTGTGTATGTACGCGTGTGTGTGTATGTACGCGTGTTGAATGTGTGTTTGTTTCTGTTTAAGCTTTAGTTTACGCTTTGTAAATTACTTTTTGTTTTTGTTTCTGAGTGTGCTTTTTATAAATACGTAATAATAAAAAATATATGTGTGTATACTTTATTAATATTTAGGTTTTTTAGAGTTTATGAAACCAAATACACTTGTTTAGGCGTTCGCTAGTTGCTCCTTCTACTTATTTTTCTTCTCCTTTTAGTTGTTTTAAGTGAAGTAAAATATAATTATATAGCAGCTGAATTAACAGTTAATTGAGAATTATTTGTATATGTGTTTATTGGTTTTTTAAAATCGAAAAATTGTATATCATTTTTGTTTCGTCCACTCACTAATTTAATTTAAATTATTATTTTATTTTATTTTATTTTATTTTTTTTTTTTTGAAGGCAGTTATTAGTGTATTTCACTGTCAAGGAGGTTCTCAACTTAATTTTAATTTTAGTTGTTTGCTTCCCTTTTTGAAGAGTTTTGTCATTGTATTATTAACAGTTATTATACATATACTAGACAAATGTAATTTGTTTTTTTTTTTCATTTAGATTGCGTGCTTTCGTTCTCGCTTACGTTTCATATTAATAATGTACGTAGGCTTAGATTCGTATTCCTTTCTCTCACTGCTTAGCATTCACACAAAAATAAATTTTGGTTTGCTGCTTGTCGTCTTCTTATTCTTATTCTTCTACTCCTCACACTTATTTGTTCCCTAAAGGCAATTTATTTTTGTTGGGTTTTCGCATACATCTACATCTATGTATTTATGCACGTATGTATGCAATTATTTATTACAGTTGAGGCCTTCATGAAATTTTACACACTAATACAAAACAAATGCGAAATACATTCAAATTAACATTTTGTTTGTAAAATTCTAGTTAATATCGCCAGATTTATGTCATTAGTATATGTATATATATATATATATATATATATATATATATATATATATATATATATATATATATATATATATATATATATATATATATATATATATATATATATATATATATATATATATATCTATATATATATATATATATCTATATATATATATATATATATATATATATGTAAGTATGTATGTATGTATGTATTTATGTATGTATGTATGTATGTATGTATGTATGTATGTATTTATGTATGTCTGCATGTATATATGCATATGCATATGCAAGTGTAATTATTTTAGTGTTGTATCCTCTGCTAATGATTTGTATTCTGATTATGCATAAAATAGAACGATATGAACTAGTTTTTGATTTTCGAGGACGTCCGTGATAGGTATGTTGGCATAGTCAAACAAAGATATGTAATAAAAATTAAAAATATTCAAACTCAATTTCGGAATGCAGCAATTTGAATATATGTGAGTATACATTTGTCGATACATCCAAGCCGGTCAATATAAAATGAACTCAATAAGAAAGAGACAGAACGACAGACAGGCAAACGGATTTGAAGAGATATCACCAACTGTTGCCATCAATTGCGAACTTATGAGTGGAGCAGAACAAGATATTGCGAAAATGACCGGCAATTGCAACCGTACATAGATATGTACATACATATAAATATGTGTATCTACTTCTAAAATACGCGTGCAACGTGTGCATGTTTATGGTTCAAAATACGTAAGGCATGTACATTGATATATGTGTGTACATAGGGTGTTGGTGTTTTTATGTTTTATGTTTTAATAACTATTCACATTTGCGTTTCAGCGCATAGATGTGCTGTATAGTGTGATTTGTCCATTTCTTTTTGTTTTTGTATTTGTATTTGTATATGTATGTACATATGGATGAACAATCAAGTAATTACGTATATACAGATTATGTTTAATGAACAATTTGTAATAGATCTGCCCTATAACAGCGCCAGAGTATGGCATGAAAGCGCTGTTTTGCGTATATTTTTGTTATTTTATGGCTGCAAAATTTGCCATTTGTTCTTCGTAGCGAAGGCCACCAGTGAACCAATGACCAAAGAACGCCAAATACAAACACACATATGCACATAAGTATGTATGCATATAATTAAAATGTACTTTGCACGTGGCCATGCATGTCCACTGCCGCTCATTTCCATTTATACTCCTCTCTCAACGTCTGTCTGCACCCACTCATTCGCGCTTGATCTGATCATTTTACTGGCGAATGTGTGCGTGAGTATTTTAGTCGGAAAGGAATTAGCGACGTGGTGTTTCATTCCACTTTCTCTTCATATTATTTCCTTTAACATTTCCCGCTGATACTTAACTTTAGACTACGCATTTATAATATATACATATGTGTTTGTAAATATGCATGCATTCATTTACATATTAAACGCCTTCTGCTATCTTCTCTCCTTGATGTTTGCTTTTTCTGTTTGTTTTGTTTTACATATCATTTTGTTTTCTTTTATGTTTAATTAACAATATTTATTGCTTGTAATTCTGTTGGTGTTGTTGTTGCTACTAATTTTTGATGCAAGCATTGATGTATTTTGTGAAATTGTGTTTGTGTATATGTGTGTATGTGTGTATGTGTGTGCGTTACGTGAGTGTGTGAATGCGCACGCGTACGCATGTTAAATACATTTAATTTATGAACTACATATTTGTTTTCGCTTTGTTTTTCTTCATTTTCATTTTAACAACACAGGAACAAGTTTAAATTCTTAAAAATTATGAAAAAAAATAATAAAATAATATGTTTACACTCGTAAGATTCTGTTCTCTCACTGAGTGAACGGATAGTGGACAAATAAGATGTATAATATAAAGGTTTGTCCGCCTTCTCCATGTATGCAATGTATAAAGTATAAATTTAATGAAGTAAATATAATTTGTTTTAGCATATTTTGCGTATTTTTGTTATTGGTTTACAAGTGACCAGATATAAGTGTAGTATGCGTAAGTATATATATATATATATATATATATATATATATATATATATATATATATATATATATATATATACATATAATTGCTTAGCTTTGAATATTTAAAAAGCACTTAAAATATATTTTAAAAACAAAAAAAATTAAATTTAGTCCCTTACAATAATAATAATGCACTACATTTAAGTTGAACCGAGACTATTTGTTGTCTGTCAAGAACTTAAAATTTCTATAAGTTCAATTGCTGTTATCATTAAATATGAAATAAATCAATGGTCAAAAGTAATAATCAATTTATAAAAAAAAACTAATTCAATGTGCTAGTTAAGAATTTATTTTGTTTTTGTTTTTCTCTTTGTTGGGATTCGCTATGTGCAATGCCGGCTGTTGAATTGTGACGTCAGAGCCGCATTACTTTGCTAAATATGTTAAACGTAACAGCGGCTGTACAGCAAAGGATTAATAGAGTTCCATTTACCATTGAACTAAATAAATGTAAATGAAAGCATAGGACTAAAGTTATTCCATAGTAATTTTGTTTGTTTTTGTTTTTGTATTTGTTAAATGTGTAGTAACGGTATTTATTAGGCGGTGGTTTCCTGACATACGTAATTACATATGTATTGACGATACAGATTAGTATCGAGAAGCAATAGATTTTGTGTGTCGATCTGATCTGATCTGATCTGTATGTTTCTTTGTTTGTTTTTTGTGTGTAATAGTTGCTTAAGTTCCAGTTTCCACTTGTTCCATTGAGTTCGGGTCGCTGTTGCAGATTAACGTAACGCAGTTATTGAGGGTTTCAATACGTATATGTAAATGATATATGTATTTATTTATACGTATGTGTATCGCACATATTTGCTGATATTTGTTGCATTTAGTCTATATATATGTGTGTATGTGAACATGCATATGGTAAAGTCAATTTATACCATTCCGTAGAAGCTGATCAATTTAATCGCGATGTCTGTAGTCTCGCCGTACATTCAACAACGTACATTGCTCTGTCTAAACATAATCTGCAAAGGAAATACAAATAGTTTAGTTACAACGTAAAGAATGTACAAACAATCTACTTATATATATATGCATGCGCATATGTGCGCAGTTTAAACAAAAAATACGTTACGTGTATATTCTTTACGTTATAACGGAGCGGTATAAATGACTCAGCCGCTGTTAAACATAGAAACAATATTCTCAAAGGCAATAAATGTATCTTAATAAAAATTTGAATCAATAAATATAAGGGATTACTTTAGACTCACCTTAAATATAAATATTTGGCTCTTGTTTTATTTTTATTATAGAAAATATTTGATTTGGATTTTGAATTCGCCGTCCTTTGTAAAGGCTGCTGCTACTGCAGTTACTCATTTCGCGTATACTGCGAATATATGTATGTGTATACATATGTAATATGTTAATGTATGTTTTTGTTGCTGTTGTCTGTTAACATTATGTGAAGCTTATGTTAAATGCATTTAAAGAGCACATAAGAAAATTCATAACATGCGTGTTTGGCTCTCTGTGTACGTGTTTGTGTGTTTGCATGTATTTGCTTTGCTCGTTTCTTTGCATATTTGCTTTGTAAAACTCTTCGATAAATTTGGCATAGGCAACTTCTGATTCAACAAATTCAACTCGCTTGCTCCGTTCCATTCGATAGTCTTAAAATTGCATGTAGACGTCGTCATCATCCTCCTCAATCAGATCGTCCACTTGAAAATCCGTTGGAGAGAAAGTCTCGCGCTTGCTATACAACCCATCCTCGCCAGATATGGCGCCTATTGTCGTCGCATTGCGCGCCCGCGAGCTGTTTTGCTTTAGAATCACATCGACGGGCAGGAATGGCCTGCTTAAGCGCAGTTGAGTCGTCGCCGTCGCAGTTGCACTTGCAGTGCTGCCCGCAACTCCAACTGCGCTGAAGTTAGCGCTGTAGCTGCTGCTGACAATGGTGCTGCTGCTGCCGCCGCTGCAGCTAGTGCGTCCCATGACGATGGTAGAGCCTGTCGCCGTTGAGCCAGGATCGTTGTAGCGCGAACGTTTATTCTGCAGCTTTGTCGCCCAACATTCGGTGGCCCGGCGACGCGCATTGGCACAGATGTTGTCGCCGCCGCTGCTGTTGCCGCCACCACTACTGCTGCTGGCCAGGTTACGCCGCTCCAGCTGTGACTGCTCCTGCACCTGCTGATAGCCCTTGAACTGCTCCACGCGACGCGTTGCATATATGGAGGCAGAGGAAAGGCTGGGGCTGGCATTCGTATGTGCGGCGCTGGTGCTCGAAAGCAGGTCATCCTTACTCTGTGTCTTGCCCTCCGACGTTAGTGGCTGGTCCTGCTCGCTGAAGTCATCGCCGCCGCTGCCGACGCCCTGGGCCCGATGTTTCTGTCGCAAGTGCTGCAGCTCCTCTGCAGAGCGCTGCTTACGGAACTCGTGCACCAAAGGATATATGTGCTGTATGGCGGATTCCACATCGTTCACGCTGGCGGCTATGCATGCAGAATATTGAGATTAATAACGGAATGCTCCGACAAATATATTAAGAAGTAAACATGGAAGTCTTCCACTCTCATCCTAATTTAATGCCGTCTGCACTATGCTTACCTGTTACCGTTATGCTGCCCGTGGAGAAAATCTTGAGAGTGGCCTTGGGCTCGCGCATCTTGTACGTAACACCTGGATGCAGTTCGGGTTCATAGCTGGCATTGTCGCGATGTCGCTCCGAGAAGTTGACTATCTTGATGGCCCAGGGCATGCTGCAGGTGCCTAGCACATTTACAATCCGAAAGTTTTGAAAGTGCGTCGGAAATCCGAGTTTGCTCAGACAGCGCGCATATCGCCGAGCTGCAATCTTGGCCTGCAATCAAATCATAGTGAGTCCAAGGAATAAAGAGGCTTCAATTATGATGATTTACCTGCGACTCGGAGGTGGCACCCGTACATGTAATCCGGCCGGAGGACCAAATTGAGGCCGTCGTATAGGGGCGTCGCAACTTCATGGTGACCATCCCGTTCTCTCGCCTGTACTCCACATTGGAGCCATTCAGTGCAATCTCGCGAAGCTTCAAATGGCAGCGCACACTGAACGAGCAAACCACGTTGTTGATCACAATGTCCAGCTCGGGTTCGGCGTCCGGATCGGTGGATTTGCTTGCGTTCGAGGCTACCGGCAAGACCAGAGTTTCACTCTCTGGTTGTTGTTGACCATCCTCTTGCTTTATCTCGATTACATCTGCATCGTCCTCCACCTGCAGCTCATCCTGCTGCAGCTCTTCAATCGCAGTCGCTGGCTGTTGCTGTTGCTGCTGCTGTTGCTGTTGTTGGTGTTGTTGTTGTTGTTTTTGTGGTTGCTGCTTGTTAATTAACACCCTGTTACCATTAGGAACTGTTGTTGTTGCGGTTGTTGTTGATGTTGTTGCTGTTACTGTGGTTGCCGCTGCGGTTGCCGCTGCTGTTACTGCTGTTGCCGCAGTTGTTGTTGTTAGCAACTTATTATTCGGACTGGCAAAGATGAGCTTGTTGGTGCCGTTAACCAGTACCATCGTATCACCATTGAGCAGCTTGCGCTGCCCAACACTAGTCGGTAGCTGCTGCACCGGCTGCAATTTGCTAAACTGCGAAAAATAACGCACAGTGCCTGCCGGCGTACTCGTGGATGCAGTCACATTCGCACCGCTGCCGCCGCCGACAAGGCCGCTGTTGGAACCCTTGGCTGTGGCCACTACGCCCATGCCCACGCCGGTGGTCACGGCACCGCTGACCGTTGTTTGCCGTGCGGCTAAATGATAGCTGGATGCAGGCGTTAAATAGACACGCTGCGCATTTGTCAACACTGTGCCAGCAACGCCAACGCCAACGACGGTGCCGCTGCCGTTAGCTGCCTTAAGGCCGCCGTTCATATTGGCCGCTGGTATGCTTACCATATTGTTTTGCATTAGGCTGCTACCCCCACCTCCGCTGCTTGCACTTGCGTAAAATGTACTTCTCTTTGTTATAACAGTTTGCTCTCTCTCTCTCTCTCTCTGTGTCTCAGAGTATAGCGAGTTCTTAAGCAGTTGTGGTATCGTCACTACTGTTCCTGCTGGGTATTCATCGCTGCCCACTGCTGCGCTGCTGCTGCATGCGTCTGGCAGGGGCTGCGGCGACGGCAGCGTTAACGGTGCTCGAAACTAACGCTCTGAATGGCTCTGCTTTTTGTATTTGCTGTAATTCGGTGCAGCTTTTGCCAGAGCTACCGCACGTTAAGATTCTTGTTTTTGCTACTTCCTGTTGCCTGGATTATTCTCTTTCTTGAAGCTCACGAGAGAGAGTTAGCAATTACTGTGATAATCGCTCTCTGCTGAAGTTGAAGTTCTCTTTTTGTTCTGTTCTGTTCTTTAGTTGCTATCGCCGTTTATGTTATTTTACTTAGAGCGTAGCCAGTTTTATTCTTTTGTTTTCTACTTTCGTGCATGCAATTTCTTATGGTAATATTCTAGTGTTGTTGCATTTGTTGTTGTATATAAGGCTAAAGTGATTTTTGTTAATTCCGTAGTTTGAATGATAACCAAAAACAAATAATTTGCTTGTTTTTTTTTTTGTTTTGTAGATTTAAATTAGGTTTTGATTTCTGGCTGTTGTTGTTATTATTATTATTATATTATTTTATTAATAATTATTGCTAGTCTTCCGTTCTTTCTCCTTTTAATATGATTTTAGCTTGGGGTTTTGTTGTTCCTTGTTAACAGTCTGCAAGGTTAAAACAAACGCAAATGAGATATCAAAAATAGTTTGTGACAAGTAAAAATCAGCCTGCTTTATATGTTTTTTTATTTTTTTTTTGTAATTCTCTAATTTATGTTTTCTGATCACTTGCCTAGCTTAGACGTAAGGTAAAAGATCTCAAACGTCAACTTGCCAATTACTACGGATACAACAACAGGTAGCTGATGCTGATAATGACGTCGATGCAGCGCTGGCTACAGCTGATGCATGCAAAATAAAATTTCAATGAATCGATGATCCACATCGCACATAGCTATCGATATGAATGTACAGTGTGTGTATATAATTCGAAATGCCTATGTAAATGCACATTTATACCGCGTTCACACGTACACAAGCCCACATGCATATATACGATACACACCCACTCAACTGAGTAACTCTCATCAGCTGAGCACGTCTAACAGCTGTTGCTAACAGCAGTCTGTTTGTTAACAGTTCGTAGGATCGCAAAACAGCTGCAGCGACAGCGACGACAGCAAATTCAACCTTAACCCAGTTACGTTGCCTGGGGTAGCGAGGCTGGTACTAAATGCATTTATATGTATGTATCTATGTATGTGTGAGTGTAAGCTGTTAGGCGAGGCGTCGATTTGTCATGGACGGCTTGCGAAAAGTGGCACACACGGCATCAAAATGTGGCGCGATGTCAATTGAGCGCAACGGCGACGCCACAGACCCAAACTGCGCCTGCATTTTGCAGCGCGCTAGTTTGTCATTTAGCATCCAAAATCAGATGCATTCGCTCACTCATACAATGACACACCTACGCATACATAGGCAAGCGACGCACAGCGAACTGAACATCAAATATGGGAGTGCGAGTGCAACAGCAAATGTGAAGTCGCAAGTGCAAGTGCCGCTGTGCTATTTTTAGAGTGGAAAAACGGAAGGACGGACAAATAAAAAATTGTTACTGTAAATTATCGCAAATTGCAAAATGTTAATAAATTGTACGCCGTGTAACTGCGATATTTCTTGTATGTTCTTGTTTGCATTAAAGAATATGACAAAAGCAAAATTTCAAAGAAAAACGATTGCTCCACTGTTCCAAAATACTTATTAATATTGAATCACGTCCCTCTTTGACAAACAATTTCTACATGACTCACAATCAGCTGTGCAGAAAAGAAGAGTAAATAAGTACAGCTAATAATACACTAATACATGCATATGCATGTATTAGCCATTTGTGTTTGTGTAACACAAAAAAACTTACTATGCACATAAGCGTACACATATATATATATATATATATATATATATATATATAAACACATCAGATGAGTCTGAATGAAATTTTCTTGAACTTAAATTTATTTAGCAATTGAAAGATCAATTTAATTGAAAAACTTATTTTTTATTTATTACATAGTTCTCTTATTTAGCATAGGAAGTCATAATACAATATGAATGTGAACACATATATAAATATGTATGCATGCTGCGCTATGCGTGCGTGTGCGCCTGTGCTCGTGCATGCGTAAGTCGCATTCTGTTGCTGTAGCCGCTTTTGTCCGCCTATTTTTAGCTGCAGCCAGCCAGCAGATAGTATAAGCAACAATCTTCTTGACTCAAGCAATGAGCTAGCAAATACCCTACATAAACGACATCAATTCAATGCATAACATGCATATGCATGATTAAATATACATGCACAACAATCAGAATATGGGATATGTAGTTTTTGTCTAAAATTGTATACGCTTCATATTCAATTAGTTGTGTGCAGGGTATGCAAAAAAAAACTGACAGCGAAATGAATGAAATAGGAAGCAATAAAAACTTTAAAGAAATAAATGCACAATAAAATGCAAATGAAATGACGAATGTGTGTGCTCATTGCTTGAATTTTTTTTGCCCGAAAGCAATTTGAAATATGCATAGTTTATATATATATATATATATATATATATATATATATATATATATATATATATATATATATATATATATATATATATATATATATATATATATATATATATATATATATATATATATATATATATATATATATATGTATGTATGTATGTACATTCATAGGTAAGGTGCATTCTATCGAAGACGAAATTTCAATTATTTTACAGCAACGCAGCAGAAAAAAAATGGCGGCCATTTTGGCAATTCCCCATTTTTGATTAATACCCTTGTAATGGATATTTCACTTTTCTTATGCAACATGCAACGCATATATAGTTGATATGCATGAGTACGTATGGTATGCTTATCAGAAAATTCTATGTTCAATAAATCATTCTTCTTTGTTTGATATCGCAAAAATGTATATTGCTTTGCTCTTGCAGGCCATTGACTATTCGTCTTGGCCAAATTAGATTTTGTATTTTGTGTTTATTCATCGGACGCTCGAAACAACAAAAGTTACACAAAAATTAAAACTGAAGTAAAGGCGTAAAAACGAAAGTCGACGGATGGGAACGACCCCTAGACACTTGCATACCTACATACTTACATACATTACAATATATGTATGTAGTTATGTATATACATACTTATGTATATAATATGCGTCAGTTCAATAACCTAGAATGCGAGCAAGTATTTTTAATAGTCCGGCTGATCGACTATGACACACCTCATCTAAATTGTTCATTGATGTGTACATCTGTAAACGCATAAATATGTATATATGTGTATATATATATATATACATATGTACAACAAGTATACATATATACATCAGCTATACATGCATACTTATTTGAATATACTTTATCTGAAATATACACGCACACATGAATACTTAGTTTCGTCAGCGACTTCCGCGTTCAGTGTTCCATTATCTAAAAATCGTAAAGCTGATAAAACACTATAAGTAAACATTCGTTTACAATATGTATGGACATACAAATATTTACGAACAGACATATACATTACACCTGAGCTCAAAATCCAAGTCACAACCTTTTAACCTTTGTTTCATTATGGACCCACAAATGTAATCATTTTTATTCATAAAATAATAAAATTAACAAATTCGGTAAATGTAAAATGACAGTCAACGTACCCCAAACACATAGGTATCTACATAAGCTCAGGCATATATCTTTATTTACATATGTATATACATACATATATATATATATATATATATATATATATATATATATATATATATATATATATATATATATATATATATATATATATATATATATATATATATATATATATATATATATATATATATATATATATTATATATAAAAATCGTAATATATATATATATATATATATATATATATATATAGATGAGTGCAAATGCTACAAAAGGCAAAACAAATCGCGTACACAAAAAAACATTGCCGAACTTCGAAATTCAGGTTCAAGGCCAAATGACAACTGTTTCTATCAATGGCAACAGCAATACATGCATGCACACACTTAAACACAGCCATTCACATGTTTTGCTACACACTCATACATAGTAATATATACACATACATGTACAGAAATGGTCGCTATTGCCAAATAAAAAAAAAAACAGAATCAATCGATTTCTGCATAAAGCTCGAGGGGACATTTATGGGACATTTACTTTCCATTTAATACAAACTGAGCGTGTATGTTAGTTTAGTCCCGTTAATAATTAAAATTCTAAAATATTGTATGAACATGATTTTTCTATACTTTTTCAGGGCAAATTTCAATTTGCGTGCACTGCTGCTTGTGCACACATACACATACACATTGATATACAACCGACTGCAATATTCATACTTGTTTTTAATTAAATTTGTATGACTTATTTTCAGAAGAATAACGAATTCGATATTCTATAAATATTATACATATACATAGGACAAACTACATATGATGTAGTTAAATGAAATCTGACTTAATTTTGGCTTAGTGATCCAATTTACTTCAAGACGTTTGCTAGTGTAAATAATATTCATGTAAATATACCGAACAAATATGAAAATTAAACTTAAAATAACACGAAAATACAGAAAATGGACAAAATACAAATTAGTGCAGAATTCGTAGTTTGCTCAAAAAAATATTCAAATAAATAGAAACAAACATTACCAAACGAGTAAACTATTAACATGCATTGGTGCACACACCACGTGGTGAGTTACGCTGGTGTATGCACACTGCACTCAACCCATTAAATATGAGAATTCAGCGTATGCTATTATGAAAGTGTATGTTACATACAAAATGAGGTGCGGCAGACCCCATAAAGTATATATATTCTTGATCAGGACGACGAGACGACTCGATTTAGTCATGTCCGTCTGTCTGTCTGAGTGTAAATCACAAAAGCTAGAGCCTTAAAGTTTGAATTCGTTTTCGGTAGCCCATCTCATCCCCTTATCGATAAGAAATCGATAACTTGACTTTAGTTGTTAAGCGTAGTTTGAAAACTAAACATTGGGATCAGGTTTACTGTGTAGGTTCCTTCCCCCTTCCCACCGAATCGGCAAAAAGCGTATTAGACTTGTGCTGCGACATATACTCACATGTGAATATATACAAATTTGATTAGGAGAGTCCATCTAGAAAGACTTAATCAACAATTAAATTCCATAGTTAGAGCCCATACTTTAGCTCCAACGGGTCCGTCACGTAAACTTCGCAGTTAGCAGAGTATGGAATGTATGATAAGAAAAGGACAGAATGAGTGGAATATCAGTTCTTTCTGGATGTAGGGAATCTCTTAGTCGAGCTGTCTCAACTGAAGCACTCTTACTTGTTTATTTTCCTTTATTTTTTTTTTTTTTTTTTTTGCGAAGAACCTGTAACGCAATCGTATTCATTTCGAGAAATTTAAGTTTTATCAACACCCACAGTACTTACTAATAAGAGTGTGGCGGGGTAGAAGTTACCCTATAATATGTTATGAGCCGTCGTTACATATGTTTTAGCTTCATTTTTCAAAACTTTTTGTATTTTTTTCATGGCATTCATATGTAAAATGATATATTTATATACATATGTACATATAGAACCTAAATGATGTAAAGTCATCTTCACGTTTTCCTTCTCTCTGTCGCTCTCTCTCTCTCTTTTGCCGTGTCTGCATGGTTCAAATAATCAACAATAATCAGAGAATATTTGGCGCATTCGAATGATTAGCAGAAAAAATACTCAAAGCTTTAACTAACACTTAAAAATAAAAGCAAAATATCACTTTTTCTTTCATTGGAGCAAGTTGAGGAACTATCAATCTTTGTATGCCAATCTTTTTATATTACAACATTTTGTCCACTGAACGTTTCTTCAAGACCTTACTTTCTTTCCACCTACTTACCAACATGTTCAATGCACTATGCAAAGCTTTAAAACAAATATAAAAAATATTTACGCTCTCTGTGTATTGCTACTTACTACCCAACTTCTCACGCTCATGAATCTATGCTGTCACTGTTACAATTTCTCTCTTATGCTATTTAAAAGCCTAAATAATAAAGCACAACAGAGACACTCAATTACTATATCTACATGTAAATATGTGTGCGCATTAGATTGTTTTTAAATTGTGGAAAAGCTCGCGATTAATATAAATATATGTGTATATATAATGACCTAACAATTATCGTCGGCCGGAAATAATATCGTATACATATATAAATGTTCATATTTGTGTGTGTACACATACATATAAATGCATACAGTTACATCAATAAACGATCACAAAGCGCAAAGCGAGCGAAAACAGAATAACGCATGAGCCGCTTCACATTGTTCTTTTTACGGCTGGTGGACATACATAGAAAAGTTCGTTTTAGCTGCTGCTGTTGCCGTTGCTAAAAAATGTAAGACGCTAAAGCGGCTTACAAGTTTCACTATGTCCGTGTGTCAGGCCACTGCCTGTTCTCCTACGGAATGATTCATAAGCATTTCATCATCAGTTGCAATATTTACACAACAATTACACTTTAATTGCGTCATGAATACCAATGTTCATATTAATTAATATTGTAACAATTTTTTGAATTCAAACATATGCAATAAGAACATTGGAATTGAAACAAAAAAGTTTATGCTATGGTGCGTAGCTGCGCTTCTAATTGTTTGGTGAATATGCCCGTGTATCTGTGTGTAAGTGAACTGTTTGACTGTCATGCGTAAACAAACCTGTTCATGAAGTAGCGGGTGCTTGGCAACAACAACACACAACAGGTGCTAGTATCAAGATCTTGCCAATAGCAAACATACATACGAAAATATGCACGTATGTATACTTAAATGAATAAGGCATTTGCATCTGTATGCATGTACACCGCGTAACAGTGGCCTGAATGTACCCATTAACAGAGACTGTTAAGTCGCACAGCTTGACCCAATTTTGTATGTCTGTGTGTGACTAAGCAGCTGACCGAATTTATAACATCAGCAACAACCATCAACAACGCAGTGACTGTCATACTTCACACACACATACGCATACATATGCGAATATGCGAATATATATTGATTAAATACAGTTGACGCATCTTGCTGTTTTGTCCCACACTCCAAGCAAGCTTATAAGAACTAAGGTTTATAATTTACATAATCAAATTTATATGCACAAAGGCACATACATACATACATATACACATTTATAGATTCCAAGGTACAAGCAGATGTAAACATGTGTCTACATGCACAAACACGTCAATAAATGTGTGTATTCATGTAATGCAGGATACGGCGTTCAATCGAGCTTGAAACTCTGCCTGTGCGTATGCATGCACGTGGGTGTGTGATGTGAGCTTTATTTGTAGGTGTAGCAAACCATCCATAATGCGGCTCGCCCGCCTGCAGAGCAATCAGCTGCAGCTGCCCAAAAATAAAATTGTGTGAGCTGACAGTTTCCAAACGACGATGTGAATTAACTTCATATATGTATGTACATATGTGCATATTTATATGTATATATTTATATAAATAAATAAATATATATATATATATATATATATATATATATATATATATATATATATATATATATATATATATATATATATATATATATATATATATATATATATATATATATATATATGCATATAGATATACGGTAATTAGCAAATTTTAAATGTAAATGGAACGCAAATATATCAAGTATTTCAAAAATATATTTTTTTAACATTATAAGAGTTTTAAAAACTCTTATAATGAAAAATATACATTTTCATAAATTCTACATCGGGCTCTAAATTAATCCATGACCTCTAGAATCAACAGCGGATTTTTTCTAAGTAGCGATGGTTAAAAAACAATTTCCAACAAAAGAGCAAGATGACAGCATCTGCATTAGCAGCATGCCACAAACTGCACTGGTAAAAAAGAGAGAAAGAAAGAGAGGAACAAAAAAAACCAACGGAAGAATTGTCAACCGGTTTGACACACATATACACATGGATGTTCGTGTATGCATGTGCTGCATAGATATGGGAGAGTCTGAGAGAGAGAGACCGGCATCTTGTTGCCGGCTATTCGAATTTAACTATCGGCTCAATACCGGCAGCAAATAGTAGTTGCTTACTCAGTGTCCGTAATCGGAGACAAAGGGCATCCGTCGGATATACGTATATGTATGTATATGTATGAATGTGTGCGTAGTTGACCGTGACTCGGCGATCATTTTGCTATCTCAACTTGCTATCGATATGCCGATTTCAGCAGGTACTTACCTCTTAATAGTCCTTAATTAGTGTTCTGTTGGAAATCTCGACCAAGGAGCCTAGAAAAATAAGAAAAAATATAAACACAATTATACAATAAGTTTACACAATAAACGGTATATAACAATATCAAGAAATACTTATTGCCTAGCTTAAACTTTTTTATATATTCATAAAATTTGTAATTTGTTTTTGTTATACATGTTTATAGACTCACATATATGTATATATATTTATGGATATTTGTTTATATATTCCGAACGCTAAAGAGAATATTTATAATAATTGAACGCTAAACGCGAATTTTATTGTAAGTCCGAAACTATAGAAATCTAATGACAATTGATATATTTGTGATGCTTTATTTTTATTTCAGTTTTCTAGAGTTTTAGACGAACACGACCCACTGTTTACTGACGTACACATGCACACACATACATACATATTACAGATAAGCATACACACACACACATACACACACAAATTGCGATGTTAGAAAAATGCTGGGAGAAGTATAATCGACGGCCATAGTAAAAGCTCAAGAGTCTGCTTGGTGGGCGGCTTATCGAAAATATAATTATCGTTTCAATATAAACAAACAATAAAGGAATACACATACATACAAATGTACACATTCAGACCGGATGTAAGCAGGAATGTTTCCGCTTTTGATTTTCTTATGGAGAATAAATCAGTATTTTATTTTTATGCAACTATAACAATAGTGTAATATATATATATATACAGTGTACTATAGAGTATTCACAAATGCCCGCCGACATATGCCATATCCCCAAGGAAATTAATGTACACAACTAGAGTGTTTTAGACGGGACTACTTGCTACACTAAGAGATATCCTGTACACTGAAGATGTGATATTCAAATCATTCTATCCCTATTTTATACATGTATGTCAAATTACACATGCTCACACACCAGCGCATAGTATTTGTATTGATTACAAAATCTTACACGGTAAATCTGAAGTCTCTAGCATTTACGGTATTCAAGCTGAACTTGCAAAACAAAGTCAAATGATTTATTTTTATCGATAAAAAGGAGAGGGGATGAGTTATCGTCGTCCTGATATACTTTATGAGTTCTTTCATACCTCATTCTGTATGTTACATAAATTTTCATTAAAAAATTATACCCTGATCTCCCGTTTTCAATGTGTTCAGGGTATAAAACACTTGAAATCCCGTTCCTAAGCAAAGAAAAAACGCAACCCTAAATGTCGGCATCGCCCTTAATTCAGTTCAAAGATGTCAATGAACCGCACAAAAGAGAAGCTGCATGCAATGGGATGGGGGGAACGACAACAAACTCGAAGTCGTTGACATTTTCGGGTGCCCATATAACGGCCGCAGCACCAGCAACAACAAATCCCACAGCTGTTGATGTATTATGATTAACAGTTATGTGCAGGACCAACAAAGACCGTCAGACAACATGACTTCATTGAAATTTTGTATTTTGTTGGTAGAATAATGAAATTAATATAGACCCAAACGCCATAGCAGAAAAGTTTCAAGTGGAAATATGTCCAAAATTTATCGAGGCGAAAGCTGCGACAGAGACGCTGTCTGGCAGGAATACCACTAAGAGTGCGAGTGCAGACAACGCAACACAAAAAAGACAAACGAAAAATATCTTAGACGCTGGTCATCCTTAGCTACGACGCTGACCTTGGACACAGCTACCGTTAAGCAGCACACTTTATAACTTATGCTAAGCACATATAAATGTAAACAAGCTCGTTTACATTTGTATGTGTGTACATTTTTTTATACGAAAACTATTATAAGAGTAAGGGCTTTCAAGTCTCTACGAGTAAATAATTTACCTACATGTATGTATGTAAATAATAGGACAAGTATAAAGAAACGTTAATAAATGTAAACGTATGTGTGAACACACATGCAAACACAGGTATGTATGTATGTATGTACAAACATGTGCTCAAACAACTAATTGGAGCATTCAATAAGAATAAGTGAACATGTGACTTGCAATTCAGTAGTGTGTACACACTCTTCGCGCACACTTAAACAGCTGACAACATTGGGGCGTGCCAATTTCGATCGCCTTTACATCGATGTGTGCGTACGTATATGAGCGAGCGTAGCCACAATATTTGACTCAATGGGCATGACACACTTCCGTATTAGCAGCGGTAAATAACAACATTTAAAACAAAAACAACTGAACATACTTATACATATATATATTCTTCTAAAATGAAGATGAACCAACGAACAAAAGAGAGTACGTTAATATTATACATATGCCTACACATACATGCATACATATATATACAGACATATATAAACATTGGCACAGACATCAACAATCAACATCATAGCTTGAGCGAGCACAACTAAGAAAGTGGCAACAATGGGAGCAGAAACAGAAGAAAGAGAAAGAGAGTTACGAAGACGGGCTTAACAGAAAGTAAAAGTCGAAATCAATGAATTTGTATTTTCCGCTTGTTTTCATATTTATGTATGTATGAATGCACATACACATGTTTGAGTGAATATGCTGTCTGTTCACATATTTGCAATATAGGTTAAGATTACGTCGTACACGCAACACAGCTAGCTGTCGACGCACGCGTATGCTGCGTTTAATTGCCGCCGTCCACTGCGAACATCTTTTAACATTGACATTCGTTTCTTTCTTGTCACTAGTTGCCTAAATCTCTCCCAACTTGTACGCTCTTTCTCTCTGTTTCTCTCACACACTCTTCCGTTCACACATATACCGTACGATTTTGATGGGCACACAGTAACCAAAACAAAAGTCTGCTTATGCGTACATGCATATATACATACATTCATCTATGTATTTTTCTGTTTGTAAGTATGACAGCACCGGCAAATTATAATGGCGTAGCTTGGCATTAGTTCAATTACGATTGAGCTGGGCTACATGTGCATATATACATATGTATGAATATTTAAACATCTTGGGTGCCCAGTTCTGCAGAAGGTCTACAGCGAAACAAAGTATGACACCCTAAAAGGTTGAACCAGATCGGCTAGTTACCGATATTTCACGCTGACATGCAACCATATAACCGATAAGCAGTGCAATCGGTCAACCAGTTGTAACGTGATGTAGAGGATAGTGATGACGAACGCAGCGTGAGTAACGAAAGAAATGACAGTATAATGTATCTCATTTGGTCTCACGCACACACACAGTCATGTACACAGAATATAAATATTTTATAAGCTTCAGAGTGAGAAATTGGATATTTTTCTGTCTACGAATAAACAAGCTTTAGAAATAAAGTATGTATGTATATACAAACATATATACATTAGGAAAAAATCAATTACGAACCATTTGCAAGCGATAAGACGCCCTATGGCTCGCTCTCGCTCTCGCTCTCACTCTCTTACTGACAGAATCAGTTCCTCTTCGATCGTTTACAAAAAAATTAATAAATAAAAAATTAGGACAAATTCCAGTTTGTTAACAGTTGGAATGACGACGCTGACGAATAAACATGAAAATCAATTGAATGTGCAGGCAGAGCCACAGACCTGAGGACCACTATTTTCTCTGTTGTATTTACCTTCTTACTCTCATTGGCAGGTACATAACTGAGCGTCTTTGGCAGGCATAACAGGGCCATCGATCAAGGTTTCCCCTCTCACGCGCGTTTCTTCAGCATGCTTGTGTATGTGCCAATGTCTACATGTGTGCGTGTGTACGTGTGAGAGTGCACATGTGTAACTCTGACGTCGCATTACATGCTCTAGTTGCATAAAATACATATAGTATATATGTAAAATAAATATTCGCATTAAGTGAACTACTGCATTTTCTTCAATAGAGGTTAATTCACACATTCATTTTTATAGACCAAATTTATTGAAATTGACATACACATGTATATATGTACATACATTCCTGCATATTTGTATATTACATACATACTCATGTGTATAATGTGAATATATATGGATTTGATGCTGCTATATGAAGATATATATTTGCTTATGAATATTGCCATGCATACTAAAACATTAGCGATAAGTGTGACTATGGCAACAAAGCGTAAAACACTCACACTCTCTCTCACACACAGATGCACAACCAATTATGCGGGCATCCAATTTTTTATTTATGTAAATTTATAGAGCGGAAGTTACATGTACACGTGTACTAACATACATGGATATGACACAAATGTAGATATGTAGATAAAAACCAGCCATAATAGAAGGGAGTAACGTAGTAAGCAAATACAGAACGCTGATCTACAGCTGCAACGAAGACAGGTGGTAATATTGGAAACAGATTTGCAGAGCAAAAGAGAATCGGGAAACAACAGTGGGCATTAGGAATTATTAAAGACGGACTATATGTGTGTGTATGTGTCTAAGACCTTTGTACAATTGAATTTCGTCTTCTACTATATACATATGTACATATGCTTGTATGTATGTATACGGCCTCGTTTGACAAAATATGAATAGCAAAACAAAGAACAGCAAGACACGCTGAACAAGAAGTCACAGCCGCACCTAAAAACTATTACATCACTATGAAAATCGACACATATGCATAAGCACTAACATAAATATGTATGTATTTATACATACAGGCATACATATGCATGAATGACGGAAGCAAACTCTCACATATACACAGACGTGTGTGTGCAAAAATTGAGCATTAATGTATATACACATACACATGTGTATATGCATGTGTATGTTAGCTGCAATTTTCACATTGCAAGATAAGTAGATGTCTGCGTCTTTGCAATATACGGTACTTAACATAATTGCATCAAATGAACATAAACAAATTTTAAATATAACAAGACTAAATGCTGCAGTCGACTTCTTTTACAACGAACAACAAAGGCAACAGAAAAAATTAAATGAGAGGAAGCAGTTAAATGAGCGAAATGCGGCGAAACTTTATTAGCCTGCGTTGTGTTTTCGCTACATTCTATAGGCTACAAAGCTACAAAAGAGAGCTACGGCGAATTCACAATGAGCGTCGACGACGACAGCGGCAGCGGTGGTTGACGGCCACAAACCGAAGTTCGTTGAAATTTCGAATGTATGAAAACGTTCAGTCTGCCGCCAGCGCGGGCCCGAGCGTTTAGCTCGAAAACGCGGCAGAGGGCCCAGCGAGAATTAGCTGGGTCAACAAGGTGACTGGTGGTGGCAGAGCAAGAGCAGAGCATAGCCGTACGAGTGCGTCTGTTTGCTTCTACTTCTGTAGGTATACGCGCCTATGTATGTGAGCGCGCGCGCGACAATGCGATGTGCTCTGCTGTATATATCGTTTGGCTATTTTCCCCCTCCCATTATAAAATACGAAATTATTTGAGGAATGCGAATGCGGCAATGGCAACAGCGACACACGTATACATAGGCAAATATAATGCTAAACGCACTACAGCTGGGGCTCTTTTAAAAATAGCCAACGTGCTTTTGGGCGCAGAACAGTTAGACAGGCGGGCATGCAGGCGAATTGTCGGGCTGACGTCATCTAGCGAACGCAAGGATGAATTGCGTATAATATATGCAATGTTCCACACAGCTGTAGTAGGTTGAATGCTCTTGACAAAACCTAAAGAAAAAATAACAAGTCCCTCTTCCGACCCAATAAAAATAATTCCACAAGCACATGCAGAGTCAAACAGATTCTACTGTGAGTGGTCAACTGTTCGTCACTCTCTCATTTCCACTGTAATCATCTTAATCATTTGAACATAGTTAATAAAATACTCAATGTCCCCAAGGGTAATAAATTTGCCGCCTACTTAAGGACAGACGGACAGGAAATGGCATATTCATGCACACATTCACACATAAGTTCATGAATGTGTGTTTAAAGCGAAGACAAACAGGGCGGCACATGTGTGGCAACGCTGGCAGTGAGAGCGTTCGTTTTTTGTGATTGAACGAAAGTGAGTACTTTGCACGCGCTACAAAGCGACAAAAGAGCGTAAAATGAAGCTCTCACATTTCAAAATGGGACGCGTAATGGCGCATTTCGATTTTTATGCATTTTACATTACCCTGAATGTTATTTGTGGTCTGAACCAAATTTATTTCATTTATTTTTGCAGCACAATGGTGCGACTAGATACAATTGGTCGAAATCTGTTTAGATATTGATCTACACGTGATGATTGCCAGCCACAAACTAGTTATGAAATCAAGAGTCTATGACGGCCACTAGCTGCTAGCGAGAGGAAGTAGATACAGAGAGAGAGAGAGAGAGCGAAGAAAAAGTGTAATTAATTTTTTTTTTTTTGGTTGTTAAAGGCAATGAAAATTACATTTATTTAACTTGAATTTTTCATTATTTTTTTCTTTCTTTTTTTTTAATATATATTTTTTTATGTTGCTGGTTGTTATGTATTTTTCGTGTTGATAATATTTTTTTGTTAACTAGAAATGTGATTTTGTTTTAAACTACAAAATATTGTTTATCGTATTGTAATTGTATATAAGATTTTACTACTTTTCTTATGGTTATTTTCTCACTTTGTGGATGTTGTTGTCTGTGGTGCTGACTTTTCAGTTGCCAAACTTACAATCTATTTTACAAATTTGTTAGCCTACAAAGGAGTTATAACTATGCGAAAACTAAAAAGAAAATCAAAAGAAAGAAATAATACAAATTGAACAACAAAAAATCACCTTTTTTTTGAGTAGGTGACGTCGTTTGTAATGTGCTTGCTTTTCTACTCTTTGATTTAAGCGCTGCTCTCAAAAGCTCACGGTTAATGCCGCTCCGCGAATAGCTTTGAGGCTGATGTTTTGCCTTCTCGCTTGCTCCGCTGCGATTGCTGGGCCGACAATGCCGACCACAAAAGCAAAGAATGTCGTTTACGAACTTTCCGTTACTTTTGCTTGTTTTTGTTTTTGTACACTTTTCTTTTTGTTTATATGTGCGTGCTTGAAGACATCGATTCTTACATACATTCAATTTTTTCTTTTAAAAACTTGTGACTAACGCCGTACGTATATGGTTTTGTATGAATGTATCTGCAAATGTCTGGGTGTATTGTATAGCTAGAACTCTTTCGCTCTTGCTAAATTGATATAATTAATAGAAAATGCATTAAAATTACTGCAGTATGCGCTATTTAAAATATTTCGTCTACTGGCAAGACGACAAGGAATCTGTTCGCTGACCACGAACTTCTACCACAAAGCAGCAGCTACAGCGGCGACTCGCTGAGAACTCAACAATGGCAAATGGCAAAAATCGGTGAGTTGACGGCGACATGAATAAACGGAGTACGCGCACAGTAAGCAGCGCGAAGCGCGGCGAAAATCACGCGACACAGACGTACACTCACACACATACAGGCATGCATACATTCACACACAGGGAGACAAGGGCAACATTTGAGCATATAAGCCGCATGCTTTTCTCATACTCGTTAGCTCTCTCTCTGTCAGCACTACACTCGTACATACATATTTGTTTCGATGTATTTTACTTTCGGTCGCAGCGACTTCTTGTTGTTGGCCGCTGCGCAGCGACTTTTGTAGTTCGCGCTCTTGCTCAGCAGCAACGCAATAAAAGTTCAAAAACAGTTGAAGTATACCGCGACGCGAGTAAAAATCTTTCTTCACCGTCGTCGTGTAGTCTTCCGCGAATTTCAATTTCTTTTTCAATTGAACAAAAGAAACGCTAACGCTTTTTCTCTTTCGAAGATATAAATATTTGTTCATATTCGTGTCAATTATAAAGGCAAAAATAGTGTATTTTCGACGTAAATATTAAAATGTTTATAAATCGCTCCCAAATATGTTACATATATATATATATATATATATTTATACAATGTACACAAATAAATGTGTCGATTCAAGTTTTTTTTTTTGTTTTTAATTCATTGCGTTTCATACATTTAAAATTGCATATAACAACAAAACGAGCATTTTATTGTTGTTTGTGTAGCTGCTGCAGTGTGTGCGCGGCAATGCTTAATTGCATTTGTTGTTTTCTAATTTTTTTTATTTTAGCTTGCTCTGCCAGTAGGAAAAAAAACTGCCTGAAATTTGCATAAATCGTTTCTTTTAACATTGTTACGTTAAACTACTTGTTTATTTATTAATAATTATTACGGCGTTAATTTATTTTATTATCGTGGTTTTGTTGTTTGAAATACTTATTAATTTAAACCAGAAGCAAAATTACCAAAAATAAATTCTGAGAGCACTGTATGAGCACACACGTACGTCTTCACAGTCGCTCGGCTCTCTAACAACTGACAGCACTCAGTGAGCAGTGTGCCCCAACGTAGCACACGATAAATGGCTCGAGCGGTCACACTACGAGTAGTCCGATGTGACCAATTTTCCTACGCGCAAAAATCGAATTGAATTTACAATACAAATTATGTTTGAAATCTACTAATATTATATAATTTTAATATTCTCAGTGAGAAGCGAAATTCAAATTGCTGGTTCCGAAGCTTAATAATATGACTTCTTCCATATTGTTCGCAGTTTATTTGCAAATTTAATAAACGACTTGAATATTTTATAAATAAGCAAAATAAGAGACAAACTTCAAAGATTAAGACCACGTGCCTAAATAAGACATATAATATGCATTGTAAAGTTTTTAGTTGCATGCGTATCACAATCATGTAGTGCGACATTTTAATAAATAAAATTCCCAAATTTCAACAGCTAAATATGTTGTTTTTTATTTCCTGCTTGGTGAGCTTTTGCAACACTTATTCACATATGCAGTAATAAAATATGGTTATATCGTCAGTGTGCCCACATTATAAATGCAACCGTATTTCCTGCAGTTGTATAGGAATAACATCGATATACTCAATTAGGGGTTTTTATATACATAATAATGCAACGAAATTATGTTCATAAAATGTGAACAAATTTCTGCCGGAAATAGTTTGCAACTTTATGCTTAGGTTAATTTGTTGTATTCTTCTGCTCTCATAGTTTAAATTATGTTTTCAATTTTTTTGTACATGTTGGTTTTCTTTTGAAAACCACCGATACGGGGACGTACAACAATGTCATAAATATTGTCAAGAAGTATCGATAACAGCATACACTTTACATTCGATATATGTTAGATATGCTAATATTAATAAAATACTATATTTGTAAAAACTAAAAGGTCGAAAATAAACAAACAATAAATACCAGGTCAAAATTATTGATATATCGATAATATATCAACATCCCTTTTCAATTTGTATCATAATTACATAGTAGTATTAATGAGCATTTATTGCTGCTGCTTCTTGATGACCACTCCATTGGCATTAACGTTGCTGCTACTTACACCGCTTACTCAAAGCCATCAATTTCAATATCAGACCGATGAACAATTTCATGAGGAACTGGTGGTGCGACCCCTTGCCGGTGACCATGTAAACACATACTTTCAATTCACCACACGCTGGCACTACGGCAGCCAGAGCAATCGTAAGTATCAAACTCATTGCTACGCCCGCAACAAACCGTACTCGATCTTATTGAACAACTGTCGCCTGTTAGTTTATCACACACAGCTGACGCCGCGTGTCATTGCCGAAATTCTGCAAACTTACGATGTAAAGGAACTGCACATTGGGCTCACGCAGGGACTGTGGCGCTACGAGTCCTGGGGCTATCCTATTGTTGAGGCTACGGGTGGAGCCGAACTGTGGGCGTGGTTTAGTTCACCGAACCTGACCAACAGTAGTGTAAACAAGCAATGGATGCGATTAGCAAATGTCTTTTCTGGGATACTTTGTGCGTCGCTTAATTTTGTCGATAATACCAATAGCATTGCACCCAAGCACATATTTCGTCCGCAGTTTATGGAGTCGGGCAATCAGAGTCAACAATTTGTACGCTATGCCACATTGCCCCGAGAAATTGTCTGCACTGAAAATTTAACGCCGTGGAAAAAGCTATTGCCCTGCGGCAGTGCGTCGGGCCTGGCTACATTGCTGAATTCGGGCTATGTTCACAATACTAAATACCATTCCCTAGGTGTTAAAGTGCGTACATTGTGCGACAGCGACGACTCAAATAATTGTATTGTGGAGCTAACACAAACGGCCAATCTAGTCTACGACTTAAAGTTGTTGGAGCAGAGCAATACAGACTTCTCGCTGCGCCGTCTATTTGGCATGGGCTTAAACGGATACTGCGAGTTGGCCACAAGCAGTAAAATTTATGTACAGCGAAATGAGCAAGGCGAACGCTTTCAATTGAGTCCACAGCCACAGCAGGAGCTGATTAGTACAGTCGGTGGCTACAGCGTTCTCTATGGTGTTTATGATATACAGCAACAGTTCGAAGGACCCGGGGCGCGTCTCTTCAACATTGCCTGGGTAGGACCCAAGGGTAACAGCAAGAGGGAGCAGACATCAGCGCCACCGCTCTATGCGCATCGCTATCTGCTGGGTAATGGTCAGAAGCACGGACGTATTGCCACCGAAGTGATCAATTCGCATTATGAGCCACTCCCTGTGGTACTGATGGAGTTGGTGCCCTGGTATGTCCATGCCTATCTACACACACTGCGCATATGCAGCAAGCCGCAGCATTTGCATGAGTACACCACCAGCGAACTGAAGTTCAATCTCTTGCATTACGCTCCAGGAAAGCAGCGTGAGTTGCCCACCCATTTGGAGGTTGGCTTTATGCTGCCCGCCAGGAGCAGTGCTCTAATTACCATTGAGGTGGACTATCTGCTCCTCAAATGGCTTGAGTATCCACCAGATGCAAATCATGGTCATTATATTGGATCTGCCGTCATTAGCAGCCAGCTACCCATAGGGCGCAATTATACAGCTATGCCGCCAGAGGGGCATCTATTCAAGGACTCGTTTAATGCATCGCGTGCCACATATACGCTGACACTACGCACTGAGGCGCTCATTGTATCCCTGCCCACACCCGACTTCAGCATGCCCTACAATGTCATCTGTTTAGCATGCACCGTGGTGGCTCTGGCCTTTGGGCCCATACACAGTGTCGCCACCAAGCTGATCATTGTGGAACGCCAGACGACCATACCGCGGAATTTATTACGCAAAATCGTTCACAAACTGTCCAATCGATTTAGCAGGCGATCTGCACCTGCCGTTGCCGCTGCCGATCAGCAGCAAAGCAAACAAGATGGAAAGGATAAAGGAATCCCTTCCCTGCTGGAACAGCAGCTAGATCAGGCAGAAAGTAAGAAACCTCGTGATAAGCAGGCGAACATGTGATAAACCAGGAGGAGAAAGCGTGAGAGATGAAGACCCAGCGATAGAGAAAGATAGAGATAGAGTGGACAAAAGACCCTCGTAAGCAGCCGTTATTCAAGCAGCTGCAACCTCTATATATTCCAAAGTATGCGTCATGTATATATATATATACATATATATATATATATATATATATATATATATATATATATATATATATATATATATATATACATATATATATTTATATATTTACACATGACTGGCGTACTTTGGGATATATATATGTATATGTGAGAAAAGGAACTTTGTCCTACTATCCGTTTCACTAATAAAACACTCTATGTTCTTGTCCATATATTGATGTGCTCTTAATCTAGAAAAGAACCCCTAGCTAAATATATGGCGAAGTTGTAAATGATATTCGTATTCCGTTAGCATAATAAATGTAGATGTGTGTTCTCAAAATGCGAATGATTAAAAATTTGGAGCGCATACATCTTTAGAAATGTATATGCAATATTAGTTCCCCACATCTTAAAAAAAATCATAGTTAGACAGCTCGTTGCTTTTATTGAATGCATTGTGTTTTGTTGTTTTATATTTAAGTATTTTTAAATAATAGTTGTTTTTGTTTTATGAGCTTTTTAGCATTTGAAGTTTCTTAAATACAATTTCAAATTATGTAAATGCTATCGATGGCGATATATAATTTATATCGCTTATCGTTTATCCCTTTTCGGCTTACAATTACAACTAGAGTAGGGTGCGTGCGCCACAATGCGTTTGAGCAAGACAGCAGTAGCAACCGTACTCACTCAAACACACATAAAGCTTGGCCGCTGCGTTGTCCATTTTGAAAAATGTTTTGTGTTTTTTGTTGTTAATGGAATATTTGATCATTAAATACTACTTAAATCATGGTTATTCTCATTCTTCTTCTGCCATTTGTTAAATGTAAATTGTTTTTATATTGTAAAATTGTATTAAAAAATTCTACTTAAGTGCGTGTTGCGGGCTACATTTTACAATCGGATAAGACGAAACGTTAAATTAGTCACTCACTCACTCACTCACACATAGACGCACTTACGCAGCCACGCACACAAAATAAAGATAGTAATTAGAAATTTAAAAAAAAAAAATATATATAAGAGCAAGCACACATTTAAAACGAAAATGGTAATTAGATCGTATATATGTAGGCATAGTTGACAATTGTATGAATTAAATATGTGTATGTATGCTGCGTATGGTAGAGTTATATGCCTAATGGACGCGTCTCGACGCTTGGCTCAATTACAATTGCTACAAATACAAAGTAATGTAATCCTATATATGTTTAGAAGTATTTTCATAATGCCTTAGATTCCTGCCGCACGCACGCACGCGCGCATCTAATGGGAAAGCATGACACAAGTACCGTTTTATGTGATGAAAATTGATGTAGAGCATGAGAGGCTCAGAGGGAGACAGAATGAGAAAGAGACAGGGAGAGAGAGTGTAGCGATAGAACGAGAAGGAAAATTTCGGTACGTATTTCTGGTCTTGTAATCCATCTTGCTGTCAATCGAAAATTGTCGTTGCCATTAAGTGTGCTCACTGTGGTGGCTGACTGCCATAGTAACCATAGGCACCTGCCGGTGGGGGCCCCTGTGGTGCGCCTGGTGGTGGCATTTGTGCACCACCTGGTGCTGGTCTGTAGCCCTGATAGCCCTGCGACGGCGGATACTGCGCATAGCCACCTGCCTGGGGCGGTTGATGGTAGCCATGCCCAGGATAAGCGCTGCCGGGTGGAGGCGGTCCATAGCCCTGTGGTGGCGGCGGTGGTGCTCCATATGGCTGGGAACCAGGCGCTGGCTGATATTGATTTGGTGCCATAGGTGGCGTTGCTCCATTTGGCTGTGGTGGCGCACTCGAATTCGGTGGTCCACCAGGTGGCGGACCGCCCTGTTGCGGCGGTGGACCACCCTGGGGTTGCTGCTGCTGCTGTTGCTGTTGTTGTTGTTGTTGTTGCGGTGCTCCATAGCCAGCCACACTGGTGGGTGGTGTCGAGTAGGTTGGCTGCTGCTGTGTTGGCAGTGGTGAAACACCAGAAACAACAGCGCTTAGCTGCTGTCCAGGCTGTCCCTGTTGTTGTTGCTGTAGTGGCTAAAATATTTCAAGTGTAAATTACGGACAAACAGATTAGATACGCACTACTGTTTTTTATTTGTAGTCTAAACGTACCTGTTGTTGCTGTTGTTGTGGAGCATATTGTGGTTGCTGCTGGGCGGCGCCTGCACCTGGCGCTTGCTGATTGGGCGCAACACCAGCTACTGAACTGGGCGGCGGTGGTGTCGATTGCGGTGTATTGGGGCCATTGGGATTGCCCGCCTGTTGCTGCTGGTTGGGCCCCGACTGTTGCTGTGGCGGCGGAGGCGTCTGGCTGGGTGCTGTGCTGTAGCTGGCTGGCGGCGGTGGCGGTCCAGAATTTGTACCAGCAACGCTCACCTGCTGGGCATTTTGTGGACCGGGCACCGGCTGCCCAGGATAGCTGCCGGGTGGTGCGCCTGTAGGCTGCTGGTATGCCTGATACGGAGACTGGGATTGGCTAGTGGGTGGCGGTCCATAGTTGCCGGGCGGTGCACCGGGCGTGCCCGCCTGCCCGTACTGATTGGGCGGATATCCCGCGTAGCCCATAGGTGGCGGCCCGGGAGCTACTGTGCCAGCGTTTTGCGGCGGTGGTGGGCCATACTGATTGGGCAGTACACTTTGCGGTGGACCAGGCGGTGGAGGTCCCGCCTGTCCGCCAGCCGTTGGTGGAGGCCCGTACATCTGCGCTGGTGGCGGTGGAGGTTGCTGCCCTGGCGTCACCTGCTGTCCTGGTGGTGGCGGCGGATATGCACCTGGCGGAGGTGCTTGCTGTTGCTGACCACCGGCTGCAACACCACCAGTGTTTGGATTCGGTTGATAAGCGTGCACCACCCCCTGCGCACCACTTGCCGTTGACGTTGGCGGCATTCCCGCATGATGATATGCAGCCTGAGCATTTGGCGGCGGAGGTGGCGGCCCATAGCCCTGACCGGGCGGTCCATACGGGTACGCATTTTGTGGCTGGTACTGTGGCTGCGATTGAGGCGGATAGCCCGGATAATGGCCATGCTGCTGCTGTTGCTGTTGCTGCTGATAGCTGACACGATACTGTGCTTGCGGTGGCGGCACCAAGCCCGGACCCTGTTGTGGCTGCTGCTGCTGCTGGTTGGGGGGCTGCTGTTGCTGTTGCGGTGGAGTGGCCTGATTCTGTCCAGGAGGCAGCGGCCCATTGTTGGGCCTCTGCTGCTGCTGCTGCTGGTCTGTAAACGAATGCGAAAGTTAAAAACAGTTGAGAAAACATATTTTAAGAGTAGTTGTGTGGCCTAAGTAACCTAGTTACATAGGTTTTTGCTTTGAGTCCCAGTTGGGGACTGCTTAACGGATTGATCGATTGATTGATATATCACATATGTAAATACAAGTAAAAGAAAGTAGGAGTCTTAAAGGATTTGCCTTGGCAAACACGCTTAGATAGCGGAAAGACAACTATTGTTGTGGCTTAATTGCACGCTACTTTACACTTACTGGGTGCTGCATTGACCACGACCTGTGTCTGACCAGCGCCGGCCTGTACGTTGCGGTAGGCAGCCTGCGGCTGAGGTCCGCCAGCCTGGCTAACTTGCGGCGTTTGCTGCACTTGTCCGGCTTGTTGTTGTTGTTGTTGTTGTTGTTGCTGTTGCTGCTGCTGCTGTTGTTGCTGCTGAGATTGCTGTTGAGCGCTGGGCGGCATGCCCGGATGCGTTGGCTGTGGTTGTTGGCCCGGATAGGATGGCATTTGTACGGGACCAACGCCAGCATCTCCCGCATGTTGCATCATCTGCGACTGAATGACACTGCCCGGCGGCGGTGGTCCAGCTCCAGGACCCTGTTGCCCTTGCACCTGCTGCTGCTGTCCAGGCGGTGGCACACCCACGCCCGACATGCCATGAGGAGCCGGTGGCTGATTGCCCTGTTGCATGGCCTGCGTTTGCAATAGATGCGGCGGCTGTAAAAAATCAGGCATTATACATATATCTAACTTATGAATTAGTTATTTGCGATGCACTTACAGGCAGAATTTGGGCAATATTCATTTGGGGATCGGCGAGTTGCGCTAAGTAGACCAGATTTCTGTGCAAAGCCACGTGGTAACTCATGCATTCCTGTGACTTTCCCATATTTTGAAAGTCCTGTATGGCCTGGATCAGGCCACAATTCTCGTCGAGCATCTTTTGTATTTGTGCCGAGTTGACTTGCTGAGTGGGCACGCCGCCACGTTGTGGATTCGGATTTGGTGGTGTGCCCATCATAACCCCAACACCGACACCACCAACGGGATTGCCAACGGGGCCAGGGCCAACGCGTTGCTGCATCGGACCCATCGGTCCCATGGGGCCAACTCCGCCGCCACCTGGCGGCCCTTGTCCACTGCCAGGCGGCTGTTGTTGTTGCTGCTGTTGTTGTGATTGCTGCTGTTGCTGTGGCGGCGCCTGCGGTGGCGGCAACTGCACAGATCCTGGCGGATGCTGTGCCGGTGGCTGCTGCTGCGACGGCGGCGGCTGCGGCGAATAAACTGCAGACATTTTACTGGCTGCAGCTTTCTTCTTCCGCTTAGGAGTTTTCTCCTGTTTTTCCACAATTTTAGCGGTTATTATAAAACGGTTCGTGAAAAAAATTTAATTTAATGCCCCCGCTAACACAGTTCCCGCTCGCACACACTTTTGCGCTGATGTGGAGTGTGTTTGACTTCTCTTTTAAACAGCAACAAAAAAGTCTACGCTTCGGGTTTGCAGAGTGCGGCTTTTTTTACATTCGCATTCGCCGCATTAAAACATACACACACACATATATATATAAATATATATATACAAGTATATATATATATATATATATGAATATATATATGTATACAAATAAACGTATATAAATATGTATATATCTATATATATATATATATATATATATTTATATATGTATATATATATCTATATATTTATATATATATGTAATGGAAATTGAAAACTTTAATTGTTTTGCTTAGTACACGTAACAAAAATGTCTCGAAGCTAAATAGCCTAAAATTGAGTTTTAGCAAAACTTTAACAATGATTATACTTTTGCCAAAAAGTCTACATAATTTTTCTTTTTCTTTCCACTTTTGCGAGTTGTTAAGAACGTCAACGACGCTTTAAACGATAACAGCGGCCGGTCGATTGAACACTATCGATATTTCTAATTTTACTACACGCTCAGACCGTGAATGATGCCGCGTGGTCATTGGCGTATACTTTCTAGTTTTTTATAACCTGCTATCATAGTATTAATGAAGTTTAAAATTTTAATAATTTCATAAATATATATACTTTCAAGGCAATTTCCAATAAAATAAAAAATAATCCTAATCTTGTATGATGGTTATAAGCCAACATGGCGATCACCAATCAGACGACCGTTTTTTTTTTTTGGGCTTATATAAACATGTAAAAATATATAAAAGGCAAAATAATCAGTACATATTAACATTCAAAATTGTTGTCTAAATTTTTTATTGATACACAGATACAAATATATTTTTTTAAGTATTGTGATTTCTTAGCCGATATTAAAGCTAGCCGGCAAAAAAATTTGCAATCGCGTATATCGATACACGAACGATAGTAACACCACGCTCACGGCGACAATCTTTTATTTTTCACAATTTATTTTTTGGACTGGCTTTTGGCCAAATTGATTAAGGGAGTGTATGTGTGTGAATTTACATGTGTGAGTGTACGATTCATTAAACAAAAAGCAAGAATCAGATTATTCAATATCAACGTGCAATTACAGTGTGTCGCGCCACACACTTTACTTTATATAAAGATTAAAGTAGTATATTTTCTGCACATTGGTAGTTTTCATTAGGCTCAAATTCTGGCTAACGAAATAAATGCGAGCATAATTCTACACTTTGCCAACAGCGCCAGAAACGGCAACAATCAGAAAACGACAAAAACAGCTACAAAAATTGACAGCAACAATAGAAGACTTGGTAACAACAATACAACAGTGAAAATGAGAGAAGTGATGAAACATTCAGATCAATCAACAAAGGTGTAAATAGTGGCATATAATCACACCGCAACAACGTTAATGGATGTGTGCATGTGTGCATATGCATGTACATGCTATCAAACATAAACAATAACAGGATAGTTCATGTCCTTTCACAAAGCCCGGCAGCACGCTTGTGTTAAATATTGATTTTGTTCCCTGCGCGCCTCTATTGCCAATTGTTTGTACGCATGTATATGTGAGTGAAAAGGTATCCAAGAAACAATAATTGGGATATCGATACCGATAACGATACAGCAAAGTACAATACGCAACACAAATACAAACAAAAACAATTTTAGCGCGTTATCAAGAGCAATATAAAGTTGGTGGCTCAACAACCGGCGCGTTGTTTTTGTTTTTTTTTCTTTTTGTTTTTCTTTTTTTTTTTTTTTTTGCGTCACTGTCGGCAGCTTTTCTCTCTTTTTGTTGAGCGTTTTTTATGCTAATCCAACGTTAGGCTAAATTACAACAAAATATTAAAAAAAAACTCGACGACAACTCGAGGCAAGTTGACTGAAAATTGTTTTTTAATTTGGTAAGAAGACAACTTCTTACCAATGATTTCGCTGGTGCAAATGAAATTCCATGCGCTGCTGCTGCTGCTATCAAAGGTTTGGACATGCATTTGTTTCATGTTCAATCGCCAAGTGCGCGCTGTAAGTACAAAAAAATTCAGATAAATGAATGAATTCTAACGAACTGATCTGTTAATATAGCACATGCCCCACGTATTCCCAACTCCCTACAGCCCAATAGTTACAGCTTAACATTTTATTTTATTTTGTTGCTGAACTGTGTTATCACACAGAAGCACCCACTGGTCAAGGCTGCGATAAGCAATCGCTACACTCCTCTGTAGACACTCTGCCCCCATCTCCCATGGAGTTCATTTATTCTTGACCATTTGTCTAGGGATCGTGTATTATCCCTTATCAAACTGCTTTAGCCATATCGTTAAGATGCATTTGAGTGTCTTATCAAGTTATTCGCTCAATTATAGCTCTCTTTCACGCGTACACACACGTGCGCACATACACATACATCTTGTTCCAAGTCTGTCTCTCCCTCTGTTTGACTCTCTTTATGATCATTTAGTGCTTTGACAGCATGACAGTGCAGTATCGTTAATGTTTAACGCTTTTAATTTGGACTCCTTTATCAAATGTGTAAAAAAACAGTAACAAACATTTTGTGAATATACAAGATTTGAATATATAAATTAACTCTCTTAGTTTATCCAGTATCAGCCGGTTAAATATGAACAGTTCCCGTTATCGCCTGTATCGCGTCATCGCCTCAGCTTGGTGCAGCGTAAGACCTTGGTCCTGGATCTGGATGAGACACTCATACACTCACATCACAATGCTATGCCCAGAAATACCGTTAAGCCAGGCACGCCGCACGATTTTACCGTTAAAGTGACCATCGAAAGGCATCCAGTGCGTTTTTTTGTACACAAGCGACCGCATGTCGATTACTTTTTAGATGTGGTGAGTAATCCTGGCATTTGTATCTAGTTTTAGATAAGCTAATCCATTTGAAAGCTGTTCAGTCAAGAATTGATTAATTGATTAATACATAAATATTTGTATATGTTTACTAGATCTGAATTGATAGTTAATACATACGAATACTTATATTTAGGTCCTCGTTTTAGAGAAGCCTTATATATACTTTAAAGAATAATTGATAATACATACAAATTTATATTGCAACTAGATTGTGATAAATGTGATTGCTTCTGTAGAAGTTATGTTATGTATAATTTAGAAAACATGAGAAATTTTGCATAGATGACTTGTGTTCGAAAGTGCTTGATTTTCGAAGTTATCTTTATGCGTTATTTTTAAGCATTGCATTAGCTCATAGCTTTCATAAATAAAACGTCAGATTAACCCGCATTAATATACATATATATGGAATTCACTGATTATTCATATTCCATACTCGAAATATATACTCGAAAAATATTGCTCTATCTAATGAATATCTTTGACTCTTTACAGGTCTCACAGTGGTACGATCTAGTTGTATTCACGGCCAGCATGGAGATCTATGGAGCTGCTGTGGCCGATAAACTTGACAATGGCCGCAATATACTGCGTCGTCGCTACTATAGACAACACTGCACGCCTGACTATGGCTCCTATACCAAAGATTTATCAACCATATGCAGTGATTTGAATAGGGTTAGCTAAATGTGTTTTGTATTTTACAAATTGTTGACTATGAATATTTATAAATATATACTACTATACTATACTATATATAATAAATATGCTATTGTTTATTTTTGCAGATATTTATAATTGATAATTCACCTGGTGCATATCGATGCTTTCCAAATAATGCAATACCAATAAAGAGTTGGTTCTCCGATCCAATGGATACAGCACTTCTCTCCTTGCTTCCAATGCTCGATGCACTTCGATTCACCAACGATGTTCGCTCGGTATTGTCACGGAATCTACATTTGCATCGTCTTTGGTAGCAGGTGGGCTGTCATCAATCGTAGTTTATAACGTTCGAAACTTTCTAATAACAATTACAATTCAACTTTACAACAATTTAAATAATATGTAACAAACCAACAAAAAAATTAAAGGTGGTGCTGTGACACATAAACGAATTTTTTTCAGTAATGGTAGACAAGATCATTGTAATAGAGAATTTTTTCTATAACACTTCAATTATGACAACGTTTGTGTTATATACTTTCTTTTATCAATATTTATAATACTTTCATTTTTGCTAGACAATTAAAAATCACAGAGAATATTTCGTTATTTGTACCATACAAAAGAGGCGTATCTTAACACACAGTATGTTAAAGAAAAAGTTAAAACTAAAAGAAAAAGAAAAACAATAAAATATAATATCGTATATATGAATATATATATATATATATATATATATATATATATATATATATATATATATATATATATATATATCATAATCTATCATAATCATGCTAAGCTAAGAGAACTATAACACACGTTTATATGTATAATACTAAAAGCATTACATTTATATTTATGTTAGACATAGTTTGTTATAATTATATTATAAAACCTAGTATAAAAAAAAAAAACAAATTGTTTTCTATATTTACAAAAAAAATCGTAAAGTATATTTTAAAATTAGTTTGAATGCAATTGAAACCTGGAAATCGGAGCATATTGATTTCATATAAAAATCCGTATATCTGTACATGCGTATATAATATAAAATAATAATAGACATTTTTGTATAGGTTTTGTACAAATCAGGCGAATAACTTTTGGAACTATCATTTTCGTTTTGCAAACAAATGAATGCCTAATTTTGAATGAATCAAGTATATACTTATGTCTTATGTTCTGATAGCGAAGGCTTTTGTTTAATCCTAAGACATGCCCGCGAAACAGGCATTTAATATTTAAATTTGAATAAGACAATGATTAACTATTAAAGTGTGAAAGAATGATTATGAAACTTGTCTTTATAGGGCATACCAAATTTTTGTTTCCATATATATATATATGGTTTCGCCAAATCACTAAATATAAATAGCAGCACATTAATATAAAATAATTAATAATATTGGTTAAAAAACAAATTCAAATGACAAATCGTAGCAAATTGTATCTTAAACATCAAACTGTTCGCAGTGCATTAAGTAATATTAAAAAAACACATACAGACAAGAATGAAACAAATCGCTTCCATAGTTGTTTATTGATCGGCAAAACAACATCCGTAAATTGCGCCAATTGTATTTTATTTTTTATTGCATTGTATTGTACGATAAATGATTATTTATTCAATATGTATGCGATGTTGTTAATTATAAGTAGTTTGTATCTTTCAACAAATTTGTTAGAAAAAGATAAAATCGTGAATAAAAAGAAAAGGGATCACAAAACAAAATAACAAAGCAGACAAACAATCAATTGTTATAAAATTTATTGTTTAAATCGAGTGGTTAATATTGTGCTTCAATCACACGTTGAAGAACTAGTTCAATAAAAAATAAATATCTAAATTATGCTTTGAAATATGCAGAAAGTGGTATAGCGTATAAAATAGCAGTTAATTCATAGTTCGGTTTAAAATAAATTTCAGGTCGGCTGTCCTTCTCACTTCAAACAAATTGAACAGTCGAGTTAATATCGATAACAAATCGTTGAATGCAAATGTGCCATTCCTATGGTATTCATTTTCAACTTTGAGGTTATTTTCATTAGTGAGCAGCACCAGGCTCGTTCGCTAATGCCTAATAAACTGGCCACGCATTCATACATACACACATAGATCAATTTTACGCAACGTCTGTGCCAAAGCAGGTGGGGGAGACGGATAGCGAAATTAAAATTTTTAACTAATTTCCAGTATAAAATTTGCAGGTGCGAAAGAAAGGGATAGCGAGTGAGTGAGACCAGTGAAATATTGTTCGTACACATGGCAACCGCAGTGGCAAAAGTTGGAAAATCAGTTCACCGCATTTTTGTGGGAAATTTACCGTGGACAGTGGGCCATCAGGAGTTGCGTGGCTATTTTAAAGAATTCGGCCGTGTTTTAAACGCAAACGTAATTTTTGATAAGAAATCCGGATGCTCTAAGGGCTACGGCTTTGTAAGCTTCAACAGTTTGCAAGCGCTCGAGAAAATTGAAAACGAACAGAAACACATATTGGAGGGCAATTATTTGAACATACAAAAGTCATAAATGCAATATAAATACATTCACATACACTCATACATACATATACACATAAGCAGATACACAAACACACACACAGAAATACACGCACACCCATTCACTAGAGACGAGAGTAAAACCGCTTTTAGTTAAGTTTATTTGTTATATGCACTTGCATTTAGTTAAGTATGTACGATAGTGATTTAGAAATTTGCGATGATGAGGAGGAGCACCATCAGCTGGAGCATGAAAAACTTTTCTCCGTGGCTACAGAACATGTGATGCACAGAGCGAATGTCTATGATGCCAGAGATTTGCTTGAACTTTATGCATTATACAAGCAGGCAACGAGTGGCGCGTGTCACGTGCCGCGCCCATCTATGCTGCAAATGAAAGCGCGCAGCAAATGGCAAGCGTGGCACGAGCTGGGCGACATGAGCAGCGAGGATGCCCAGCGTGCGTATGTTGATAAAGTGAAAAAACTCGAGCCCAATTGGCTAGATAACAAACGGAATAATGGTGGTGGTGGCAACTCAAGTAGCTTAACCGGTTGGGTGGTGCACTCTATTGAATCTGTGCCAAAAGAAGAGACCAACAAGCCGGAACATCTGAAAACGTTATTCGATCATGTCAAGGAGAATAATTTGGATCGTCTGCGTGAGGAACTGAAACCCGCCGATCTAACTCAATTGGATGAACAGGGTATGGCACTTCTGCACTGGGCAACCGATCGCAATGCCATCGGTATCATTGAGTTTCTAGTGGAGCAGGGAGCCAATGTGGATCAGCGCGATGCAGAGCAACAGACGCCATTGCATTATGCTGCTAGCTGTGGCCATGTAGAGGCAGTGCACTATTTGTTATCTTTGAATGCGAATCTGGAGCTACGCGATGCCGATGGTCAGACGTGTATTGATGTGGCTGATGATGTGGAGATTTGTGGCATGCTGCAAGCGGAGCTGCAGCTGCGCAACAACAGCAGCAGTAATTAAAATGATTAAAGTGCAAGAAAAAAACTGTTTTACTGTATTTAAAATTATATTGAGAAAAATTAAATTAGAATCGTAGTTGTTCAATGAAATTTATGCGTGTATTTGTATCTAATTAAGGTTTACTTCCACAGCTTTTTGATGGACATGTTCTTCTCCGAGTCCTTTTGCATTACCTTGGCAACGGCCATTTCGAAATCTTCCTGGGTGACATGGACCCGACGCTCGCGCAGCGCATACATGCCAGCCTCGGTGCAGACACCTTTGACCTCAGCACCTGATGCACCAGGCATCAGTTCAGCAATCTTGCGCAGATTAATGCCGCGCGTTAAGTTCATTTTGCGCGAATGAATCTTTAGAATGTCCAAACGTGCTTCCTCATTTGGTGGCGGGAATTCAATTTTGCGATCAATGCGACCGGGACGAAGCAATGCTGGATCGAGAATATCAATACGATTGGTTGCCATGATGACTTTGATGTTCTTGGTGGCCTCGAAACCATCCAGCTGATTGAGTAGCTCCAACATGGTGCGCTGTACCTCAGAGTCACCGCCAGAGCCTGATTCAATACGCGACGAGCCAATCGAATCAATTTCATCCATAAATATAATTGATGGAGCATGCTCGCGCGCCATTACGAAAAGTTCGCGCACCATGCGCGAACCCTCGCCAATAAACTTTTGAACAAGCTCAGAGCCAGAGACACGTATAAATGTGCATTCCGTGTGATGGGCTACTGCACGAGCAAGCAGCGTTTTTCCAGTGCCGGGTGGTCCATAGAGTAGAACACCCTTTGGTTGGGCAATACCCAAGGCGTCGAATAGTTCGGGATGCTTGACGGGCAACTCGATTACCTCTTTAATTTCCTTGATCTGTTTGTCCAAGCCACCCACCATTTCGTACGTTGAATCGGGTACCTTTTCGACCATCATTAGCGATACCAACGGATCCACTTTGTTTGGCAATATTTTGTGCAGCGTGTAGCTTTCGTTTCGCAGTGCAACGCGACAATTTGGTGTTACATCGTTAATATCAATGTTCTTGTCCAAATCAACAACAAATTTGCCTTCGGGATGGACCTTGACAAGCACCTTCTTCTTATCCATGGGCTTTACAACCTCACCGACATAGCTGCCTTGTTCCTGTAACAGTTGCAACTCCTCGCGTAGCATACGGACTACAATATAACATTTCTATATCATAAAGCATTTTGAATTGCGTTGTGTTTTTTACCTTTAGCATTGAGCTCATTACGCTGTGCCTGTAATCGGCGTAGATTTTGGCTTTTTTCGGCCACAATTAATTGCAACTCTTCGATTTTTTGACTAAAATATGAACGGAAGCCCACGCCAACATTGTAGACCAACTCCAAATCCATCTGAAATTTATTATTATTTATGTTTTTTCTTGGATTATATAGTTAATAAGTATTTACCCGATTTGTGAGTGTCATTTTGATAGCTTTGTTGTCAATGGATTTTCTTTTTAATTAATATTGCGACTGTCGCTAAAGTGTAAAATTTGCAAATTAATACAACGTCCACGAAATTGACTGCTTTGATTATGACTCGGCAAGTCTACCATTGCGATAGTTTAGGGTTGCTTATAATATATCGATAGTGCGATATTAATATATTCTTTTTAAACAGATATCTGATATCAATGTATCACGAAGCAAACCTGTTTAAAATTTTTAGGGAAATATGTTAAATTTGTTTTACTTATATATACTCATAATATAAACTATTGATGAATTGTTTATTTACGAAGTATTATTTAACTATCGTTTCCATTTAAATTACAGTACAATTTTCTGACATCTGACTTCATATCCACTATTAAAAATAACCAATCGTATGTAGTCGATGGCAATGTTATGGGCGGAATATTTTCTTAGTTAAAAAAAATTATGCCCTGATTTCCCATTCCGTGACATTCCATTCAATGCGTTAAGGGTATAAAAATAAATTAAATATTCAATTTGGAATTCAGTGCGCTTTATGTCAAGCATAGGAAACCTTAATTACACAAGTTTTATTTTCTTATAGATGCACACAGAAAATTAAAAATTAGAGGTTGGTGTCTGCAAATGTATTAAGAACCTAACCAAATTGTTTTTGATAGCAAAAAAAAAAAACAAACCATCACAAGATGCCGGCTACATTTGGGTTGCTTTTTAAACACAATCTGCAAATCGAATTGGCTCTTTGGAGGCGCACTTTGTTTGAATGGATTACCGTTATCATAATGTTGATTTTAATACTTGCCAATCCCATTTCCCACGTAAAAAAAGCGCTCTATAGTCACACTGATTATGAAGCAGACCGGTCCATGGCAATCCATAAGCTGGATTCTATTAATATACTCACGTAAGCTAAACGCAAATGCTGTAAGTGCATTTAATCGAGATTCAATTATGTCAACTGGCAGGAGCCTGGTCGACTCAAAGCGTGCACAAACCAAATATAAGCTAGTCTACTCGCCGGTTACGGAATTTGCAAAAGAGATCGCAGAAACCGTGACTAGTGAACTAGAGTTAAATAATTCCGTTGGCTATGATAATCAAGAAACTTTGCAAAATCAATTTGATGACCGCACCACGCTGGCTGGTGTTATTTTTGATAGATTGGATAATGATAATGAAGGTGTTCCAAAGGTGCTTTCCGTATCTATACGTTTCCCCAGCGAATTTCGAACAATTAGTCCATTTCTTACCGAAGAACGTCTATGGTTAACTCGATGCTCCGGCGTTGTTAATCCAAAACGAGATAATGTCAAGGATGAACACGTAAATCAGGATATTTATATTCGCGAAGGCTTCCTTCAGTTACAGCATCAAATATTTTTGGCATGGTTCCACAAGATACGTACTCAGGATCCTACAAACTATACAGAGCCCCAAGCCGAAGTTTTCAACGTTCGACTCCGTATGGCCAACGAGCGGTGCTTTTCAATGGACTTCGACTCTATTCCATCGTTTCTATTCAATTTCATTTATCTGTTACCATTTATAAATGTTATACGGGTGAGTCGATCATATTTAAGAAGTGTAATACAGGTGACAGGTGAAAATGGGAAATTAGTGTATAAAGCTTTTGTTACAATGTATTTAACTGGCAGAAGGCGTGTCGGACTCCATACGGTATAAATATTCTTGATCACGACAATCTGAGTCGATCTAGCCCTGTCCGACTGCTCGTATGTATTAACGCGTCGACCTCAGCACTTATAAGGGGCTTACATTTTATAGTACGTTTATACATTACGCCCATTTTAAGATAATCGATAACTATTATCATTTTATTGTTATCGCTTAAAACAGTATTGAAATGCTGTTATGAAATTATATTTTGTATGCCATCAGAGCTAGATTTTGAAAATGTTGCATGTAGTTTCAGATATATTTTATACAATTTTATTTATATTTCTGAATACCCTTTTAATTTTTATTTGATCCATCCATTGATCTACAATTTGTGAAATGATTCTCTTTTTGCGGGAAATCCATTCTCTTAAAATAAACTAAAGGACTGACAGCTGATCTAACTTGAAAGATTAATGCAGATATTGTAGTAGTTAGGGCTCACATAGTGGCTGTCTAGAAATAAACTTAATTTTCAAGGAACTGAACTTTTAATCGGATGGGCATTAGTTTAATTATATATAAGTCATATATAAATATTTGTATTTGGAAAATATATATCGATCTTAAAAAGTCTAAGAATAATAGCTAAAAGCTGAAGACTTTTACTTATCTATAATATTCTGATACAGAATATCAAGAGTATGGACTGTACAGAAAGTCAGGAAGAGTATCTTAATATGTGTGCTTTTTTATTATTATTTTCATTTCCATATAGAATATAGCTGCACAAATGAAGGATAATGTTCTGACACATCAATGGCACTATGGATATAGTTTTTGTACACAATATACATGCATAGTGCTTGTGTTGATGATACGTCTTGGTTGCCTTGGGCTTTTAATAATGGTCGCAACCTTTGTAAGTTTGCTAAACTCATATTCGATGTATGTGTATATGGCTATAGTTTCTTTCACCAGATTTACTGGTCCGTTGCTGATGGGATCTTTGCTCCACTAGCATTATTGCTAATAATTGTGTTTATGCTGATCATAACGATGGAGCTGATCTTAACGGCTCTAATCATATCAAAGATCTTCAGAGACGAAATCAATGGGGTACTCTTTGCTGTCATCATTTGGACGTTTAATTATGCGGTCTTTGGGCTAATGCTCAAACGTTATTGGGACTTACACGGGGTCTATGTTTACTTTATATTGATGATATTTTTTAGCAATCAAATACCGCATACTGTGCAAATGATTCATCGTGTAATTGATGAACCGGGAACCCTCAATATTATGGACTATCTTTCATTTTTTTTATCTGGATTGCTTAATCTACTAGTTTCCATAATTATTCTATGGTTTCTACAGTGGCGAATGCCCGGACGATTGTTAAGTCGGCGTATGATATATAAGAAACGGCGACGGCAGAGTGCTGTAGATAATGCCCCTATCCATATGGGGCGTTCACCTAGCTGGCATAATTTTGAATTTGGGGATGTTGGCAGCAAGGAAATAGTCCGTTTGCGTCATATATTCACATCGCATCGGACATCTGAGCGCAAAATACTAAAGAATATTTCAATGCGAATCTATGTGGGTGAGATCTATGTACTATTGGGTCATATGGGATCCGGTAAGCTTACTCTGTTGCGCGTCTTATGTGCACTTAAATACCCATTACGCGGTCATGTCCTCTATTTGGGGGAGAATATTTATGCTAATTTACGTCGCTGTCGAAACATTGTGGACTTTCGAAGCTTCGAGAATGGCCTTTCACCTGATTTATCAATTGACAAGACCATTAGCTACCATGTTCAACTAAAGCTGAGTGATCTGAGCTCGAATCGTTACAATTTGGAGTATAACAAGTGGATAGATATTATTGAAAAGCATATAGCAAGCCGCAAGACACGAATCAGTAAACTTACATACGGTGAGAGACGAGTCGTCGGCCTTTGTTGCGCAATTGCAGGCGACACGCAACTAATTGTTTTGGAGGAGCCCACTAAGGATATGACGGCACATGAGGCGCGAATATTCTGGAACATTGTGTCCCTCGAAAAGGAGGGGCATGCTTTTGTTGTTGCCACCTATAGCATCGATGAGACCGAGGCCATTGCGGATCGCATTGGCATCTTAAGCATGGGTGTACTGGAAGCGAGCGGTACTCCTTTCTTTCTACGTTCCAAATTCAGCAGTTCTGTTGAGTTGGTAAGTTGAATATGCATTTAGCTAGGACTTTAAAATAGATATCGTAGCATGACAACTGATTTATTTTACGTTCATAAAAAATTGTCTATTTTCGAGATATTCTCTGTTGATTTTACTAAAGAAGAGAAGCCCTCTCTTAGGACAAATCTCTTCTACCAACTGAATAAATATTTTAAAAATATGATTTATGAGCCTTAAAGAGGAGACGTTTTAGTTTTGAAATGGTGTTTTTAAAAATTGTTGTTTTTTCTATAAAAAGGACTCAAAAGGTTAGAATATTAAAAAAATTTGATCTGATCGTGCAAATTTTTTGGCACTGATTGTATACGCCCGATCATATACTACTTTTTGTTTACTGAATTTGATCTTGTATCGTTGGTCTGTCTTATCCCTATATGTAGTATAGTATCAATAGTTTTTCCTTTTGTTTCTTTATATTCCTTTTGTGGGAAGTTTCTTCTATATATTATAAAGCTCTACTACAAGCTTCAGGAAAGCATTTGAATTTTCGCAAACTTACAAGATTCACTAAATTGTATAAATGTACAAAAAAATAAATATAATTTTTGGCAGGTGTTAATCAAGAAACCCCATATACCGGATACTCCAATAACAGAGTTCATATGCACTTATATACCGAGAGCCGAACCAGAAAATGAAATCGGTGACACATTGACCTATAAAATAAATGCTGAGCATAGGCCTCGTTTGCAAAAGATGTTAATACACTTGGAGAACGATCGCAAGAAGCTGGGCATTGAGAACATACGAGTCGTGGGCTCTGAAATGTCGGACATTTATATGAAGCTGGTGACATCGTTTCGACTTCAGCAGCAGTTTATTCCCGATGTCAGTAAGTAAATCGATAAGATTGCATTTAATCGTTTTATTGATTATATACACATTAAATAGCGCAAACCTTTAAATACGCTGTGGTATCGAAGAAACAACTGAAAAAGCAACAAGTTCGCGCCATGTTCTTCAAAAAGATGATCCATTCCGCACCTAATGTGTGGCCCATTGTCATGATATTTACTTGCTTTATACTTATCGTGATTATCACTCGATTGGCAATAGTACTGACTGTGCCCAAAGTGCGAACTAACATGATTCCAATTGGCTTCAAAGGTAGCGAGGAGAACTTAAAGAAAATACCAAATATTAAGGAATGCAGCTATATTGACATTAAATCAACTTCCCATATACCTTCATACAAGAAGGCTAATAAATTATCGCGCACCTTTGAAGCGAACTCGTTTTCCTGCGAGAAGGGCGAATATAAACACACAGTGAGTAGCGGCGCGATGACCAGCTTGGGCGCAATACAGCAAGTTGGCCAGGACCTCTATGGTTATATTAGCCAGGATACGTTCCATTCAGCACCTTTGCTGCTAAACTTACTACACAACATCATAATACAGTGAGTACTCAATCCCAATTGTTTTTAATTGTTCCATTTCAACTGTCTTTCAGTATTTCTCGCTAATTGTTCCATTCCATATGATTTTCAATTTTTTCGTTCCAATTGCATATCCAAATGCTGTCAATTATTTAATTTCATATAAATTTAATTATTTCATGTTACAATGTTTCATAACAGTTTCATTCTTACTGTTCCATTCCTATTGTTGCAGACCAATTTCAATCAGGTGTCTCAATGCACATGTCGTCAATAGCTCCACTTTTAGTACTCTCAAATTTCCAAAATTATTACTCTCAATTGGCCCATTCTTATTGTTGTCAGTTGTTCCCTCCAGATGTTTCATTTCAATTGTTCCTCGGAATCACTTGCAGGTTATTGTACACGAATAAGACGGATTATGCAGCCCTAATGGACTGTCATCCGATGCCGACACCGCTCTCCATGAAGATCAATCTACTGGACAATGAGTTAGCCCATATCAATGCTCCACTTGCAGTAGGTTGCATATTGCCCTTGGTTGTGTCAATTTTCATCATACCATTGGCGGAGGAGCAGATATGCCGGCTGCGCGTATTGCAGGTGATCGCAGGTTTGCGATTGCAGATATATTGGGGCGTCAATCTGCTCTGGGATCTATTCACATATTTTATCTATACGGTGATAATTGTAATTATTGTGGCTTGTACGAACATTGGTGACTTTGGTATGACTGAAAATATGCTGCTGCTGCTGCTGCTTACTATTTATGGGCTGGCCGCCCTACCGATCACCTATGTGATATCCATGTATGTGAATAGGTCTGTTGTACGCGCCTTTCTTGTCTCTGTTCTGTTTCAGAGCCTCACGGGCTTGGTGCTCTATATTGTCTATTGGGATGTCGCCAAAAGCAATATCATCTTCTTCTATGGGGCGTGCCTGTCGCCTGGCTTTTCGCTGCTCGACGGGATAAGCAACATCTACATAAGTTGCTTGGAGAAGCGTTTGTGCCAGACTAAGTGCGCTGCTCTTGAAAACTGTCATATCCAAAATATGCACGAGCTGGTGCCCCATTGCGATTGTAATTAATTTCAAAGGAGTTGAAAAAAGTTATTCTCATTTTGCTTCACAGTTAATACACACTTTGAATGGGCCGATCCTGGTATATTACCAGCTTTGACCTTCATGATACTGGCAACGGTTATTGGACTTCTCTTAATATTCTGGATCGAGCTGCATCGCAAAGAAAAAAAGTTTCATTCATCCAAAAAGTAAGTGACCGACAAATTTTGAATGTTCAATAATACATTATTGTCATTTTCCATTTGCCATTTGATATATATTTATATATATATATATATATATATATATATATATATATATATATTATTTATATAGTCCTATTTAGAGATAGATGTACAAGAATTAGGAGTTTTTCTTATTTCATATGTCAGATGTCAGAAGTCATATGATTTATTCATATTTCATACTCATTCACATATCAATTAACTCTTAATATTTTTTCGAATTAATTTTGTTTCCTTTATGGCGCAATTTTTGGCTAACTTAGTTGAAGATTTTTGTCGGTATCTGGCACGTTGAATGTGGTAGGTCAGTTAGAGAGATGAACTGTAGTGTAATATACTAGATAGGTCACTGGTTAAATTATTATTATTTATTATAAATTATAATTATAAATTATAAAATCAAATCTAATCTTATTATGACACTATTCGAATTCGTGGTACAATGAGATTTTACCTCCAGTTGTGGACTGATATATCTTATTAGAGCAATTGAATATCAGGCAAATAGTCTTTTTAGTGAATTTTCGGTTTGGCTTGAACCCAATATGCATTTGTGTTCGATTGCAATTAGGATTTAATATAAACTGTACGTGTGTTTTCCCATAGCTTAAGTAATATGCGTACAGCAACCTACCCTTTCGATGACAGCGATGTGGCAGATGTAAAACAAAAGATCGCTGAGGCGGATATGAGTAAGTGTAAGCAGTCGGTGTTTCTTGTCGATCAGGTTGAAGCCAAACTACCTGTCAGGGGAAACAAAGTGGATACGGTTTCTTTTGCGCTAAATAAGTAAGTCAGACTATGTGCATTTTTAGGTCGAATTGAATCGAAGCTAACGTATTGAATACGCCAGATATATGAGTATGGGTATCTTTGGACCCCGAAATTCTGGCAAAAGCCATCTAATACGGCAGCTGGTAGGCGTGGATGGGTTTGCGTTTGGCGAAATCTATGTGAGGGGTCTGGACTTCAAATACGATCTTGACACCATTTTAGGTTACGTTGGCTACTGTCCACAGCATTACGGACTTCTCAACCAACTAACACCTCGCGAACACATCCGTTTGTTATGTATGATACGTGGCGTGACAGAGAACAAGATCGGTGAAAAAATGCACGACATTTGCCTAATGCTCAACATGACGGGCTGGATGCATCGCAAATGCGGCTCCTTGACGCCGGAAAAGCGAAGGAAAGTAAATGTAGCACTATCCTTAGTTTCCTACAATAAGATTTTCATTCTGGATGAGCCCACCTGTGGCATGCCATCAACGACGCGACGTGAAATCTGGAATATTTTACGCTATTTACGTTACTGCGGCAAGACCATTATATTTGCCACCAACGATGAGTTGGAGTGCAAGGTGCTAGCCGACTTCATACTGCTCTTTCAGAATAGCGAAATGTTGGCCATTGGCAGTATGCAATATCTGCGCTACAAATACAGTCATGGCTTTTACCTTGAGGTGCGACTTGTCCGTGATGGCACTACTGTAGAAGAATCGGAGGCCAAGTGAGTATAAGCAAGAGGCTAATCAAACTGCACTCTTCTGATATATTCCCACTCGTCAACAGTTTACGCAAAGATGTTGAAAATTTGGCACGTTTCATCAACTTTCTACATGATAAATCGGAGCTGGTGTAAGTAAAGTTTCTTAATTTTTTATTTGTTCTTTGTTTTTTTTTTTGTTTAGTTCATTAGTATAAAACAAGCGTAAAGCAATTATAATATTCGTGCTCTAAATTATAGATTAATATCGATTGTCAGTTCAGTTTTCATTTTAGAGAGAAATGTCTTTTATGTAAAATTTTTTTATTATAAGCACTTTTGAAATCGATTAAAATCGATTTTAAGCCAAGATTTTTAGTGAAATTCTCATCGAGCTAAAACACACATCTATACTGATATTATATTTTATTGTATACGTCTTTGGTACAGCGGTCGTATGCATAACTGGTTCAAGTATTATATACCTGTGGGTCACATCGTCTACTCGTTTCTTTATGGTGCCATGGAGAAAAACAAGGTGCGGCTCAACGTTTACGATTACTGCATCTACCAGGCTAGCATGAACGTTGTGATTGCCCAGGTCCAGGAGACCCGAGCCGAGCTGAAGCGCCACATGGAATTGAATCTGGATAGAATAAGGCGGGCAGAAAATAAAAATTCTGGCCGCTGACAGGATACATTTTTTACCTGTTAATTCATCAGTTTGTTATGCATAAGTGTACGTTGATATATGGTAGTAATAAATTGGTGCTATATAATTGAATTCACCGAACTCAACGACGATAATAATAATAATTTTTAATCATGTAATGTAATGTATTCATGAAGTGCATTTCTGACTTTTTTGTTTACTCTTCAAAGTACAAATAAAAACATCCAATCTTTTTTGAATAAAAAAGCTATGATATACATATGCCAAGCCGCAAAGATGTAGCTCTTAAGAATAGAATAAGAAATAATAAAAATGTTCAAGTTGTTATACGTAAATCACTCTTTAAATTGACCTATTTAATAAAACCTAAATTTTTTGAAAAATAAATTAAATTTAATCTTATATTATACATTTAAAAGCGTTTAAAATCAATTATCTATATGTCCATACTCTACATTTTTGATTCTTTGAAATCTCTTGTTTGCCACGTTTTGCTGTTAAGTGCGCAATGAATTAAAAAAAAAACCATTTAAAAACAAGTAAGAAAGTTCTAGTCGGGGTGCCCGACTAGGAGATAATTAATATTTTCCGTAGTTTGTACCAAGTATTCAAAAAAAAAAAACAAATAAAAAATGACATTACGAGACCAGGATTCGAACCTGGATTGTTTGCGCAACGTGCACCAACTCTACCAACACCGCCACTTAATTAATTAATTAAAAAAAATAAAAAACAATAAAAAATATCCTACCATTGCGAGTATCGAACCCAGTCAACAACCGCTCGCGTGCACCGCCTCTACCAACGCAGCCACTGCACCTCTTGCAAGAAGAGTTACAAATTTGAAGTTGAGTAGCAGCTCATAATTCAAGCAGTATTCAATCACAATTTCGATTCTTTGAATAGAAAAGAATACATGTATTTGAATGTGGGCGTGCACCCGCATAGGAAAAATGCATGCGCGTGGCACTGCTTTTGCAAATTGGCCAAAAGTTTTGTTTAATAACTTCTGTTCTACCTAATGGATTTTAATGAAATAAGCATATGATTTACATATCCTATTGGCTTGGTTGAGATGCAAACGCCTTCACATAATGGCCCTGGTTCCAACTGAACTTAAATTTTAAGAAGTTGGGGAAATTCGGAGCCGGTATCCAAAATCCAACAAAAATCAAAATTGCATAAAATATACATAAAATTAAATACAAAACTTGGAGGCTTTAGCTTTTAAGAGTTCCGAGATATAATTTATTAACTGCATTTTAATCAAGTTTTTATTCGATAACAATTAAATGCTAATAGTTATCGAATATTTGAAACAAACTTGATATGCACGTGCTATAAGTGGACCTACAAAAAAATTTCAAGTTTCTAGCTGTTATAGAAGCTGAGATAGACGCGTTCACACACGGACAGACGGACGGCCGGACATACGAACAAGGCTCAATCGACTCGGCTTGTCGTCCTGATCAAGGATATATACACTTTATGAGGTCTGCCACACCTCCTTCTGCCTGTTACATACATTTGCACAAAACCATCATACCCTGATTTCCCCTTTTCAATGGGATCAGGGTATAACAACTCAGGCATGTCTTTAACCTTCGGCTGAATACTAATTATTAATGAAACACGTGCAAATTAAAATTTTATAAAGTTGACAATACTTATATCGACTGGGAACGTTAAGGCGTTACACATCTGCTCGCGCAGCCATCAGAGCCGTTAATCGTTTCAAATTTAATTGTCGCTTGGCCATCGAACGAAGTGTGCGTGATAAGTTAAATAAATAAATCAGTCTATACATTTGCTAAGAAATTAATTTGAAAAACAAAGAACAACGACAAATGCAACAATAAATAATAAAGTATTTGCCTGCGTTTCGTCCGTTACGCCTCACTTTCCGTATTTGAAATACGCGGCTACACTAATCGTATTTCGATAAACGATAAGCGATACGCGGTACTTAATTCAGCTAACATTCAGCTGACGTACACAAATGGCAAGTACACACTACAGTATTATTGTTAGTGGTGCACATCTGTGATGTTTTTTTTTTTTTTTTCGGAAGTTACATTGCGGTTTTGCGTTTTAGACACACTTTGGTGCGCGTGGTTTCTTTAGAGGTGGTTTTGACTAAGTACACCATAGGAAGAAACACTCAGATAGTCCGATTTTATTATTTTTTTTTTTATATTATACCTAGGTATATGTGCATGTGAGTGTGTGTGCATGGAGCCCACAGCTGTTTACGCGACGCAGTAGTTCTCAACGGATAGCGGTATTATTCGTACGTATCTTTTCTCTCTTCCTTTCGAATATATATATAATTCATGCATGAGTAGACCAAAACAAAAACGCTGATAAACCGTTGAATGACACCGCATCGCTCGCAGAATAAATTGAGCGAATTTAGACATATATGTATCCGATGCTTTCCGACTCAGCTGATACGGCAGTGAGAGCGCGCAAGGAAATCACAATAAGAATTCATATATATATATATATATATATATATAAAGTATATATATATATATATATATATAAAGTATATATATATATATATATATATATATATATATATATATATATATATATATATATATAAATGTATTTGCTAATGAGCTTGTATTAAGATCGCTACTTTTGAGTGTTTGCTATGTTTCTATAGTGTGTCAGCAAAAACTTTTTTCTTCTTTCTTCTTTCTATTTTTATTTCAATCATTTATAAACGTAAACGCAAAGGGTGCATCTAATGAAATATGCAGACGCTCAACAGCTGATGGCCATATAAACAGCGCAGACCGTGCGATACTTAAGTGCTTGTATGTATGAGTGTTGGTGTACGTCAGATTGAAAGCTAAATAAATATATTGAATTTAAGTGCGATTATATTTGCGCTTAAACGATTATCACGATGACTTTGCATATCGACGTATGAAATTGGTTAAGCAAGCAATTTATAGTATGAATTTGGTGTTACTTTGCGATCATCTGCTTAGCCGCTGTTGGTATGTACAAGATGGTTAAAAGATATCACCAATTACAGTTAGTTTTAAGTCTTCTAGTGTGTTTTCTGACATCATATCTAATAGCTTAAGCTATTATTAGGTAAAAGCACAAACGATTCCCATGATTGTTGTGTTGTTGTGTCAAACCAAGTGTTCGGCTTAGTCAAGCTATATTGTACTATAACACTCTGAAAATAATTAAAAACTAGGCTAGCGAAAAACTTACATTAATATTTGGCCAATAAAAAATCTTTGGCAGCTTTTTGATATATAAGTTCATATATGTATATGTATATAAATATATATATAGATAATATATGTGTTTTTTATCTATATCTATATATCAATATATATATTTATATATATATGAATGGAGAACCGACACATGTGCATTAATCCATAACAGGTCATAAATAAAATAATTGCGCCAATAACTCTCAAAAATAAATGACAATAATACATTTGCTACGTTTCCATTAAAGTAGAACCTCGTGCATTTGTTTAATAGAAGTACATAATTGTTTCCATTAGAGAAATAGCGTTTATAGGAACTATAAAATTTGATATGATGTCTAGGTGCACTGAACCACTCCCTTGATAAAACAAGCAATAAACTCTAGTCGGGCATACTTTTAAATAGTATGACGCATTCGAAAAAATTTGATTAAACATCTTTTCTTACCGTTAGTGGACAGTATTAAGTCTATAATTTGTACACGTGCCTTGATAAGTATATATTCGTTCGATTCCATTTAACTGCTTGAAGCTGAAGCTAGTTAATATAAATATATTTGTGGATTTTATCAAATACGTCTGACATGTGATTCATTCGAATGATTTCCCATGTACTGAGTGAGTCATGTGTTGCTTACGTTAGCTAACAATTTTGATAGTATTTTGCAAATAAAGATATCCGTAAAATAAAGCTGACATATTCTTCGTCGGGGATCTTTTGAGCTGAGCTGCGAGTAAGATTAAATTTCAAAATCGTAATTTTAGAAACGAGTAAACTAGATCTTAGGAAACACAGTGTTATCGATTTGTATATTTGATCTAAATAAAGCTTGTGACTAAGAAGAAATTTCATTATAGTCATTCGTTGTGCACTTCATGAAAGCAGTTTGTAATATTTTCGACTTTCGACTGTATATACATATAATTTTGTTATATATAGGTGTATCCCTTTATCTCTGGCTATACTGTTTGCTAATTCGCTTAGGAGCTGCATGACATATCGCCGTCGCACATTGACATATGGAAGTAGATAATACATAATCTACTGAATGGTATCGTATCATACTGTATGGGTTGAGCTGTTTCGTGAAGCTCTAAGTTAAATGCAAACAAGTTTAGTTTATGTTAACTGTACGTAAGTGACTCTAGCTGTCGTCATGTCGAGCACTGCATGTTATACACAGGTTCATATGTAGCCGCTCTATTCAAACAATAAACTAATTCTAATATGATCGAGCTATGAACACCAGCTTCGCACGATCCAGCCAATGCGCTATGAGATCAAAAGAATCATATACATAGATAGATACAGATGACCGCAATCTCGTCACAAATATAAATCTCATGCACATATCAATCCATTGAAAGCCAATGAAAGCTGGTTGCTCCCAATATATATTGACAACTTTTAGCTTTATGCAACAAATTGATTCTTACAAATTATATCGATTGTTTTACACATGTGTCATATTATGTTATAACAGTTCTATTGGTTATCTATTAGAGGCCTGCGTGAATGACAAAATAAGCTATATTCAAGTGAACAATGCCCAACTAGTTGGACGGAGGGAGTGCGGTCGCATAGCGCAAAAACAAAACGACTCGAACGACTGCGAATGTGTGTGAGCGAGAGGTTGTTTTTGCTTTCTTGTTGCTGTATTGGCATAAGAAATACAATTGGCACATGTCACTTCGCCCTTTATCTAACAAACACAGTTTCTTCGGCTTTTTTCCCAGCAATTTTTATGACTGCATTAGTAATTCGAATGTCTTCGACTTTACCTAAATTTTTCCCTTATGTATTCTTACTCATTACGCGGAATGTCATATACTATGAGACACCACACGCACTCATATATATATTCAATAACATATTCAATTAAATTAAATTCATTTCCATATTCAATTAAATTCGAGTTTATTTAATTTAACGCGTGGTGTGAGTGCAACCATGCAACCATCTATTATCTATCCTAATCTCGTGTTTTTAAGCATACGACTAATATACACGATTATGAACTGTTTGCTTTTGAAAAATAGAATATATTTAACTTTACTTTTTATTTGTATGTCTTTATTATACACTGAATATATTAAAAATGTGATATCCATTATAAATGTAAAATGTATGTAAGAGGCAGAAGGAGGCGTGGCAGACCCTATAAAGTATATATATATATATATTTGATCAGGATGACGAGCAGAGTTAATTTTGCCCTGTCCGTCTGTCCGCATGTATGAACGGCGATCTCAGAGCCTATAGGAGCTAGAGACTTCCAACTTTTTGTCTGTAGCTATTTACATGATCGATAACTTTTCCTGTGTTGATGTTAATGATTAAAACGGGCAATTATCGAAATTCATTTATAAAATTAGGTATCTCGTACATCTTTCAACCTAACGACTCATATATAATTTGGATATTATTATATTTTGGATATCGGCTCAATATTTTTCAAAATTCTTTAAATTATCAAATATTCATTAAAATATATATATATATCATATGCTGGATTGCACTTAAATCTGCTAACTAACTGAAAAGACCAACTGTCAGAAGCACGTGAGGCGAACGCATTTTTCCTATAGACATACACTTAAATGCGTGCAGTGTTTTATATTCTAGCAAGTAAGAGTAGTCAAGACTGCTCGACTAGGAGATACCTTGAACTAACTATTCTACGCATGTATTAAAGCGTCACAAACAACGCTTACTGCGCAGCTTACGCCGCGACTTGCGCATGAGATTTTATTTGTTGAATAATTTTTCTTCTTAATTGAAACTTTTTTGCACACTTATGGCATCCAAATGTTTATTTTTGTTAAAGCAGGGAAGGGAAAGGGAGGGGTTTTAATAAATTATACACATTTCAAAATGCAGAAAATCTACATATTTATAACAGGAACCTACACGGTAAATCTGAAGTCTCTAGCTTTTATGGCATTCAAGCTACGTTTAAAAAACAAAGACAAACAATCGAATTTAATCGATAATACGGAAATGGGTTGGGTTATTGAAAAAATGAATAAGCTTGTACTGCTTATGGTATTTACGAGTATATATTTCAAGTCACAAGCTTTTGTCGGCATGCATAGATCAACTAAGCTCATCAGTATGGTCAAGAATACAGGTACTTTATGGAATTTGCCACGCTTCCTTTTGCCTGTTACATACATTATCACAAAAATATTAAACCCTCGCAATTGTGTAGGAAATATATGTGTGAATTGTCAGCTGCTACTTTCGATTGAGGCAGGCAGTAGAGCAGGTATGTTGGTATTCGGGATTCGATTCGATTTGACTCCGGGCAACGCCATATTTTTTTATTATTTATCTTACAAACATGTTATAGATCGGTCGGGGCTCAGGGTATCCTATCTCCACTCGCCTAGAACTTACTATCATATTTTTTATGCATACAAGATGTGGTAAAATGGTATTTATACAAAAATTCATTTTTTCTAAGAAATGAAATATTTTTTGAGTTGGTCTTAACTATTTTGAAAAGAAGTAAAAATGACTGCATAATTCTCTTACTTGATTATAGTCCTATGACGAAGAGATACATTGCAATTTGTTATGACTATAATTTTCCAATTCTCCAATTTTCAACATCTGCAAATATTGTTTAAAATGTTGATAGCTTTCAGAACTTATACGCCCTGGTCATATAGTAAGGAAGTAGACGCAAACCGTGCTGAAATTCGTAATCTGATAGAATAGCAAAGGTAATTTATATTAGGTTGTAAGTGCGCTGCCACTCGAGACATAATCGGTGATTTCTTATAGAGTTTATCAGTTTTTGCCCATATATTGGCATTTTTATAGTCCAGAGACGGCCAGAAAGCCCAATCTCTATAAATGTCATTTATCTGCGTAATATTTGTGTTATATATATATATATATATATATAGATTGTGTATTTATTACGGAACAATTGATAAAATATAGAAGATACGCGACAAGGTTCACAATTCATTCAGTTTGTGTTTGTCAGCACTGCCGAGCAGTTGATCGTGTTCTCTAATTCATCTGAACCTAGTTCTGTGTTCTTTTGCTTCGTCCTTGCTTTTTTTTTGGTGATTTTTTGTTTTTATACTTTTGCTATATTTACCTGGAGCATAGGGTGTAGTTGCATGAGCCATCCAAATTAAAAAAAAACTTATAGCGCTTATAAAATCGAAAGCGAAAAGGTTCGTAAAAGTGTCCACAATATGTGATAAATCCTTTTTTTAACTATATCGATAGTTGGGATTCGAAGGCTGACTATAGCTTTATCTTAACTATATATGCAGCGTCTCTATTATCTATTATATTATCAAACGTATTCCTACAATGTTTAAGCATTTATACTCGTTCACGAAGTGAAAAGAGTATATTAGTATTCTGCACATATAAATATATAAATATTTGTGCATATAAATACATATATATTTAAGATTCCGACCTGTTTGGTCGTCGCAATTCTACAAAATATTTTTTTTTTAATACACTTAACTGTTTTTGGATTGTGAACGAGTTAATTGATATTCGGTAATCGATAATCAATAATTGGCGACATTTTGTAACATTACATTATTCTTTAAATAAATATAACTTTAAAAATGTTCGTATCAAAATAAAAAAAAAAAAATTGATTTTTCTTGTTAACAAGCGTCAACTGTTTCACTTTTAAATATAATACTAAAATTTCTATGAAATTCTTATCAATGCTTAGATTAGATTGAAGATTTCATGGGAATATATGGTTTCAAGAAACATGATTCTATACATTTTTTGGAGTTTTTTCTTTGTATTCGTTTATCGAACTAAAGTAACTTTAATAATTGCTTCTTTTTCAATTAATATTTTATCCTTAATGTGATTTCTGATAAGCTAAAACTAAGCACAATGGTTTCATGAATACTACATTACATACATTTGGTATCTCTAGATAGGTTTGAAAACCAGATAGTTATATGCAAGCCATCATAAACTTATCAGTTTATGAATCGAATTCATATACTCTAGCGATTAAGGAATATCTACACCAATGTTCAATAAATGAGAGATTTGCTTGATAGCTAGAATGCATGTGTGATATATTATTAATGTCAATAATTGTCCAGAATTATAGAAATATATAGTATATATATTATATATATATGTGAATATATATATATATATATATATATATATATATATATATATATATATATATGTATATGTGTGTGTCACAAGATATTATGACATCGTGCAAGGTTTTTTCTAGGTACATGTGTTAGGAATAATTATCACCCAATAATAACAATACAATCAAGATTACCATATCTGTCGGTTCTGACTTTGTGCTAATTCTTATCTGAAGTGTAATAGCGTTATCATTATTTAGTTGAAACTCATGTATTTCAAACAATAACCGGCGTTGCTCGGACAATTAACATTAAGTATATATAAGTAAGAATGACTGCATAATTTTTCTACTCGTTTATGCGTCTCCAATTTTCTTGGAAGTCCAGCATAATATTCAGCCAATATTGTGTCAAATTCGAATAGCTTTTGAACTAACACACCTTTTTACTTTGTGAGCGAGATTAAACAAAATGCGCTAAAATTCGTAAGTAAATTTTAGTGTATTTATGTTTTACAAGTGGCTGACTTATAGATACTCTGCATTCTGTATTCTATATTCTCTATTCTGACAGAATCTTGTGTAATCAATTAGCAACCATTAATTGATGCTAAATTACTCATTTTACTATACACAAAATATCTTTTATTATTTCAGTTTAGTCCAACCTTATCAATAGTCAGTGCGGCTTGTTAGCGTGAAAAGCGCGTGTTCAAGTTTCAGGGGAATAACCTGATAATGTATGTCTTTAATATTTGCATTGAATGTACTTAATCTTTTGTGTCGGAAAGTTTCATTGCTGAAAAAATCAGTGCTCAGGCTTCATGCATATGAAGGGCTACGTATGGAGGTCTGAAACAAGCAAACTAATAGAATATAATGTATCCTTTAGGGTTACAACCACCATTGATTCCATAATTTCATAACAATATTTTTTAAACTTGAGCAAATGTATCAGGAAGCTAACCAAACACAACATTACACTTGACATTAAGTGTAGTGTCATTAAGTTCTCTTAACCTTTAGCTTTAAGTATCGACTGATTGCATGCTTATTCATATCAATGTTATATTTTCCTTCAGCTTAGACAGTTAAAATAAATAATATCAGGATATGACGAGATAAATCACTATGGAAAAAGTATCGAGCTGGACAAAATTTAAGCTTTTGCTTTGGAAAAACTGGGTTCTTCAATGGAGTCACAAACTTCAACTCTTCATTGAGGTGTTATTGCCGATAATCTTTTGTCTCCTATTAATATTGGTACGTTTTGCGGTAGATGTCAGTGAAGAGAAAGGTACGACTTACAAGCCGCAAAACATCGACACGCTGGATTTATTCAAGTAACTAAATAATACTTATATCTATATCTATATATATATCTATATCTATATCTATATCTATATCTATATCTATATCTATATCTATATCTATATCTATATCTATATCTATATCTATATCTATATCTATATCTATGTCTATATCTATATTTATATCTTTATATCTAATCATACAAATATATATACCTATTTTAATATATATATCTATATTTCTATCTATATGAATATCTTATTTTAAAATATCGCTCCATATATATTCTCCTTTTCTAACACACATTTGTCTGATGAAAAACTTGGTGAATTGGGAATGACTATATAATTTATATTTGTTTTCGTTCCTTTTCGGTTGTTAAAGCTAGAGACATGGAATTTAAAATGGATATTCGTGTATACCATAATAAGTACTTGTGTATAGCAAATATATATATACTCTATCTGCAAACATACATGTGCTCTTATTCCAAGGACAAGAGGTTAATAATGAGTGCTACCTACAAGTTTTTGGCTGATTACTTCATGCAGTTCCAAGAAAATTCTCGAAACCTTGACAAATGAATTCAAAGCAAAAAAAAAAAGGAAAATTGCTATAATGTCCCAAATTCCAGATTGGTTAGACTCAACTGCTCGCTAATTTCTTCCCTTCCCATGAATAAAGAGAAACTCAAGGAACAGTCTTTCACATGAGAGAAAGATAAAAAAAACGCCTGACATGTGTTCTAAATATCTTTTGAGGGGCATTTAAAAACTAATAACATCAATGAAACTGAATAAATTAATGTCCATTTCAGAAAATGTTTGCAATAAATGCCAATCTTAAGCGAATTTCTTTTACATTTAATTTGTGTAGATATTTAGATTTTCAACTTAATCTATAGACCTTTGAATATCTATGTCTCAGATTCTTTTGCGATATTTATTAAAGATAGTCCAAAATTAAAGTTAGCTTTAGTCCTTAATATATTTTCCACAGATAAAACCTTACAGAAAATCCATTTTTGCTTAGAAAACTGTGGTTGAAAAGTTCAGCAAGATAAATTGAATTACAGTTTTGAGGCTTTATCCTAATATTCTATCCTAACGTATATAACGTTTCTTCTATAGAGCTAAATTATACTCTGGACCCATTGAAAATGAGAAATCCGTTTTTAGGTTTTGTTGAATTTCATTTAACAGGCAGGAGGAGGCGTGACAGACCCTATAAAGTATATATATGCTTGTTCCGGACGGCAAGTTCAGTCAATTTTGCCCTGTCAGTGACAACACAATAAATTTAATGTCATTAACTTTTGTTGTATTTAAACTATACATAAAAAATTTAATAAAAAGATAGATTATTATCGATAATCAGACACTGAATTCAGTTATCGTATGGTAGGCAGGAATAAATAAACGTTTAAAATTACAAGTCTAGCTTCTGGAACGGACGGACAGTAGGTTATGGGTATATAGATTGGCTCGTCGTCCTGTCACACCTCAATGCTTGGAGTTCTAGAAGATATAGTTTTTTCGATTGCTTCATTTTTGAGGTCTATCTCTAAAACTGTGGAAGATGAAGCTCTTCCTAATTTTCCAATTCGCAAAGATATATATTCCGAGTATTTATTCCAAATGTCAAGACGCTAAGTGCTAATAGAATGATTAAAAGAGACGCCTAGATATTAGATAGAACAGTTTGGTTGAGGTTCTCAGTTCCAATAGATTTTTACTTGTTTAAAAATAATTTGCTTTTTATATTTTTTTATAAAATAAATTTAGCTTTAACATAAATAACTTCTAAATGTCAAATGTGTGGCAGATCTCATCTATGAATTAAGGCATGCTCTATTTCAAATACATTTACACAGTATAACTTCAACTGCGCATGATTATAATATATAGTATTTCAATCTTTAGATTTATAATCATATGAATATGATATTGTTATCGATGACAAACTTTCAGATATGAAATGAATAGTGAATGGTCGCATCGCTTTAAAATGTTTATATCGCTAGTTTCAAAGAAAAGGTAAAGAACAAGCTATGAAAACAGATTTTATAATCACAAATTAATAAAAAGTGCATTTTCAAATAAAATAATGAAGAGTTTTGGCTTTTCGGCTTGTCGATTGTGTTATAACTTTGCAGAATAATTAATTAGAAGAGCATGCGAATGGGCTATTAATAGTTTACAAATATATGCAAGAGAAAGAGTTAATAAATTCTGAACGCTTCTCAATTTAATCTCGATACCGATATATAATATCGATAAAAATCGATTAATTAATTGTTTATCTTTGCTTCGCAGCGTAAAGATAATTAGTATTAGACATAGGTTAGTGATTAGTATTAGACATCAGACATCGTAGTTTTGTTAGAATAGTTGTCTTGTGGATTGTGATAAATTAAATGAATTTATCGTAATGCCCGTATTTGTATTTATTATATAGATCATCAAAAAATATATGGATATAATGAATATTTCACTTCTTCTGGCTGCTTTTACCCATTTTTTATTATTTTCTGTTGGGCTTTGTTTCATACTTATATTCTAATACCTTTTATGTGTATATTATGTGTATATAGTGTTAAAGTATCTGTGTTAGTCGATCGTATATGTATGTATATGGATGAAATGTATAGAATGGGCAGCAAGAGGCTTGATCAATTATGTGAGGTCTTTATATATATGTATATATATATTCTTGATAGGAATCAATAACTGAATCGATCTAGCCTTGCTTGGCTGTATATCTGCTTATTAAACTATCCGCTCGTCTGTCCGCCCGTAACGTCACGTTAATCTCAGTTGGTGTAAGAACTAGAGCATGTCAAAATCATGTTTATCAGTAAATAATCGATAGCATTTTGCTTTCCCATTAAATTTATTTAGAAATTATTTCTAGATTAGATTCTCTAGTTATCTTATAACATACAAACTGTTCATACGATTGTATATTCCATTTGCAATAGTCTATATATAAAATTTAATTTGCCTACAACTGCAAAGTTATAAATAATAGCCCGATTTTCTCATTTAATCAGCGACTGCAACGTTTATTATTATATTAGGCTATTCCCAAAGGGGAGGAGACGATAAACAGATATTTGAAATGAGTCTGTCTGTGTTATGATTTAATCAAATTTACCAGGGAACGGGCTTTGGGTTTGGTTATTATATCCGTATGGAATGTCAGATAAATTCTATATCACATAGTTGCAGTCTCTGATTGAAAATATATTAATGAAAAAATCAAACCTTTTTACATTTTTGTTAAACTTTACTTTGCACTTCTGTTAAAATTCCCAAAAACACACGCTAAAATTTGTTTTTATTTGTATTAATTATATTAAAAATATTTAGTTTTTAACACAATTATTATTTCTTAATACAAACAATTTTTATGAAATATTTTTTGTTTTGGTTTACTTTTGTTTACTTTTTACTGTTTTAATAATTTATAGCTAAACGTTAATTTAATTAAAAATGATTCTATATTCATTTACTAATGGAAAAAATTTGATATTTAGTAACTCTCTAAACAAGTTGTCTGGGAATACTCTTCCGACTTTTGAGCTGATATATGCACCAAACAATGTTGTCCTGAAAAAGCTTATGGACGATGTGGAGAACAGTTTGAACATAGTAACAACGGGTATTCCCGATGTAGATCAGATCGTACCGCAAGTGTTGGGGAGTAACTCTGTTGCTGGCGTTGAATTTCATGGATCCAATTTTGATGAGCTACCGGACAATTTAGAGTTCACATTGCGCTTTCCCTCAGAATGCCGGACAGGTCAATTTTCCACATGGACAACAAACCGATTATTTCCAATGTTCTTACCACCGGGACCACGAAATCCCGACTCCGATGATGGCGGATTACCACCTGGCTATCTGCGCGAAGGCTTTCTGCCCATACAGAATGCGATAAGCATGTCTTATATACGACAGAAGTCATCTATCAACACATTGCCAAACATAGTTTTACAACGATATCCATATCCGGCCTATACAGATGATAAGTTGATAGGTGCATTCCATGATGTGATTTCCTTAATAATTTTACTAAGCTTCATCTATCCGTGTACGTGTATCACCAGGGTGAGTAACTCCATTAATCAAAAGCAATAGTTAATTGCTTTGTCTGTTTGGCTGTTCGTCTTATTACTCTTTTCATATATAGCATATTCGTATTTAATTGGTAGCGTATAGATACGATAAAGCCAGCTGATTCTTGGCTTTAATTTAGTGAAGATTTAACACGTTTTATATACGTTAGATACTCTCTATATATATTCATTGTTTGAATTATATAAAAATAAAATTCAAGTGTCTACGATTCGAGTCTTCATTAGGACTCTATCTGATCAACTTGTCTGTCCGATGGAATGAACGCGTGAAACTTGTAAGCTCTCAGAGCGTGAAGAAAAATATTTGTGTAATTATTTATCATTTTTACCAATAGCTTGGCGATGTAAATCGGAAAGCTTCAAATTTTTAGATTTGAAATAATATTATATATATATACTATACATATTATATATATATATATATATATATATATATATATATATATATATATATATATATATTAGTTTTTCATCGCTTCCCTAAAAATCGGAAAAGATAAACTTTACCTTTTAGGTATTTCGTAGTCTGGGACTCCCGACTAAAGCACTATTAATTGTATCAGCTGCTATAATAATGTGAATAATTGGAATAAATTCGTTGTGTTGCAGTACATCGCCAAGGAAAAGGAAATGCAACTGAAGGAAGTGATGAAGATAATGGGACTTGACAACTGGCTGCATTGGGCCGCTTGGTTCATTAAGTCATTCTGTATGCTGGCGGTATCAGTGATTTTAATGGTTGCATTAATGAAAATATGCTTCAGCGAAGGCGTTGCCGTTCTTACCCATTCCAATTTCTTCGCCGTTCTCCTGTTCTTTCTCATTTACATAACGAACACGATCTGCTTTTGTTTTATGATGTCAACGCTCTTCTCCAAGGCTAGCACAGCGGCAGCGGTAACAGGATTGGTGTGGTTCGTCTTCTATATGCCATACATGCTCACAACTGTCACGTACAGTGAACTTAATTTGAGTCAAAAGCTCGGCTGGTCAATGTTCTTAAATACAGCGATGGGCTTTGGCATACTGCTAATCGTTTCGTTCGAGGCAGCCGGAGAGGGCTTACAGTGGAACAATTTATTCTCACCGGTTAACATTGATGATAACTTAACTGTTGGCCATGTTATGCTAATGATGTTAGTATCTAGCTTCGTCTATATGCTGGTCTGTCTCTATATTGAGCAGATATTTGCTGGCAGTTACGGAGTAACGCGCGAATGGTATTTCCCCTTTACGAAGTCATTTTGGTGCCAAAAAAAGAAAGTGATGACGCACCCAGAAGAAATGCCTGAATTGGAGCAAAAGGATCCAAATGCCTTCGAGAAAGAGCCCACTGACAAACACATTGGCCTACAGATCAGAAATTTAAAGAAACAATTTAAAAATAAATGGGCTGTCAAGGGGATATCACTCAACATGTTTGAAGATCACATAACTGTGCTACTTGGCCATAATGGAGCTGGCAAAACGACAACCATATCGATGATAACGGGCCTGATTCCGCCCACGTCTGGCACAGCGATTATCAATGGTAGCGATATACGCACCAATCTCAAGGGTGCTCGCGAATCATTGGGTGTTTGTCCACAGTATAATGTGCTGTTCGACGATATGACCGTTGCCAATCACTTGCGCTTTTTCTGTCGGCTGAAGGGTCTCAAGGGCACTGCTGTGGATGCTGAGGTGAAAAAGTACCTACAAATGATTAATCTGGAAAAGAAGGCTAATAATTTATCGGCAACACTGTCGGGCGGCATGAAGCGTAAATTATCCCTGTGCTGTGCTCTTTGCGGCGGCACTAAAGTCGTACTTTGTGATGAGCCCAGCTCTGGCATGGATCCAGCTGCACGTCGTCAGCTGTGGGATCTACTGATAAGCGAGCGACCCGGCCGTACTATATTGCTGACCACTCATTTTATGGATGAGGCCGATGTGCTTGGCGATCGTATTGCTATCATGTGTGGTGGAGAGCTCAAATGCAATGGCACTTCCTTTTTTTTGAAGAAAAAATTTGGGTCGGGTCATCGGCTGGTAAGTGTTTGGCAGGTTTAAAATAATACTCATAGAACTGTATACATTTATTAACTATGGGCTAACCGTTATATATATATATATCTATATATATATATATATAGATATATATATATATATATATATATATATATAAAACTAAATACTTTGGAGATCTGATCAAATTCGATGTCTTGTTTAGGTCAAGTATATTCTTATACATAATACAACAGGAGGAGATACCGTTCCGGGTTCTTTCTTTCGTTTTCGCATTGATAAGTTGAATTCAGGTTAAAATAGTTTTGTTAAATTGCATGTAACAGGCAGACGGAAGCGCGGCAGACCTTGCCAATTATATATATTTTAGATCAGGACGACGAGCTGAGTCGATTCAGCGATGTCCGTGTGCCTCTCCATCCATCCGTATATATTTTTTTTAACTATATATTCTATATTTTTGTCAATGTAAAACCCAAGAATTACTCAATGGCATTTGGCCACGAAGCAAGAAGCAATTAAAAAAAGTTTTCTTAGATAATATATTTTCTTTTTTTTATAGATATTTGTCAAGAAGGAGAACTGTCATCCAGCTGAAGTGACGGCCGTGCTAAGCAAGTATATACCAAATATATGGCCAACTAGTGATATTGGCACAGAGCTTAGCTACAGTTTGCCCGATAAGTATTTGAATAAATTTGAGGAGATATTTCGAGAACTGGAGAAGCGCAAAGATGAGCTGAATGTGGAAGGTTTTGGAGTTGGCAATACATCATTGGAGGAAGTGTTCATGAAAGTGGGTGCGGAGTCTATGCCCAATGACGAAAGAATGGAGCTTAAATCAAAAGTGATTCCCCAGGCACCAAACCCGGACAATGAATCAATGAAATGTAAGCAGTGTTTGAACTAAATCTCTGGCTAGTTGGCCATATATTGATAAGCTCAACTAACTGTTTGCAGCGGATACCTATCTAGCGCAGAATGGTCAACTGTTGGATGGCATGAAGTTAATGGGCAATCAGTGGGCGGCAATGATGTATAAGAAGGTGCTGTATACATATCGCAACAAAGTGCTGTTTATCGTGCAAAACATTTTGCCCATTGTGTTTGTTACCTTGACAATAATGGTATCGCGCAGTAGTGGCATCAACTCGGAATTGCCATCGATGGAAGTCAGTCTTACCCAATATCCGGCTGCGATTTCCGTGTTGGAAACTTTGCCAACTTTGACAAAAGATTCACTTGGCGGACAAATTGCCAAAAGCTACGAACAGTTGACCAAGTCATATGGCCCAAGCTATACGTTTGAGAGTACGGGTGATAAAACCTTTTCGGATTACATACTCGATCTGGGCAAGACCATACAGGTGCGAATTAACTCACGCTATTTGATAGCTGCAACCATTGGAGAGGATAAGATAACCACCTGGCTAAATAATCAGCTGTTACACACAGCGCCCCTCACTCTTAACATGGTGCACAATGCGATAGCTCACGTATTAATTGGCCCACATGTAAAAATCAGTGTTACCAATTCTCCATTGCCATACAAAACGGAAACATTACTAATCCGATCACAAGTGGGCGCTGGCCTGGGCACCCAATTGGCCAGCAATTTTGGGTTTTGCATGTCCTTTGTAAGCACTTTGTACATATTGTTTTTGATCACTGAACGTGAATCGAGATCGCAGCTATTGCAATTTGTGAGCGGCGTCAAGGGTTGGGTGTATTGGCTGTCACACTTTGTGTGGGACTTTTTAACCTTTACGTTAACGGCTTTCATTGCTACAGTCACGTTAGCCTGTTTCCAGGAGGAGAATTTTAGCACATTTGATGAACTGGGTCGCATCTTTGCGCTGATGCTGATCTTTGGATTTGCCGTGTTGCCATTTACCTATTTCTTGTCGTATTTCTTCAAAGATGCCGCCACTGGCTTTGCACGAATTGTCATTCTGAATATATTCGCTGGCATGGCCATATTCGCAGTGGTCATTATAATGTCAAGCGAACTATTTGAAACGAAAACTGTCGCAAATTGGCTCAATAACATCTTTCGCATTTTTCCACACTTTTCGCTCGCCATGAGCATCCACAAAGTTAGCTCAAATACGGCTACCCGAACTGCCTGCGACAAGCTAACCGGCCTGCCGCCCATCATTATCTGCGAGCTTGTGCCAATGTGTTGCAGTAAGTATAAATACATTATATAATTATTATTATTTGTATTAATTGCTATTATGATTTTTCAATGTCAAGGCGTAAGTAAGTTCTTTGATTGGAACGAACCCGGCGTGCTGCAGGAGATAGTCTACATGATTATTGTTGGCTTAATTTTCTTTACTGTCCTTTTGCTGAATTCATACGGCGTAATTCGCAAGATTTCGACCTATCTAGTTAAGTAAGTATCTACATCTACAATCGACACTTACATACAACTTAAAAGCTTAAAGACAACTAATTTATGCTACGAATGCTCGCAACAGGCAGACGGACAAAGATAAGGATTTACTAACCAAAGTGTATATTCTTGTATTATATATTATATAAAGTGAGCTTGACATCTACTATAGCTAACTGTATGTTTCATATTAAAATAGAACTTAAACTTTGTTACTTGTATAATATTTTCTTAGTAGTTAAAATACGCATATATGTCCTACGGTCAGACTTTGAAAGTCACCATCAAATAGATTTTGCGTCTGTTTTACGGTTGCAGCATTGCATTGTAGCATTATAGCTTATATCTTACTAGATGTCAATGGATATTATTTACTCATGATTAGCATTAACTTTGATTCTCATTAACTTTCAGGAAACAACCAATTCCGCCCGAGCGAACTGTCTTTGATGACGATGTGGATAAGGAACGCAGTCGCATTATGAATATGAGTCAGCAAGAGAAAGCCGAAAAGAATCTGGTGCTGGATAGTGTGTGCAAGTATTATGGAAAGTTTTTAGCTGTCAATCAGGTGTCGCTATGTGTGAACGAGTATGCATTTGTAATTTGAATGATGTGGATTGTATACTAACTTGTGCTGAGTCTTTCAGAGCCGAATGCTTTGGCTTGCTGGGCGTAAATGGGGCTGGCAAGACGACAACGTTTAAGATGCTGACAGGCGATACGAATATAAGCTTGGGCAATGTTTACATCCAGGGCATAAATCTAAACAGGAACCTAAATGAAGTATACAAAAGAATTGGTTATTGTCCTCAATTTGATGCAGTACTGGAAAATCTAAGCGGCCGTGAACTCTTAATGATTTTCTGCCTGTTGCGCGGCATTAGGAGAAATATCATCAAACCATTGTCAGAAGATTTGGCCATGACATTTGGCTTTTTCAAGCATATTGATAAGAAAACGAAGGCTTATAGCGGTGGCAACAAGCGTAAACTGAGCGCTGCAATTGCAGTGATTGGCTCACCATCTGTTGTTTATATGGATGAGCCCACTACTGGCATGGATCCGGCTGCCCGACGTCAGCTGTGGAATATTGTGTGTCGTATACGAGATTCGGGCACATCAATTGTGCTCACATCGCACAGCATGGAGGAGTGCGAAGCATTGTGTACTCGTCTGGCTATCATGGTTAATGGCGAGTTCATGTGCATGGGCTCCACGCAACAGTTGAAAAACAAGTTTTCTAAGGGTCTTATACTTAAAATTAAAATGCTACCCGCGACGAAAGATGGATACAGCACACCCGTTCCATATCAGGTCAGCAATTTAGCATTGGGTGGTAATCTCGATTCCTTAAGAACTTCGATTTCTAATGGAAATATATCACCAACGCCTATTCCACATCAGAGCAGCATTATTGATTTTCTGCCGTCGATTGGGTGAGTAAATACTCGGTATATCTACATATACAAAAATCTAGTTCATTTAGAAATTCTAAATTTATGATATATAGCAACGATAGCAATGTCAATGCCCTTGTTAGTACCAATGTGGAAGACATGGATAACAACACGACATTACAACAGAATAACAACGATAAAGTCAAGCAGTTCATCCATGAAAAATATCCGGAGTCTATTCTACAGTAAGCTTATTAAGACATTTTTTTCGTATATTATATACGCTATATATATATATATATATATATCTTTCTTAATTTTAGAGAGGAATGTCAGGGCATGCTAACGTTTTACATTCCACTGCAGGGCCTTAAATGGTCTGAAATTTTCGGTATTATAGAGGACCATCGTGAAAAATTGCAAATGGAGGATTATTCTATAAGTCAGACAACATTGGAGGAGATATTCTTAGATTTTGCCAAATACCAGGCTGCAGATAACCGATGTTCCAAGTGAGCTAACTTTGGGGCAACACTCGCATTATCTGCTATAGAAAATGTTAGCTTTATAGTGGCTTATATCATTCATTAAGTATCACACATTATACATTGTACATTATACATTATACATTATACATTATACATTATACATTTTACATTATACATTATACATTATACATTATACATTATACATTATACATTATACATTATAGATTATACATTATACATTTTACATTATACATTATATTTTATACATTATACATTATACATTATACATTATACATTATACATTTTACATTATACATTATACATTATACATTATACATTATACATTATACATTATACATTATACATTATACATTATACATTATACATTATACATTATACATTATACATTATTCATTATACATTATACATTATTCATTATTCATTATACATTATGCATTATACATCACCACATATCGTACATCATACAATACAACAATTGTAACGAATCCACAAGTGAACAGAACTTAAAGCGTTAGCTGCATAATTGCTGATCTATATTTTATTTAGCCAATTGTTTTCTTTTTGTTTTTGTTTTGTTGTAAGCTAAGAATATGATCAAATTAACCAATGAGTTGTGCAAAAGGCAGTATATGTTGTAATGCTTAGTATTTGGCTTGGCTTGGGTTTAACTATTAGAATTTGCTATTTACAAATATATATATATATTATCATACAAATTTTTTTTTGTTTGCGAACACAGAACATTGCGTCGAAATTGTTGCGGCTGCTAAGAATTTATATTTTAGGAACCTTATGTACCCAATGTGAACGTTTTAGGCATTTTCGACATCTGGTAATCAAATTATGTTTATCAGATTGATTGAATTTTAAAAATCAGAGAAATGTATAGCAAATGTGAATTTTAATGTGAATTAAGGAAGGAAGACTATTTTAATATAACAGTTATAGATGTGTTTCGTAGTATTTTAGAAGTACGCGAAGCAAGCTACCAAAATTGTTAAATTTTACAATATTCTAAATAAGTTTGTAAACCTAATGTAAATTTATAGTGTAACACAATTGTATTTCAATTAAATTATATTTTCGCTATGATCATTGTACAAATACGTCAAAAGAATTTATGTATTCGGTACAAATATAAAACAAAACAATTATAATAAAAACTCGTTTTAGATATTTTATCAACAGCTATATAATCTTCTATTTTTGGTATAGTGTAGTTGTGTAAAGGCATGCGACAAAATCAAGTAGCTTTTTGTCAGCTAACAACTGCATGACAGCTAAATGCTATCGATATGCCATGTTACTGAACAGCTGCAAAAGTGTGAAAGTAATGTTAGCAATGTACATGTCAAGCTAGCTTTTGCGGGTGTTTTTTTAAGTTAAATTTCTGGTTTTCTTTGCAAACTGAAACAATTTAAGAAACAATTGTTTTTCTTTAAAATATTTGATGTTTTGTTTGCTTCTCCGCGCTTGCCCAATATTTTAACTAAATTTCTACGAAACTGTTAAGAAGCTTTTAGAAAAGAGAAACTGTATGATTTACTTGGAACGGCAAGCGTGGAGTTACTGTCTGTAAAAACTTGAAGATTAAATGGATTTATCTCAAATCCTTAAGGATTGTATTGTCGAATAGTTGCGCCTGCATGCCCCCAACAATGTTGCGAGTTATGAAGAAGTCCTCAATATTCAATTCGAACGCATCCTTGCGAATGATCTGAAATATTTCTGCAAAACTAATCGAATTGCGTGGTATATAATAGATCATACAGTAGTCCTGTTGCAGCCTGGAGAATAAGAGAAATATAGTTATTAAAACGCTTCATTCATCACTACTTACTGCAAAATTGCTTCAGGAAATTTCATTTGAACGAAAAGAATCAATTTGTTGTGCGGCGAAACAGGAAATTTATTGATGCGATCCCAGGTGCTTCTTGCCGTGCTGATATCGGCATTAGCTTTACGCTTAAAGCGCACTTCTAGCTCATATCCGCGTCGATAACGCTCCGTCTGTGCGCCCATCGTCCACACCTGACCATTGTATAGAATCGGACTGCGCTCACACAATCTCTCACAGTCCAAAGCCGAGAGATTCGAATAGAGAAAACTGCAGCCACGATTTTGCATATAGGCAGTCAGACTGAACAGGGTACGCTTGCCATTGGGATCAATACCGCCGGGTGGTCCATCTACGCATATTAACATCGGATCACCCAATAAGGCCAGAGCGAAGCCAATGCGTCTTATCTGGCCGGTGGTGCATATATTGATTAACTGACGATAGCAGCTTTGGAAGCCCAACAAATGCGACAATCCATCACAGATCGGTATGGCAAACTTTTTGGGCAGTCCGTGCAACTTTGACTGTAAGATTAGCAGCTCGCATGGTGTAAAGTCTTTCGGGAGTGTTCCTTTCTGTGAGCAATAACCCAACAATGGATTACATTTTGAGCGTTTATTCTGTGTGCTATAGCCCCCAATCCACATTCGTCCATACGATGGTTGTGAATCTCCAACAATCATTTTGACAATTGTCGTCTTGCCGCTATTATTATATCCCATTAGACCAACGCATTCGGCGCTGGAAAATACAACACGATCCAATTAGAGGCTACCCATGGATTGTTAGTGTTAGCACATTTGTTTTCTACTTACTGGGCTATAGATAAATCGAAACGTATTATAATCATTTTTTTGCCAATGCTTTTGCCAATGCCCTCACAAACGGCAGCATATTTTGATCGTTCCTTATCATCCAGCTTTTCTATCAGATTCCTTTCGGCAAGAACCGATTCATCGACAAAATAGTCAGGATGACGATCAAGCTGCGACTGCTGCGACTGCAGCTTCGCCTTTTGCTTTTTTTGCAAAGGTATTCTCTTGCATTTGCATTTCATTAGCGAGTAGTATTCTACCAGCAGTAATATACCTACTGGTACAAATACGGCAAGCAACATCATAATAGAATCAACGACTATACCATACTCATTACTCCAGTAACTGTACGAGGCTGTGACACAGGAGAAATCAAGTGAGATTCGATATAAGAGATAAGATATAAGAGAGTTTGAGATACTTAACAGCAACAGTTAGGTAATATATTGCAGTTTTCGATCATCGCCGACAGGAAACTGATAGTTGGATTCTTGCAGAGCCCACTGAACTCGTAGAGCCGAACCAATTTGAACATCACCTCAGCAAACGTGTATTGCGGAAGTGGCTTTAAAAAACCGTTAATATCGGCAAGATTGTCGCCGACAGTTATAATAAACATGATGATACCCAATACATTAACGATTGAAACTGCAATAAACGCATTGTTTGGATCAATGGGCAAGACGGCGAACAGGTAGGATAATGTGATCACAGAGAAGCCATTAAATGAATTCGCCAAAAAAATCCAGACTGTGAATGAAGGGATATTCAAATGAGAGGACTAACTACTAACGCACTAAAAATCGAATAAGTGTACTGACTGTATAATTGCACATCATGTCGCGGATTAAGATATATCGATACGACCATTACTATCAGTAAGGTTAAAATTATAACCCGTATGAAATCGAAGACACACATGCAAAAGCAATAAATCGAGAGACTCATTCCTGTGAGAGCCTGTTGCTTCCTGAAATGATGGTCCATTATGTGAGAAATGATAATGTCCATCCACACATTGCTAAATATGAACGAGAAATTTATGACCATCATCATGCCTAAACTAAGCGACATCTGCGGTAGTGCGTTCACATCGGCCCGGAATGGTAGTGGTTGCAGTGTCACATCAATTGAAGCCTCCTCGTTGAAGAAGCGTCTACGGTAGGGAAGATAATAAAGGAAATATATATATTTATATATAAAATATTCCTGATACATAAGTATACTATTTATATTACGCAACTATTGTTACTACTGTTTCTACTGTAATACAGTTATTTCTCGTAATACTAGTCTTGAAAATCGACAATTGAAATCAAACTGTCTGTCCATCCACAGTATTCATTATAGCCCTACTATCATAGGCTATAATGAATCTGGTTGCAGCACGCTCGGACCAAGATCAACTATATAGATCTTGTCTACAATAATATACATACATAATAAGTATTATACGTTTGGGATAACTTCCCCGATTGCTTACCAAATTAGAAATAAAAAAAAATGGAAGATCTAGACGGGAATGCCCGACTAGGATATACTATGAACTCTTTTGAAGAATTTGATGTTTTGATATTTTTGCATTTATGATAGTATGCAGACAGATCATCTGTCGAAATTGTATCGCTCACTATAGCTGATAGTTCTTTGATGTTGATTAAGAATGTATATACCTTATTTAGACAACTTTTTCTGCTTCTCTATTCAGTTTTAATATGTAGACTTAAAAGATGTATGAGCAAAAAGCTTACACGTATTCAACGAAGTCAAGTCTCTAGTGTGGATAAGAAAGGAACGACTTACCGTGCAATCACATTATGAACTAAATTGACGCCATACGGAGCGGCATGAAGTGGTATATTGTTATACCAGACGGTTATTTTGTCTGTGTCGAAAGATGCACCGAATATATAGTGATAGTTGACTGACCGTAAGAAATCAGTTTGCAGTAGTAAATAGAAATCCGAAATGTCCGCTGTCTTTAATATTTTAACATGACCATCATACCAGAAGAGTAATTCTATGAAGCACTCTTGCATCTCAACTACATCCAGACTACCTGACATAGTTTCCACAAAAGCATCAATATAGCGTATCTGAGTTAGATTGAACGATATTGGCATTAGTTGATAGTTTTTGCCGAAGAGCAGCAACGGGGCGAAAGTGCATAAGGAGGCTATCAATATAACCAGGCCATGCATGATTTTGATGGCAATATGTCGTTTATATAGTATCAAGCGCATTTTAAACAGCGCCTGCATACGCATTCTTATAAGTTTATTTCCTTTGGCACGTCCAAAGTTGTCGGAGTCTTCGAAGACCAGTTTCAAGTCTTCTATCAACACGGCTGGCTCTCCACTCACATCTCCATCCTCGGAACCAAATCGGAAAAATATCTCATCCAATGACGTGTCGCGTATGCGAAAGCTGATTATATCTAGATTTAACATCTCTTCCTCCAGATCATCGAACAGGTTGGGAAATCTGTCCTCGTACTTAGTCTCAAGTACATATGTTATTTTATTGCCAATATCACTTTCCACTGTCAGGTTCGGGAGATATTTGCTTAACAGATTTTGTAACTCTCCCAAATCGAAAGCTTTACCTTTAATGAAAGTCTAGGAAGTAGAGAAATGAAATAAATGAAATACATAAACATCACAATTATGTTTTAAAAGTGTTTGACTCTGATATGCTCTGTACTCTGCTGGCAGCAAAAGAGACACTATCAGCTATTGATGAGTAATCTGTATAGGAATGTAAGCTACATTGATAATTATTCCAAATAGCTGAAAATACTGAAAGAAATCTTAACTTCGGAGTAACTCTCCAAACAAGATTAGACTACTAATCAGGATAGGACTCTTGGTTTCTCTGATGGAGTAAGGACAATGCCAGTTCTCTGCTACACATCTAATGGTATGTAAACACCATACATATTGTGGCCTTATTGCATTCTCTAACTTTAATTCTATCTAGATGGGAAAGCTCACCTACAATATTAGAAATATTGGCTATTTGGAGTTTGACGGCATAAAGTTAGGTTTAATCAGGCCACGAAGTAGTTATCGCAATCTGACAAGAGTTTTATTTATTTATAAGGACATTTACTTACCAGACGAAAACCATGTCCATACATATTACGCAGAAATGGCTTGCTTCCGGTGCACTTAAGCTCCCCATTGGACATGATGGCTAGGCGATCGGCCAAGTGGCTCGCTAGGGCTGTAGAGTTAGATACCAAGAGGATAGTGCGCTTGAATTTCTCTTCATTGATAAGATTGCAAACGAGAGTTTGTGTGACTAGATCGAGATCGGAATGAATATCGTCAATAAGTATGATAGGGCTGCCACCGGCAAAGGCGCAACAAATGATGAGTAGACTTCGTTCTTTTGAAGTTAAATTTTTGATCTTGGTATGCCTGACATTGGTCAACTGCAGTAGTTGTGTATATAAATCAATCTCTTCATTGGAATCTCTCCACGAGATCCCCTTGACCATGCATATGAATCGAATTTGATCGTTGACAGTGAGATCTGGCGAAAGCAGATCTTCATTTAGTGCCAGACCAAGTTGCATAGATGCATCATGCCTTTCAGTTTGTATATTATAATCGGATATCATGACAACGCCACGAGTCGGCTCTATCAGACCAGCGAGTATCTTAAGCAGTGTCGTTTTGCCGCAGCCATTGTGACCCATAAGCACGGTGACCTCATTCTCGTAAACATTCCATGTAAAAGAGTTGAGGGCACCACGGCTGGTGCTCGTATATCGCTTGCACAGCTTCTTGATTTTGATCTTGAAACGTCGATGTGATGGCTCCACCTCATAGATTTTGGTTGCCTTCACTCCAACCGGCTGTGGGCCCTGCGGTAAGAAGCTATCGTCACGGTCCTGATAGGTGAAGTCGCCGCTATGTGTGGGTGCAGCTGTATGCTTGCGCCGCCTGCCGCCTGTTTCGCCCGTATGCCATACATCCATATATATGCTGATGGCGGCATATATAACTGTGGTTATCAGAAATATATATATGCCCTGATAGACCCTGATTCGTTCGCCTACATAGCTTAAAGCATAACCCTGATCCGACCATTGCTTATCATAGAACGTCTCGCGCTCAATTAGGCTCTGGCAAATTAGCGCCAATACAGTGTTCGGAAACGCACAAGATAAATATGTAACTATTGCATCAATTTTTTCCCGATTATTGTATATCACAAAGTATGGCAAATATGTGATTATCCAGAGTAATGTCACTATCCGCAACGCCAGTGAGCTGTTCTTGAAGAACGAGGCAATCAATAAGCAGAAACTAGTTGCTGCCACATTATACGAAAAGAGCACCAGTAAAATAATATACCATGGCGTTTGCTTAAATATGGTTTCCGTATTATTCCAAGGAATCTTTTGCAATCAATCAACATAAAAGATAAGAATTTCAATTAAAGTGGGTTGAGATCAACAAAATAATTGTATTCTTACACTTTGAACGAATCGATAATTATCGATCTTACAGCTTATTCTGCGCATCAAATAAAGCAGTTCGAATTCCCTAGCTGAATGGGCAAACGAACATAGTTGATGACAACAAACGGTTTACAGACACACTGCTTGTGAGGGTTGTGCGGAGTGTGAGGAGTGTGCGACTTGGAGGTACTCTGACATCTGCACAGAATGGCTTTGTTAATCATAAAGCTCTTCGCTTTTGTATTTTACGCGATCCCTGAGTTGATATGGATGGATGGATGGACAGACAGATAGATAGACAGATAGACAGACAGAGAGAGATAGAGCGAGAGAGATTAAGAGTGACAGACTGACATGGCTAAATCGGTTCAGTTTGTCGAATAGATGCCGTATAATAATGGACTTTATGGGAACTACGTACCTTGACGACGCTCATTATCAGAATTGAGGTCATCAGCATATAGACGAGTCCTTTGCAGTACCAACTTATAAAATGTATGATGTTGCCAATATTCATATTGATAAGAAATAGACGCATCTGACGCTGCTTCTCTTGAACGACTTGCTGTTTACACATATATATATATATATAAATAAGGATATAGGTTTAGGCATAGGCAAAGATATAGTTATAATAATATAATATAATATAATATAATGATAAAGAGCTGGTACATACACAGACAAGTATTTGCGCCGGAAACATAAAGCCAAAAACAAGTAGAATGGGTATAGCTTGATTTGTGAGATTCATTTGCGGATCAGCTATGCGTCCATTGACTGGAAAGCGTCGTAGTACAATCTTAGGTAGGGCCGTTCTGCTGACCATTACTAGATAAGTTTCGGTTATGGCTATTTGGATATTGAGAAAACCTTCGCGGATATAACTGCAATGACCATCTATGCTGTCATCATTCAAACGCCGTGCTATAGTCAATTTGGGATCGTCATAATGGATTGTCTTCCAGTTATCGCCAATAAAAGTATTTTTGAAGATGCGCAGCTCGCTGGGATAAATAATTGAGTAGTTGATGTGTGGCAGTACCAACTCATCTGGGCCCAAAAAATCGCCAGCGAACACATATTGCTTTTCGAACTGACTGTGATCAAAGCAAACGCCAGCAAATAGATATTCGTCCTGTACAGCTATCTTCATGTCAGAACAATCACTATAGTTGCGTAATTCTATTGATTTCAGTTTGTTCAATGAGATATCCATGATCTTGCCAAATATATTGTAATCGTTGGGCGCCCAGGCCAGCACTAACTGCGGTATAAAGACATTACTACTAACGTTATGCTCTTGCGCAATTTTTTGGCGCATCGCTAGCGTCTCCATCAAATCGTCCCAGCTCTGGGATAGATCTATTGGGTCGTAGAAGCTGTTAAAGCGTTCGGATACGTCGGATCTCAGGCGCAAGCCCACACCAATGCAGCATAGCGCGAAGGGCGCGAATATCAACCAGGCCAGCTCCAGCGGGCGATTCCACTGTGTCCTATGTAGTCTCCATGACAACAATAAAAACTTGTCTATATAGTGTCGGATGCTCATGTTGATAGTTTTTGCGTTTCAAATGTATCGGCCTTCTATATATAAATATATGAATGAGTCAATGTTGAAAGACAAGTTTCTAATATGAAACAGTATTAAAATTGACAGCGAGATGTTTGTCTGGTCCTATTTATACAAGAGCTTACAAATTTTCAGTTTTCAGTCCACAAAGATTAATTTTTGAAAAACATGTAATTATTTTTGTAAAGAACTTATCAACATTTCTAACTCTTATTAAGTGATATAGCATTCCAATGTCAGCTATGACTGTGAAATAAGGTAATGAATTTCAATTGGCTATGACTAATTTTTATCGAAAAGTTATGTTAGAATCAACTGACTACGTTTTGGGTTGCCAACTAAGAGTTATGCTATTCTTAATAACTATAATTGAGGAACTGTTTAAGTAATCCATAGAATTGGGATGTTGAGATATTTGATGACATTTGATCATGAATTATCTTACGCTTGTAGGAATTGAGAGATAGCGAGAGAAAAAGAGGGTAGAGAGAGGAAGAGGCTTACGGACAGAGACAGACAGGAGAGAGAGAGAGAGAAAGAGCGAGAGAGAGAGAGAGAGAGAGAGTATACGACAAGAGAACTTTTACTTGTTTTTTAATATTTCTATTTTTGACAGTGTCGCTCGTTTATTTATCCTTTGAGATAACATTTTTATTGCGTTCTAAAGTCAACAAACGGCAATAGAGCTGAAGCCTTCTGCTAGCTGGTTGAGTTGGCCAACTGAACAAAACTGCATATGTATGCAGTACACACTCGGATAAAAAGGCGAAAAAAAGAACAACAAATTAAAACACCAAAACCGTATGCTTCACAATGAAAAAACCAATTTTGTGTTTGTTTCGTTTAGTTTGTTTGTTTAATATTATATATATACATGAAGAATATGTAAACAAACAAAATAAAATGAATAAATTGGTTTCTAGAATGTCGGACGTATATATTACATCAATTAATTTATTTTTTTAAATTTATTTTCTGTAAATTAGCAAATTATACACGCGCTTCATTAAGCTTTAGACATATATGTAAGTGTAGAGCTTTATGGAAAATATTTAATAATTAGCTTATTTACAAACGACATACAATTTAATAAAAATAAATTATAATTGAAGTTCTCTCTTAATAATGAAATCATTAAGCTTCATTCCATTCTTAGAATTAAATAAAAATATTATTCAAACTTACTATTTTCTTAGTTTTTTATTATTGCTTTTGCTTAATTTGTCTTAAAAGTCATAATTTTTAATGTAATGAAATTAAAAATATATCTACTTTTAATATCATTGAATAAGCAAAAACAAATAATTAAATAAATTTGTGTAACAATTAACACATTTCTGAAGCTCATAAAAATTTTAGCAAAGAATAAAAATATGTCAAAGCACTTGGCACTTGAATAATTGAGAAAACGATAACTTTAATTTAGTTTTTAATATTTTCAGAAAGAGCTTGCTTAGAAATGCTTTGGTTGGATATAAAAACGTTTGAGCTGAATGCAGAAATTAACTTTTTCGCGGTCATGAAAAGATAGAAATCAAATCTTAAGTTCGGCAAAAATTTATAGAAAGTTAAGTAACTTTTATGGCATAACCGAAACTATGAAGCTATGTGACAAGGCTTGATATGTGCATTGCATAAATTATATAGGGTATCTAAGAGTTGCGTTTAATTTTCGGTTGTTTTTGACTAGCTGCTCCTTATCACATTCCATTGCATTTATTGACCAAAAAAATATTTTATTACTTTACGCTTGGCAAATATTTGTGTCCAAATGATATCAACATATATACATATGTATATATGTATGTATATATGATATACAGATATGTGTGCTTGTGTGTGTCCACTGTCTGGCTTCTTGTCTTTGTGCTTATTGGGCTACAGCTCAACATGAGAAATGACAAATATATATGTACGTAACATATATAGAGACGATATGAGTTGATTCAAGCGCCATACGAGTAGCTTACAATTGGACGACTGAGGACGCGATTTTTAGTGGGCGGTGGTATGGCTATGCTCATTGACACAGTCGAAGGGAATAGCGTGAATGGGGGTGAGAGTGATGAGACCTACTGCTTCCACTACCCCTGGCCATCAGCGTCTTTTCATGTGGCGATCTGTCTGATTGCATGACTGGCTTTGGGCTCGTCTCTCGGATATATTCAGGCCACTTTGATTTCTTGGCATAGCTTTAACTTAAATACAGCTGAGCTGCCTCTCTCAATCTCAATCTCAATCTCTCTGTCTCTGTCTCTCTGTTTTTTTTTGGCTCTTTGTGTGCGTTCCACGAACTTTGGCAAATATTTTGGTCATAGCTGAGATTTGCGTGCCTTTCAATGGTTTTGTTTGCTCTGCTGTCCACAAATGTTGACTGAAGCGTATCCCTCTCTCTTTCATTGTGTATGTATGGGTGTGTGCGACTCTCACTGAATGTGGGTAATTCGGTCATGAATATGCGAACAATTTTTCCCATTGTACACCGTATAATGTCCGAGTATTTTTGGTTTGTACATATTTGTCGCAAATAGAGTACATTACATTACTGCGACAGTTATCTTCTAATATATGCACACAGATATCTATGGATGTACATACATATATATATGTACAGTAGCATTTTGGGCGTACCAGAAAAGCTTCTATAAAATCATTGTAATAGATGCCCATTATGCATGGCATTGCCTGTAAAAGAATGAGGTGGATCAAAGGGTCACTTAATGGTTACGCTCTTGGTGAACTCAGTTAAATATTTATTTGAATGAACTCATCTCGCCTATAAGAGATGTACAACGTTTATGTAGCTTTGATTTAAATAATATTCAATTTTCGCTATATCTGAAACGCTACTATTGAAAATTGGAGTGTATACTTGAGTTGACAACCCCTAATGTCCACGCCCACTGGGGGCGTAACGTATGGGTAATATCTGTATCATCTTCAGTTTCACAGTCCTCTGGAGACAGTGATGCCTTCGGCATCGAGGAGATGTCTGAAAGAACAAATTTAGAACATGGTAGGTATTTATTTAGCCGATTGGTCAGTTAGTTTATAAGTCAGCTAATTAGTAAGTATTCTAAGTCATTAATTTTGTCACTTAATCAGTCAGGCAGGCTGTCAGCCAGTTAATCAATCATTTCGCCAATCAGTAAATTTGTTAAGCGATAAGCTTGTCAATCATGCACTCTAGCTGTGTCAGTCAATCAATGTGTGCCTGCTAGTCATTTACTCAGTCAGTCGGACTGTCAGTCAATTAGTCATTCTTTTTGTCTGCCAATCAACCTGTCAATCATAAAGAGAAGGGGAAAGAGAAAAAGATCGAGAAAGAGAAAGAGAAAGAGAAAGAGAATGAGAATGAGAATGAGAATGAGAATGAGAATAAAAATGAGAATGAGAATGAGAATGAGAATGAGAATGAGAATGACAATGAGAATGAGAATGAGAATGAGAATGAGAATGAGAATGAGAAAGAAAAAGGGAAAGAGAAAGACAGGGACAAAACTAGAAAGAAAGAAAATGAGAAAGAAATAGAGAGACATCGAAAAGAGAGAGAGAAAGGTATTCCATTGACATTCCATTATATTCATAATGCTAGACTTGCGGAACAGTGGATTAACTACCAAAATGGCTAAATGGCTCGACAGGCCGCCATACTGTCCGGACAACAACATTGTTGAACAGATTTAAGGACTGTTTTCGACGAGAGTATATGAAGATGGAAGATAAGTTGAACACTATGAACTTTGTTGAATCAATTTAAAATTCTAGTCAACAATTTGGCTTAGTGAATAATATTAATAATATAATATTATTATTATTAATAATAATACTAATATTATTACGAAATTTGTAATATTGAAAAATTGGGTCCAGTATTGTTCTAGTTATCCAGCGCCTTGAAATTTAGCTACTTATAATGTTTTAAAAATAGTTTTCGTATCCAAACTCTTTCAGTTTTAAGCGCTTTTTTTTCGATATTTTACAGGAAAAATTAATAAAAAATAATATGAAATAAAAATGTGCAGGTCAGAAACTTTTCTGCTTCATAATTAATCTGCTTCATAAGCAATCGTTGGAGAGATATATCTTTTTAAACTTTTAAAATTATTCAAACCTATTCAGTCGAGTGGTACTGTACATTTCATATGTACACAGTATATTCAATAAATAAGAGGACTTTTAAGATGTAGAATAAAACACGTATCGTACTATGCTTTAAAGTTATTTTTTATTCGAAATATTCGAAAAAGTCAATACAAATTTTAGAACGATCAACTAGCTTAAATTAGTTGACTAGACTCTAGATGACATATCTAAAGGAATGTTCTTTAACACCTGTGTCACTGCTGCTTGAATGGCTCGAATATCAACGTATAACGCTCCTTTCATGGCAATTTTTAGTTTAGGGAACAGAAAGTTGTTGAATGATGATAGATCAGGGGAATACTGAGGGTGGTCGATGACACAAATCTGTTTTTTCATTAAAAATTCACGAATTTTTTTGGTTTTGTGAGTGCATTATCTTTATATTCAGCTCTAACACGAACAATTCTTGACCACAAACGATGTAAAACTTGTAAATAGTATTCCTCTTCTGGGACAAATTCCGTGTGCACAATACCTTTGGAATCGTAGAACGTGATAAACATTATCTTGATTCTAGATTTCTGAAAACGCTATTTTTTTAGTTTTGGCTCGCTTTTCGACTTCCATTCTCAGTTTCAGGATCATATTCAAAGCACCATATTTCATTACCAGTTATAATCGAATCAAGAAAATATGCATCGTTCAAATGATGTCTTTACAATTCTCTACACGAGCGTTTTTTGATATTTATTTAATTGATGTGGAAGAAAGCGTGCACATACCTTTCTTTTACCCAAAATGACAATTGAAATTGTTCAAATAGTACCAGTAGATCAATTTAATTTTTCAGCTAATATTTTCACCAATTCACCACGATTACTTCCTTCTGGATGACCAGGTCTTTCATCAACATTCAAATCTTCACGACCATTTTTAAATCGTTTAAGCCACTTATGACTT